GGGGGTGTTCGGGGTGGGTGGAAGGGAGAGGCAGGCGAACAGGCGACGCCGAGGTCGGTGATGTTGACGAGGCGAGAGGGGGGTGGTGTTGGTCTATGCAGAGCACGAGTTGGCGAGCTTGTCAGTGGACCTTGGCTCGACTGTGACATGCCTGCAGCAGCCTGACGCTGCCCTGCGCCCAGTGGTGGCTCACCGTACTGGGTGCAGACCATGCGACGCCGCACGCATCTGCCAACCCTCAAAACGCCGATTCGCCGCAGGCACACCTCATTGCTCCTGGGCGACCAGAGACCTCCACCGCTGAGGTCCACTCGAGTTCGACGGCTCATGACGACGGACCAACATTACTAGACTGCACAACAAAAGCCCATGCAGCGCTCTCTCGTACGCCTCTCTGGCGCTACCGCCGTCGCAGGCACTCCCTCACCGTACTGCTGGGTCAACCCCGCCCAACCGGGCCCCTCGAGCGGTAGGTGAAGCGCTCTTTCTCCTTGCTGAACCTGCCAGGGCCCCTCGCCGGAAGACGCATAGCGATCAAGGACAACATCAGCTACTCCGGCGCACCGACCACTTGCGGCTCGGACATTCTCGACGGTGAGTCATCACTGCTCAGCTCAACTTGAGATTCTCCTAGCTGACGCTCAGGCTATGTCCCGCCATACGACGCTACGTGCGTGCGCCGTCTCGTCGACGCCGGTGCGCACATCAGCGGCAAGACCAAGCTCGATGCGTTCGGTATGGGCAGTGCGAACCTGCACATGCGTCCCGACTGGGGAGTACCGCACAACCCTGCTGGGCCAGAAGGCTCGAAACCGCGCGTGACGGGTGGAAGTAGTGGTGGTTCAGCCGCCGCCGTTGCAGATGGCAGTTCTTGGGCGTGAGTCTCGTGTTCCAGCTGAGAAGCCGTAGGCCGGTAGCTGACACTGCAGTGCGCTTGGAACAGACACTGGCGGCAGTGTACGACTGCCTGCAGCCTACTGCGGCGTCGTCGGCCTGAAACCCTCTTACGGTCTTGTCTCTCGGCACGGCGTCATCGCCTACGCCGACAGCCTTGACACCGTCGGTGTGCTCGCTGGCAGCGTCTCGGACGTCGAGGCCGTGTTCGACGTCATCTCCGCCCCGGACGAGCACGACATGACGTGTGCGTCAGCCGAGCGGCGGTCTTCCCTCCCCGACCCGCCCTCCTCGCTCAAAGGTCTCCGTATCGGTCTCCCGATCCAGACCCACGCCAAGGGCTGCGAGCAAGTCGACCCCTCCCTTCTCGAGTATCTGCGCAGCGAGGGCGCGACCCTCGTCGCGCTCACGATGCCCAGTCTCCGCCTAGCCCTGCCGGCATACTACGTCCTGTCTGCGGCGGAGGCGGCGTCGAATCTAGGCCGTTTCGGGGGATCGTGGTACGGCCCCTCTGCGCCAGATGTGGAGGGAGAGAGCGGGGCAGAGCGGCGCAAGCGCCTGCGCACAGAGGGTTTCGGGGAGGAGACGCGCAAACGCATCCTCGCCGGCACATATGCGCTGACAGCTGACGCGTTCCGCAACTCGTACCTCAAAGCTCTGCATCTCCGGCGGCAGGTGCAGGCCGATTTTGAGCATGTGTTTGGCGGCGTCGATGTGATTCTGACCCCGACGGCGGTGGGCATTGCTCCCCGCGTCGATGGGAAGGACGCAGAGGGCGTCCCCGGAGCTGAATACCTCCAGGACGTGCTTACCGTGCCCGCCTCACTGGCCGGACTGCCCGGCATGTCCGTCCCGAGCGGAACGAGGGAGGGCTGGCCCGTGGGTACCTCCGTCACGGGGCCTTGGGGCAGCGAGAAGACCGTATTCGAGCTCGGACGGGGCATCGAGCGATGGAGGCAGCAGAGTTGAGCCTGAGCTGCGAGACGGCTCAGACGAGTAGACAGCACAACTAGACCAAAGTAGACAATCAATCAGCATGGCATTACTATCGTACATTTCTCCATTTTCTAAGATATCTACTCGCTACTGCTCAAAGTACTCCCCGACCTTCTCCTTGACGAAATCGAGCACCTCCTCAGCCTTCCGCCGACTGAGGTCGCGGGCGGCGTCAAACTCCTGTTTCGAGAAATCTCCCTCCGCCTCGGCCCAGACGAGCTCGGCCTCCTCATCGGCGTCGTCCTTCTTGGACGAGATACCAGCGCCAAAGGCCCATCCAAACCCAAACCGGGCCTGCGCGCCAGTCTCCTCGTCCAGCGTCGGGTCGACGAGCAGGTCTCCGTCTGTGTTGAGAGCGAGCGACACGGCGATCGGGAACGCCCTGAGACCGACGCTTCCGGCGTGCAGCGTGGCCAGGGACGCGGCATTGAGCGCCGCTGCGCGGGCAGAGAAACTGTATCCTGCCAGAGGACTTGCTACCTCCTCCTCCTTCGTCTCTCCGTCCATATCCTCGTCCTCGTCGGCTTCGGCATTGCTATCCCGCGGCCACCCGTTGCGCTGCGACGGCGCGCCGAACGGCGACGAACTGGGGTACGCGGCCGGCGCAGGCGCCAGCCCCTGGACCACGATCTGGCACAGCGAGCGCGGGAACGCGCGGAGGTTCAGCAGCGGCTCAAAGACTGCACTGAGCGAATCCTCGAGCGCACGAGACTGCACCCCTGCGACGCCCTCGAGAGGTCGGTGGACGAGCTCCAGCGTCGCTTGCGAGAGCTGCTCTTCGCGGAGGCGGATCTCGGTAGGGCCAGTGAAGGAGGCGAGGGCGGCGGAGGGGCCTGGATGTTAGCTTAAAGCAGAAACGATGCAACCCTCGCGAGCGGTGCGGAAGGAGAGGAGGGAGAGGAATGCGAGAGGACCGGGAATATAAGATGAGGATGGAGGATGGTGAGTCAAGTAGGGTGGGTACGTACCAAAGCTGAACCGTCCACTGCCGTCCGCGCGAGAAAGCTCGCCCAAGCGCACCTGCAGCGGTCGCAGGGAGTCGTCTTGCCGTCCGTCTGATCGCATTGCTTGGTGTGTTGTTGACAGAAACGCTCGAGACGCGGTGATGCAATGCCTCGTTGAATCTTTGGACACTGTCACGTGATTGCCTCCACCGCTCCCTCCACCCGTTACTGGAGACGAGGAAAGAGACCATTGGAAGGAACACATGGTGATGCATACACTTTTCAATGTACAGGAAAGCGAAGGATGCAAGGGTCTAGAGAACTTTAGAGAGTCGCTGGGCTTCAGATACCATTGTGCTTGGTTGAGAGGAGGACCGGGGCAGAACAGGGAACTGTTACAGTTGCTCCGCTCAGTAGCTCAGTTACTGATCGGCGAGACTCGAGACCTCCACTTTTCTTTCGTCACCCAAGGCCCTCTCTCGTTTCGGATTTCCGCCCTTTTGCCTCTTCCTCCTCACACACCCACCATGTCCTTCTCTCGCCCGCTAGCCCGCGCGGTGCAGCCGCTACTCCGAAGTGTGGGACCGAGCGTCGGCCCCTCTCGCGCGCTCTCGACGAGCTCCGTCGCCGCCTCGGGACACTCGCGCTGGTCCAAGATTCGACACAAGAAGGGCGCTGTCGACGCTGCGCGCGGATCGCAATTCTCCAAGATTCTTACTGTGCGTGGAGACCGAAGGAAGAGCTGTGGAATCCTGGCTCGTTAGCTGACGAACAGGAGGTGCATACTGCTTTCCGCACTGGCGGCCTCGACCCGGATAAGAACCCGCGACTGGCCAAGGCGCTCGTTGCGGCCAAGGAGGCGGGGGTGCCGAAGGCGAACATCGAAGGTGCTTTCGCGAGGGTGAGTAATCCAGAGGATACAGGCTTTGGCGGCAGGAGCATGTCTGCCTTCTGCCTTCAATGCTGGTCCCCTCGCAGCTAAACTAAGGACGTGCTTGAGCTAACGCCAGGCCCGCAAGCTGGCTGACGGATCGGGCAAGCCGGTCACGTTCGAGGCGATGGGAGGCGGAGGCAAGGTCGCGTTCATCGTCGAGTGCATCACGGATAACCCGAACCGAACGGTATCGCGCGTGAAGGAGCTGTTGGGCAAGGGCGGGTGAGTATATTTGGCTGCTGGCCTCGTTTTCAACTCAGCTGACCCCAGTGCGCGTGTCGCTCCCGTTGCATTCATGTTCGAGCGGAAGGGTGTAATCCGTTTGAGCCCGCAGGAGGGCAGTAAGGCGACATTCGACTCCTTGTTCGACGCCGCAGCTGAGGCTGGCGCCGAAGACGTCAAGGAGCTCGACCCCGAGGAAGGCGAGGGGCACTGGGAGGTCGTGACGTCGCCGAACGACCTGAGCACGGTGACTGGGGTGCTGAGCGCGGCGCCGCATGACGCTCTGTACTCTGTCAACAACTCGGAGCTCGCGTACATCCCGAACGACCCCGTTGAGGTTGGCCCGGAGGGACTTGAGGAGGACAAGGCGGAGGCGATCGAGAGGGCGATCGAGGCGCTGGAGGAGGAGCCGGACGTCGTTCGCGTCTGGACCAACCTTGCTTAGAACATCTAGTGTAGAGCATGCATGACAACTTGGCATTGAGAAGAGACATGCAGAAGGAACGGTATACGGAGTTCGGCAATGCAGGCACCATGATTGGCCCACTAGGCCTCCACCGCCGACCATCTCCACGGACTGATTACTGCATCGTTGCGCGCGGGTATCACGGCTTGGCGTGGGTGGGATTGATATCCAGCAGAACACGCACGCGCTGATATCGCAAGACGCGCTTACGCGCCCGTGGACCGAGCGCAGTGGAGGCCATCACGGAATACGGAGCAGAGACGGGCGGCGATGGCCGTCTGCACCTCCCCATTCGGCTCACCGGCATACGGGCCCCGGTGACACTTACCCGATCTCACTTCGAATTCGCGGAATGCATTCGTCTCGCCCGGTGACTCTCTCTCCACACACCACCGTATCCATTTATTTGTCCGGCTCGACTTCTCCCATCAGATCTATCACTATTCCCTCTCACTCTCGCTTACTCACCGCCCTCAGAGGCTCCGCTCGCTTACTCGTGCGAACGCCCCGCACTGCCATCGTCCACTCCGCCGTCAAGTACTGCCCACTCACGACCAGCGCGCCTTCCTTCAGCCCCAACCCGAAACCTGAGACTCCGAAGAGCATCACGGACATGCCCCACCCTCTCGTGTCTATCAGCAAGACGCTGGCCGTCACGCCCGTCGCGCGCGTGCGTGGCCTCGAGGCGTTTGTCTCCTCCCACCTCTGGACGCCGTACGGTGCCCGTGGCGTGTTCGGTGGACAAGTCGTTGCGCAGTCGCTCATGGCGGCTTGCAAGACCGTTGAAGGCAAGGACCTGCACTCCCAGCACGTAAGTGTCCCTCAAGGTAGCTGACATCTACCGTTGAACGAAGCTTCCGTACACTTTGGATTTCGCTAACGCCAGTGCTACTTCCTTCTCCCCGCCAACTCCTCCAAGCCGATCACTTTCACGGTCGAGCGCCTGCGCGACGGCAAGTCGTACGCCACCCGTCTCGTTCACGCTCTGCAAGAGTCTCAGACCGTGTTCATCCTGATGGCCTCTTTCACTGCGCCACCGCGCTCCCTTCCAACGCTCGAGAGCGACAAGACGCAGCACAAGGAGCGCGAGGAGCCCAGTATCGAGGGCGGGCTCAAGTTTGACATTCCGAACAGCGGCAACTCGGCCCTCCCTCGCGTGTCATACCCTCTGCCCGAGTTCCGGGCCAAGTACCAGATCCCGTTTCCCGAGGGCATCACGCCGTGGAAGCAGGCCGTCGCCGAGGAGGACCAGTGGACAAACTTTGTCAAGCGCGCGCAGGAGCGCGGTCTCGACCTCGGCCGTTCTGGCCGTGCCGTCGACAGCTACATCAAGGAGCGCACGCAGTCGCCTGTCACGATTGCCATTGCGCGGCACCAGACCGCCGGTCCGCCCCATGACTCCACCCGCGCCGTGTGGCTCAAGGCCCGGCTCGGTCCCGGAGAGCACCTCGACAGCAACACGATCAAGGTCATGTTCGGTTTCATGACCGACTTCCAGTTCATCGGCACTGCGGGCCGTGCCGTGGGACTGTCTGGCACCAGCAAGCCGAGACTCGGCATGATGGCCTCGCTCGACCACACGATGCACTTCTACCCCTTACCCGAGGACTTTGACCCGAGCGAGCCCGTGCTCCACATGATGGAGGCGGCTGCCGTCGATGTCGCCTCTGGGCGTGGAGTTGTCCGCGGCACGCTGTACAGCCACAAGGGCGACCTCCTGGCCACGACGCTGCAGGAGGGAGTCGTCCGCGCCGACTTTACGGGCAAGCAAAGGCCGACGAGCGAGCGCAGGAGGAACAACGGAGGTGGCGACGACAAGGCCAAGCTCTAAACTACAAACAACTCAGTATCATAATTTCCAAGTCCGTGTGAGACGAAAGACAATCGTTTATAGCCACGATATGGCACAGCATGTATACCATAGACCTCAGCGGATGCCGAGACCAGTCTCGGGGGGCGATCACTACCCAGGTCCCCTTGCCCGTAGAAGGGAAAGGATGGCGTCCACCAAGGGTTTACTGGGCCGTTGTCAAAAAAAAAACAAGGGCTCGCAGATATGAGTTATCAGTTGAGACTCATAGCAGTAAGGAACGAGTCTGGCCCCCGAGAGCAAGTCGGACATGGTTTGTACCCATCATTCCCGCTCGCCCGTCCACATTCGGAAGCAAGGGGTCAAAAGAGATGCGACGTTGGTTTGAAGTGGGGGATTAAGGTGTCCGGTCAAACAATTGGGTGGGAGGCTGCCTGCCTGGGTGAATAGTGCGGGGCCCACCGAGACTTGTAACCGCCGATGAAAAGTGGACGGGATGGGTCACAATTGTGGACCAAACTGCGCAGCCATGAATGCATGAGATGACTTGAAAAGACGCAGGAGCAGACAGAACGCTCTTACTGACGCATCGGAGTACCGAAGAGCGCAGAGCAACAACGCATGCATGAATAAGCTGGTAGGAGGGAAAGAGTAGTCAGCAAGCTCATGCCAGCCCAAAAAGCCACTTTGGCGGAATTAGATGGATTGGGTGGGTGTCACCAAGCGCTCAGCGCCAGCCCAGCTAGCCCCGCCCAGCGCTCGGCCGGCCACCGTACAGTGCAGTGGTCGACGGTGGCCAGCAGTGACGACAGCAATCGCCCCTGCCTGTCCTTTTCCATCTCGGGCTCACTCATCCATCTAGGCCCTCACTCTTGTCACCGACTTGTGTCCTTGCCGCCGACCACCATCGACTCTTTGCATAGCAGGACGGCATCGACTCCCGATACCCAGCACTATCCAGCACGAAAGCACTAGGCTCTGCTAGCTCTGCTTCAACGAACCCGACCCACCACCCACCAGTGAATGCTCCACCAATATCACGCGACTCTGGACATTCGGACATCTTATCATTACCCCTCCCCTAATCAATCTCTTGCAAACCACTTACTGGCACACCGGCTCGATCCGACACATACCTCATCCGACATCGACTACCGCCGCCGCCATCACCCTCGCCGCCGCCGCATACACCGGCAACACCCACCATCACCACCTCCGGACACAACCCCCCGATCCCGTCCGATATCCCCTCCCCCCTGTCGCCTGTTCTCGACTCTCGAGCCGACACGAACCCGCCGCACTTTTCACTCCGGCCCGGCAGCTGGCAGCGCTTAGGGCGACCACCACCTCAACACTTCTCACGGCCCCCTGTGCAGTTCGTCTCCATCGGACAGTCTGACTGCCGCTTTCGCTTTCGCCTTTCGCTTCACTGGCCAGCAGTCGTAGCTATAGTCCAGCTTAGTCAAGCGACTTAAACCGTTCCGTTTGCCCTCGCCCACGTTATCCCGTGGAATAGGCAAACACACACGGCACGTGGCCCCGCGCGATGCTGTGGAAGTTCTCGTTCTCGGGCAGCGTGTCGACGCTCGACACGCTGCTCTCGCGCGAGTCGCCCCCGAGCGTCGAGGAGCTCTTAGACGAGCAGGACATTCTCGCCGAGTGCAAGGCGCAGAACAACAAGTGAGCTCAGCAGCTCGTAACTCGTAGCTGACACCAGGCTCGTCACGTATCTGTCGCGGGAAGAAAGCGTCAAGTCTCTCCTCGGCTGGGTCACGAGTGGGCTCGACGAGCTCGACCAGCAGGCCGAGAAGGCCGAGGACGAGGCGTACGCCAAGGCCCTGGCGAGTCCGGACGCGTACCCGCCATACAAGAAGTTGGGCAATGAGCAGGGCTCAGCGCCGAAAACGCCCACGCCGCCCGAGTCCCCCTCCTCACCCTCGCGAGTACCCTCCGGGATTGGGCTCGGCGAGGGCCTCGGCGGACAAGAAGAGAGTGGCTCCGACACGAATCGGACGAGGTGAGCTTTAACAATCTCGGATCAGCTGACAAGGAAAGGTATCCCTCGATCGCGGCCGAGATCCTCACGTCCGAGCTGTGGACGATCCCAGAGACAATCATGAACCACAAGGACACACTGCTGCGGCCGTTTTGGGACCAGGTCGTGCTCCCCCTCGAAGCGCACCCGCGCCCGATCCGCGAGCGTACTGAGCGCGAGCGCGCGCGGCTAGCGTACTGGACCGAGGACGACGAGGAGCGCGAGCGCAAGCGCGAGGTCATCCGCGGCATGTGGATGCGCGTGAATGCGTCTCTCCTGCAGAAGCGGACAACAGAGGTGAGCTAGTCGACGACTATCGTAACTGACGCCCAGATGATCCGGTTCATCCAATCGATACCCGATGTGATTGAGCGGATGATTGCGCGCATCGAGAGCCCCGCGATCCAGGACATGCTCGCACGCATCATCCAGAGCGAAGAGGCCGGCGTTAGCGACGTCATGTCGTGGCTCGGCGAGCAGCGCCTCGTGCCCCGGTTACTGGCGCTGCTGTCGCCAGAGTACCCCTCGTCGGTGCACGCGATCGCGGCGGATCTGCTCAAGGGCATCATCTCTGTGTCGGCGCCCAACTCGTCCTTCAACCCCTCGGGGGGGAACGCCATGGACCAGCAAGGCGGGCTCCAGACGGGCGGTACACGCGACAACCGGCTAGTGCGCGAGCTCACGAACAAGGAGAGCATCGAGACGCTTGTCGGATACCTCCTCAATCCCGTTCAGCTGACAGATGCGGACTGGAAGGGCATCAACGGCGACGGGCCGGGCACGAACCGCGCCGACCCGTTCATCATCCAGCCCCTGCCCTCGGTGGCCAGCGCGACGTCCTCGCTCTGCAACGTGTGCAACGTCATTGTCGAGGTGATCCGGCGGAACAACTCGGACCTCGCTGAGCCGTACCTGTTCAACACGATGCGGAACCGGCTCATGGCGATCCAGAGCGAGCAGATGCAGGGCGGCGACGTGGCGCCCGACGAGGAGCCGTCGGACAAGACGAGCGCCGAGCGCGAGGACGAGTCGCGGGACAAGATGGAGGCGGCGCTGCCCGGGCTCGCGGACCGGCTAGCGATCGTGCACCTCGGCAACCTCGTCGCGGCCATCGCCGACCGGTTCGGGGACCTGAACCAGATCCTCTCGGCGCCTCGCTCCCAGGATCGCGTCAAGAGCGACCTGACCCCCAAGCCGCTGACGATGGAGCGCTTCCGCGTCATTGAGCTGTATGCCGAGCTGCTGCATAGCAGCAACATGGCGACGCTGAACCGCGTCCAGGGCAGCGGGCCGGATTACTCTGCCGACGGGGCGCTGACGGGCGGTCTCGATGGACTCGACAAGCTCGGCCACGCGCTCCATACCGGCGAAGGAGGGGAGGACGACGAGGGTTCGCCCTCCCCCGTCGCCGAGGTCAGCCCCGCGCGCGAGCTGCCCGTCTCCTCGGGCTCAACGGATTACTCGCTCACGGAGAGCGACGACGTGCCGCTATCGGACGACGATGACAAGAGCGGCAAGGACAAGAAGGACGAGGGCAAGGAGGCCTCCAAGCCGAGCGCCGCTACCGCGGCCAGCGCCAAGCTCGAGGAACTCATCCCGCCCCCGTCCGCGGCCGACGCCGAACGACTCCGCAACGTGATGCTTGCGCCCGATGCGCCCGTCTCTGAGACGCCGGTCTCGCACAAGTCCGAAGCCGGCGACGCCGGGGATGCCGAGGACAAGGCAACCGCCAAGGCGTCTTCGCCGACCGAGACGTCTGCGGTAGGGGGCACGTCTCCCCCCGGCCCGCTCTCGACGGGCGAGCGCCTCAAGCAGCAATTCATCTCGTACGGCGTGCTCACGAGCCTGTTGGATCTGTTTTTCGAGTACTCGCAGAACAACTTCCTGCATCACCTCGTGTACGACATCCTGCAGCAGATCCTGAACGGCAACGTCTCCAAGGGCAAGAACCGGGATTTGGTCATTGATCTGTTTGTGCGCGCGCGCCTCGTCGACCGCGTCCTGGCCGCACAGCGCATGAATGACGACACGGTGGCGGCCTCCAAGCCGCGGCTGGCGTACATGGGCCACATCTCACTGATTGCCGAGGAAGTCGTGCGGTTCCTCGAGAAATGCCCCGCAGACCTGAAAGCGGCGATCCAGCCCTCCTTCTCCGAAGATGCTTGGGACGCCTTTGTGGCGGGCTCGCTGCGCGAGACGCGGGATCGCGACAATGCGCCGCTCGCGGGCGGGAAACCCGGTCCAGGCCTCGGCAGCGGGATGAGCGGCACGAGCGAGCGGAGCGACAGCGAGAGCGACGACGACGACTCGGGACCGACGATTGGGGAGCCCCTCTCGCGGTCGATTGGGAAGCAGAACGACGCGTACCATGACTCGAACGAGGATGATGGCAGCATGGACCAGTTCTGGCCGCCGCGCAATGCGCGCTCCGTCGGCATGGACAGTAGTGATGATGACGACGATGATGCCGACTGGCTGCGTCCTGGGTCCCGTGATGCCGACGATGACTTTGGTGTGAGTACATGACTCGTTGTAGCGCTCCCACCATCCATCCAACGACCCTTCCGTCCACTTCAAATGCATCCTACACACAGAGTGCCACACGGGTGGAGGAGTCTTCTAGTGTCACGCGGAAGGGAAGTGCGGAAGCTAACAGCGCAGGCATTCCAGAGCACATCCAGCACCAACGACCTCGATGACGTAAGTCCCCCTGGTTTGTAGCCCCACTGACTTATAAAAGGACGATGCGTGGGGCGCCTTCACGTCCGTCAACACGTCTGACAGTTCGAACCCCTTCTCCGACGACGCCTTCACGCCCACCACCTCAGCATCCGACTCGTACCGCGCCGCCGAGCCCCTGACCCCGCGCGACTGGGCCGAAGCCTTCGACCGCGAGTTTGACAACAGCCACGACACAGCCGAATCTTCGTCTGAGGAGACTCCCCGCCCGACACCCGAGAACCCCCTCGTCCTCCCCCCCGGTCCTTCCCCGCCGACCCCTCCAGTGCCTCTTCAGCCTCGGACCTGCCCCCCACCAGCGTTTCTGACGCCCTCACCCCCGCCGACATAAAGGAGATGAGCGACAAGACCTCGGCCCTGTCCATGGCCCAAGAGGCGGCGAAGCATCCCGCCCCCCATCCCGCCCCCTCGGCCGTCGAGACGCCCGAGCAGCACCTCCAGCAGGAGCGCGCAAACCTGCACGCGCACTTTGCAGCGAACCAGCCCGCGCCCGAGCAGACGAGCAAGAGCCAGGAAGAGGACCTCGACCGGCTCGCCAGCGCGAGCACCAAGGCGAACCCCCTCGGTCCTGGCGTATCCAGGGACACGCACGTCGGAAAGGACGGCATGCTCTACCGCCGCATGCCGGATGGGACGGTCGTGCGCGCGCCAGAGGACGATGTCGCCATGGGCATCGAGGATGCGCGCGAGGGCAAGCTGGGCAGGAAGGAGCAGGATGAGGTTGATCGGAACTTCTAAGTGCCCGAGGCGAAGCCGAGGGCACGAGCGAGACCGCGACTGAGCGAGCGCTGCTAGGGCTGAGTGGCCATGGCGAGCTGCGCAAGTGCAGCACAGCGCTGAGCGAGCCGCCGGTCAGGAGGAAGGAGGAGCGCTCAGGAGCAGGAGCGGGAGCGAGTGAGGAGCAAGTAGACAAAACAATATACCCCCCATCCATCTCAACATGCATGTAATTCTGCATCAGGTTATAGCGATAGCGAGCGCGAGCACATCTCTATACCTGCAGGTGCACCCGAGCCTAGAGGAAGGGAGGAGGTACAGTGTACCTGGGAAAGAACGCTCAGCGAGAGGGCCAGAGGGTGGGAATCAGCGTACTGCCGAGGAGAACAGGAGGAGGGGAGATGACGTCTATTGGATAAGGGGCACGTGACCTCGGTCAGTGGTGATCGACGGATGGACCGGTCCGCTGCTCCGAGGCGTATGCCTCGTTCCGACTTGGAAGAGCGCGAGGCTGCTAGCTGCAGCCCGCATTTGAGTGGCATGAGTGGACTGCTCTGCAAGCTCTGAGCAAGGCGATAAGGCGAGTGGCTAGCAGCAGCGTGCTTTCGAGACGGAGAGACGGAGAACGTGATCTCCAGCGCTACGGCGCCAGGTCATGTGTTCGATCGACGCTGGGTCGTGATTGAACGCTGTCTCACATGCCCTCGCGTACTTGCGTACTCGCGTGCTTCGAGACCGTCGCTGATCGCTGAGTGCATGTGCCACGAGGTGTGTCCGCATCCTCCTCCGCAGCCCCGACGCGCCCGACGCGCCCGATGCGCCCGATGTGCCCGACGCCGCAGCTCCGAACATGCAACGGCCTCAGATTGCAGACGTCAGACACGGGACAGTCGTCAAGACCCTCCGACGCGTGACTGTCGCCAAGCTCGCCGATCACCGAAAGCCCTACCACCTGACACGCTGACACGTTTGTGAGCCCGTGAGGTTCAGCCCGCGGTGCATGCGGTGGCTCTCTGCCAGGTTTTTGAAGTCAGAGCGCACGGAGACCCACTCGGCCTCGTCGGACTGACAGTCACGATGGTGGGCGCGAGACACGGCGTCGTTCAACCGACAGGCTCCACGTGCACGTCCTCTCCAGCTTGTCAGCACCAGATACCGCATCGCCGTGCCTCTTGCCTCTTGCAGTATGCTCAGCAAAGCCTCAGCGCCACTGACCCACCCACGCGACCCAGCTGACGGCGCGATGGCGACAGCTTGGTCTTATCTCGAAGCTTCTCCTCGCAGCCCAAACGAGCACAGCGAGTCTCGAGTGAGCGCGCCTCGTTACTCCGCTTCGACCGCTTCTCTGTGTTGACGGAACCGGCCTGTCTCACTCGCCCCCGTGAACCTTCGTGAGCCACGTTCTGGCCAGTCTGGCCAGTCTGGAAGCAAACACCGTACGCATCCTGTTTAGATCCCGAAGGAAGTCCTGCGTCCTGGACGCTCTGGCCACAGGAACGCAGTACACGCAGAGCGCACCCGCAAGGCTGTGGAGTGGCGTGCATGGCGTGCACACAGTGCCTATCGTGCCGGAGACGCCTTAAGCATGAGAGCATGAGAGCAGAGCAGAGCAGAGGAGAGGAGGTGAGGAATGTATGTGGAAGGGGGGCGCAAGGAAAGTGGCGATCTGAGAACCGCTCGGGCCGCCCCCAGTCCCTTTCCTCTCCTTCGACCTCCCTCCCTCCTCCGGCCCTTTCCAATCTCGACACGCTCACTCGCTGGTTATCTGACCTCCGGATCCAGTCTCAGCCTCCATGAGCTGGAGTGTTCGCGCTGAATTGCTTCAGCTTTTTGTCCGCGGCGACGCCATACGCCAGCCGCGCCAGCGGCACCAGACGACGCCATACGCCAGCGGCGGCGCCGGACTCGGGCCGTAATATAAGCCTCGTATACCTCGTACCTTGTCCTCTTTCTCGCTTCGTCGATCTCGCTCGGTGTCCTCATTGGATCTGGCTTGAGTGTGTTCTGGTGCGAGTGACTGCCGTCGGGCATACTCCACCTTGGGGTCGAACGAGTGCGCAACTGTACCCCGGAGCAAGGAGTGTCTGGTTGACGACAGGGTACAGACTGCGAGCTGCGGTTGCGGTCCACTGAGGCATGAGATACTTACCCCCGGGAGCCTCGAGTTGGAGAGAGACCGCGCAGCCCGCAGCCCGGACTGCTTATCGGAGGAGGACTGCTGATCGAACATGTTGCCCAGGGGCGTGTGTGTCTGCGGAGGGCGCAGGGGACTGGACCAGTGGTCGCGTTGGGGGGGAGCCCGAGCGCAGATCCTGTCGTATCCTTTTCGTCTTATCCTGTCGCGTCCTGGAACCTCGAGGCCTCGAGGCTGATGGGAACATGCGGACCCGGCGCGGCCCAGTGTGGTCCAGTCAACTGCAGAGAGGGGCGCAGTGCAAGGGGCCGGAACCTCGTTGCTTCGTCTGCCTCGTTGCCGCCGTCGAGCCGTCTCGTGTCTTCCCCCTCCTGGTCCCCTCCTGCTCCCCCTCGTGTCCATCATTCCTCCTCCTCCTTTCCTCGTTCCTCTCCACACACATCTCTCGCTCCCATCCCAGATCTACCAGCCCTCCGCTCTCCCGCAGCCGAGCCCGCTTTATAGCTCCTTCTCACCTCCGTATCCTCCTTCTCACCACCCACACTCTTTCACCTCCCCTATCTCTCGTATATACCCCCCTCTCTTCGCTCTTTCTGTAGCCTCCTCCAGCACTTCCAGCACGACTGACACTTCGCTTTCGAACTACGCTCTCACGAACATCAACGCACACGATGAAGCTCTCCATCCTCCTTACGCTTCTCCCCCTCGCCCTCGCCCACGGCGGTGGCCACGGCGGCCGCCCCCGCGACTGCCCCACCAAGACTGTCGAGGTCTGCGCTGAAGAGTGAGTATATCTGGCGTCAGGCATGCGAGGAGACTGGCGGGCTGGCCCTAGTGGTTTGGCCTTCTTCCCAGGTTGGAGCCTTATTCTGCGCAGACGAAAGGAAATGCCACCACTCGCTAGTTCTCTGTAATCAGCCAGTCTAGCTAACGCCCAGGACCAAGGCCAAGTGGGGCAAGCCCATCTTCGTCACCACTACCGTGGCCGACACCCAGTGCACTGCCACCACCGTCACTGAAGGTGAGTCTTGACAGGCGGGGCATTAGCCCGGCCGCAGCTACGTACTCCCCGTCTGAAGCTGACGCCACAGTTGTGTGTATTCTCCCCTAGCCCCCGAGCCCCTACCACTCCCCTGGTCCACTAATCCACTCACCTTTCGCCCCCCTCGCCCCACGCATGCTGCGTTCCACTACGTTTCCGGCTAACCTCAGACCCACACCAAGACGCCGACCGCCTGGGTTCCCTGCGAGACGCCCACGCGCACTCGCGAGAACTGCGTCGCGACCCAGATCGTCTGCGAGCCGCACCCGAAGCGCTCCATTCCCGACGCGATGAGCAACGCGGAGCGTCTCCGCCGCGGCCTGCCGATCCGCTCTCCCTTCGCCGCGCGCAGCTTCGACGGCAACGGCGGCCGTCCCGACCACCCCCAGGGCGGCGCCCCAGGCCAGCAGAAGGACAAGCACGACGGCGAGCACGACAACGGCAAGGGACCCGGCGACCGTGGCAAGAACCGTGGCGGCGACAAGCACGACGGCTGGCACGGCGACGCCTCCTGCGTCCCCACCACCGTCACTGTGACGACCAGCACCAAGACGCACCACGTGCCCACGCAGCACACGCTGACGCGCACCGAGTCGTCGTGCGCGGGCCCCACCAAGACTGCCAAGGACTGCAAGACTAAGACGACGCAGGCGCCCCCCGTCACCAAGACGAAGCACTGTGACCGTGGCATTGCTGCTGTTTGTGAGTAGACCCCGCCACTTGCCAACCCGCAAACCGCTAGTGAGCCGTCGGACCCAGCTGACATCCCAGGGGTCAACCACGACTACACCCAGACCAACACCGAGTACGGCGCGCGCTGCACTCCTCGTGTTCACAGGAACTAAACTTCCTCTCGACATGCAATTACTCGACACGATTCGCTAAGCCTTCGCCTTCCTGTTCCAAATCCCTTCGGTTCTGGCTGGCCCGCCCCCCCCTCGTCATCTACTTTCCATTTAGTTCATCATGCCCCTCTGCCGTCCGACACGCCCGCGTGTCATCCTCGCGCACGCGGACGGACAGTGTACATAGTTGCCCGCTTTGCTTGGATCCACCCGCCCCCGAGCTTTCGATAGCGCTGGACACTTTCCCCATTTTCATGCCCTCGGGATGCTACCAAGTTGGACTTTTCACATGCTTGATAGGGGTGGTGAGTGTAGGCAGGGGTGACTTGAGATGAGTGGGAAGGGTCAACACTGACACACACTGACGCGTTGTAGCTGAAGCACGACACACTGAGCATTGTGCTGATCGAGTCCGAGGGGAGGGAAAGACAGACGTCGCGTTCGTCCAGACACGATTGGCCCTCTGCCTACGCACTCACCTCCAGCGGGCCCCATCTCACGTCCCATGGCCCAGGGCGCGATACCCCGGACCCTCTAACGTGTGAGATCGAAAGGAGAGGGTGGAGCAGATGTTCCCGGGCTTCTAGAAGCAAGAGATACCTGATCAACACCCACTGACCCACTGTGATTATCCAGGTCTGCCTCCGGTGACGGTGACGGCGCGGGTGAACCTTGGAGTGTGATTCGCGTCTTGCCTCGTCTTGCCTCGTGTTGGAAGTCGAGTGCGACTCATCCCTCTCGCACACTTCATCAGCTGCGAGCTGTCATCTCCACCGCGTCGTCAGTCCGTCACGTCAGTCCAGACTGGAACGGACTGGCGTGCGCACTGTCCGTATTAATTACACGGCAACGCTTCCACAGAAATTGTGATTGACGTACTCTTCCCAGCTTTGAGCCCCAGACTTCACCCCAAAATCCCCTCTTCTCTACTTCTCCACACCTCCTTTCGCAGCAACGGCAGCACGAACTCAAGCCTAACGCGTCGAGACTTTTTCCATGCATGCCCACCCTCCGCACCCCTCGACGTGTCGTGAAAAGCTTCGACGCGCCTTGGGGAGTATTGCGCGCCCCAAAGTCGTCTTGTACCTCCGAACATCGTATTTGGGTTCAGTGACATGCCGGTGCCCCGAGCTGCCTCCATCGCCGTCGCTGCGTCCGTGATCGTTCGTGGACGTGACTGTCCAGTCGAGACTGTAGTGAGCGGCGGTCGTGTTTGAGTACGCGTCTTCGACACGTCTGGACACGAACTAGACACGAACACGGACGTGCACGCAACTGTGACAAGTGCTCTACCCACCACGCGACGTGGTTGCGAGGGGAGCAGGCTGCGAAGCTTAGCCCAAAACTCCCGGGGCAGGAACCGTCGTGTCTGTGCTGTTCTCCTCCTCGTCCCTTCACTCCACGAGGTCGCAACGAGGAACGCACAGCAACGGTCCGAGACGAGGAACCCGTCCCACCGCCCCGACCTCCCAGCGTCCAGACCATCAGTTTGCGGCGAGAGCAGAGGAGGCAGTGTGGCAAGCCTCAAGAGACTCATTTTGCCTCCAGTGCCTGCTGTCATGCTGTCGTTGGTGCCGACCGGGTGGAAAATCTCCGTCCGTTTCGTCCCCCGTCGTCCTTGTTCCTCTCCCCTCTCTTTCTCGTCTCTCCTCCAGGTCCGAGTAGATGTCAGAGCTGCGCGCTGCGCGCTGCGCGCTGCACGCTGCGCGACGAACGTGGTGCAGGGGAAGAGGATAGTGCAGGGGCAAAGAGAGCAAAAAGGGGCCGGAGAAGAAGCTCAGAGCTCAGGATCTTCCGGTGCCTCAGCTTATCTCCACTGCACCCATTACTGCGCCTCGAATTGTGGTTCTTGCGTTTGTTAACGCCTCATAATCTCGCATGTCAGCTCAAGTTGGAGGCGCTGTTAGTGCTTGTTAGTCCTGATTGAAGAGGAGTTGAATGCGTGCAGTGGGTTTCTGTTGAAAATCGAGTGGAGATAGGAGAACAACAAGTGGCAAGAACCACACGGGGATGTGACAGTTGCTTGGGGTGACTACCCCGTCGTCTTCAAACTTGCCAGATGTGCATTCAGCGTCCCAACGCACAAGCGACCCGGCATCCTTATACACGAACCTCCTGGTGCCGATCGCACACGGCGCATTGCAATCACAGGGGCTTTAGGCTCCAGCCAAGGCGTCGACGCCGATGACCCACCATACGGTGATGCGGCGATACCGCGAGCCGACATCGTCGGACACCGAAGAGAAGCACCCCTCATCTAAGCTTCACAATCATATGAATTCTCCGGCAGGTTTTGGGCGGCCCGGAAACTTTTCGTCAAATGAAGCGAACTACGCAACTCCTCCAACTGAGTGGATCTCGCGGTCGGTCTCGATCTTCAGCTGGCATGCGTCGACGGCGCTGCGGGCTGCGGAGTAGTTCTGGCCTCATTTTTGGGTGCCTGCACGTCACGAGGCACTCACCGCACTCCAGACCTGCTGTCAGTCTCCTCATTCTTCGATTTTTCAGAGTAGGAGGGAATGCAATGTCGTAACTGCGACTTTGTGGTGACATGCCAGACGTGTCTGATATCTGGCACACCCAACGCGCCTCCGAGACAGATGCCGTCACAGGTGCTCACAGTGAGCAGTTCAAGTCGAGCAGGCATGTCCGTAAGAAACGGAGGATCGGTCCGCCTTGCGTCCGCATCAGAGTCCGGTAACACGCCAAAATTAATCCAGGGCCTTGTCTATCCTCGACCGCGTTCATGGGAGGTATACGACGCGTTCTATCCATCTTTTCGGGGGTGCGTTATGCTCTCCAGGACAGTCCAGGATAGCGCAGTGACGATCAGGACGCGGCCGTTTCCTCCGACGCTCTTCCGTCCGGACCGTCCGGTCACCCGCTGCCTGGGCAGCGGCAGCGGCAAGGACGTGCCTGGCTCCCCTCGCCGCCGCTACTTGCCGAACCTCCCAGCGGCAGCGTTAGTGGAAACCCAAGCGTCGGCGTCGACACATGTGCTCGTTAGTGCGAGTGCATGCAAACTACAGCCAGCTCTGGCTGTAGGATACACGACGTCGAGCACGGCAGACGGCAGGTCTAAAACCCAGGGCCAGCTTCAGACACTCGGTCAGGTCCATGCAGCCGGGACATGAAACGCCAGGCGCGACTCTCGTAATGCGCTATCACGTTGGAAGCACGCTGCCAGAGGCGCGATCCGGTGGGATATGCATGCTGTGCAAGTGTCACGGAGCATGCTCTGATGTTTACGGCAGGTTGGCGGTTTTGGTGCGACACTGGCCAACTCTCCGGCCGTCCTGCTGCTACACTGCAGTATCTGCGAGACAGACGTCGTGCGGCAGGTAGCGTGGCGGGCACCGCATCTCTCGATCTTGAGGGGTGGCGGGCATTACTCGTTGGCCAGCAGATCCTCATGAAGTTGGCGTGGCTCACCTGAGTTCCTAATAGCGGGCAGCGGTCATGAAATCTGGGTGACTGGAGTACTCTGAGCTCGTCGTGCGGGCAGCTGATCCTGACGAGAGAGCGGGCAGCGTGGGCCGGTTTCTGGGAACAGGCCTCGTTGCCATAAGCAGCAACACTGTCGCCGATGTACCTAAGACACGCTGCGGGCACCGCCTGTGGCCGGTTTCTTCGACCATGCCGTTTGCCAGTCAGACGCGGACATGATGCAGATCTCTGCCATCATCGCCTCTGCGCAGTCATCGCGGTGGTGACTCGAAAGCACAGATCTACGGCCCGTGGCACCCCCAAATCCTGTCCATGCTGGCGCACCAGCCGATAACCACCCCGGCCGCTGTTGGCTACCAAAGCGAAGGTAAGGGAAAGCTACGGCCCGAGATTACAAGCGAGCATAGCCCAGCTCTCAACCCAAAGCGACCCGAAGCAAGCGCAAGCAAGCTCTCCGGGAGCACAGCTGTCGGCCCGACTACGTTTCGGGGTCCGATATGTGTACTGGTCGTACACCAAAGTGTGTACACCGCTCCGCCGGAATCGGGACGAGCGACCACAACGCGTGGACAAGGTTGCGGCAGCGGTCCGAGAGAGCGCGCGCTGCACGCCCTTGGTGGCCCCGCAGACTGAAGATCGAGCTCGCCAGCTAGCTGAACCAACTTCAACGGCTGCAATAACCTGCCGCTGCTGCCGCATCTGTCGGGAGCTTCGCTGCGGGGCTATGCCGCGGGAGGAGTGCGCCAGCACCCGGCAGCCCGTCAGCCCGTAGGCACGAGTGGCACGAGCGGACCTGGTCCGTCTTTCGGGCTTGCGATGCTCACCGTCGCGCCAACTCACCGGTACTCGCGTGCACGCTGCTCTCCCATGCGCTCATGAAGTTCGACGCTCCCGTGCACTGCCATGCGCGTATCGAGCTCAACGGGCCGGGTTCGGGAGATGATGTGATGTGTGTCCAATTGTGCGCACTCTTTCGGCATTGAGCAGCCCCGAAAAGCACACGATACGTACTCCCTCGCGCCGTACCGACACCTTCCAGCTTCCCGGGCGGCGTACGCACAGTACAGCAGCGGCGCGCCGGGCACTCTCGGGCCGTGGAACCTTTTCCCATCCCCTTCAGCGCCCGGGTCACCCGGCGTCGGCCTTGCAGCCAAGTCTGCACAAGCTGCACAATGCGCAGAATTGCGTCCTATTCACAACAAGCTTCATGCTTGCGCTCGTCCAGGATGTGCAGAACGCCACAGGATCGCCAGCGTGCTTGCTGAATGCATACCTGAGAGCCTATGATCGTCTGAATGGCGCCTGAGAGCGAGCCAGATCGAGAGCTCACCCAACCCAAAACCGAAATGTTGGGTGTCGGTTTTTCCATTCCCAGCAAACTCTAATCCATCCTCGGTCGGTGCGAGGGTTAACGCATGCAGCTGAAAAGATCAGATGACGCGCCGGACGCTCTCGCCTGCGCCTAATCCAAACCTGACTGCGCACAGTGCAAGCCAAATACGTCAATTACAATCCGCAACCCTCGTATTACCTCGCTTGTGACTGAATCTGCCAGCAATAGCTGTTGCAAGCCCCACCCCTGCTCGCATGGTCGTCATTAATCCGGCCGATATATGGGACCCTCGCATGCATGTTCGGTAACGAGCGGTTGCTTACAATCGAGGACATCGAGGGCCCGAAGCAGGCGCTGATGCGCGGAGTGGCGCTTCGTGGCTGACGCCATGATTAATCGGGGTAACTGCCTCGGCGACCTGTGTGATCTGCCAGGCGCCATGGGGGATTCTGGCTCGCGCGGCCCCGCCATTCAGTCCACTGAGACATCGAGCAGGTGCATTGAGCAGATGCACAATCTGTCCCAGCCGGCCGCGCCGGCCGTGAGACATGCGATCATGCGATCACGAGCGTGAGTCCTGTGACGTGGACAAGCTCGGCTTGCTCCACGGACTGCTCGATGTGAACGGCGTGAAATGTACCTGCGCTCCAGTTCCAGTTCCTAGCCTCTGGTGAGCTGGTATGTAGAGTGCCTGGCTCGGTGTCGAGGCAGCTGACAGCGCAATGATGCCCAGTGCTCCATTGGCCAGACACCCGCGATTCTCCGTCGACCTTTTGTGCTCCGCACGGCACGGGGTGCCGCGTGAAGGGTGACGGAGCGGTGGGCAGTTCGTTTGTGATCTTCAATGTACTGTCGACGCGTCTTTCAAGAGCTCTTCCAAAGAGCACAGTCGCAGAGGGACGTGAAATCTAAATGGGATGGCTAGGGTCGGACCGATTGGACCTGGCCCAGGGTCCGAGCCCGCAAGATGGGAACAGCCTGGTACGGCGGCATGCCCTGCATCCCTGGCTCGACCTGGCCCGTCTACCGTCAGCCCGCGAGCCGCAAGCTGCTCCGCGACTCCGCCTGCATCCCGTGCAGGTCCGTGTGCTATGCTGGCGCACACTAGAGCACGCTGGCGTTCGCAGGCACACGCACAATAGAGGTTTGCCATGCCGCACAGGAAACTTTACGCACGCAGGAGCGGACGGACGCGTCTGGCGCTCAAGCGCTCTGCCCCAAGTGCACGAGCGCGACAGCCGGCATTGTCTGCAGTTGGCTGGGGAAGGGGACCTGGGCTTTGACATGAGCAGGTCGTGAATTCCACCTGTAAGTACAGATATTGCAGATCTAGCGGGCTTGACTGCAGATACCGAGGAACGGCCGTACCGAGGCGGGACATGAATATACGACGCATGAATCTCTGACGTACCATCTACTCAATGAGCTGACCGCACCAGATCGAAACAGGCAATGCGAGCTGAGTGGCAAGCCCAGACGGGCCGACTGGAGTTAACTGGGCGCTGGCTGGACCGAAGGCGAAGGGATTCCTTCCATGATCCCGCTCTTGATAGCTGCATTCAATGACGAAACCGCCTAGTGCGATGGTGATACATGAGATACCGAAATCAGCAAGTGTCGTCTCAGCGTCTCAGGTTGCCGCGCGCGCGCCAGAAGGATGCTTGCCCGGCGAACACGGCATGAAAAAGGACATGGACGCGGGAGATGGGGTAAACATCTCCCCGCGTCGTCCCGTCGGTCGTTCCCCAGGTCAGGAGCTCCTCTGCTGGCGTGCGTGAGGCACGATCCGCTGCTCCCTTCCCGTACGCCAAAAGTCACTTTTTACGTACAGCTTGATTGAGGCTGTTGAAACAAAGTTTGCCTGCGTCTGGCTTGGCGCTTCTCTCACTGCATGCGTCAGGCCTCAGGCCTCCTGCAGTCCTGCCGACAAAGATAGCGACGATGCTCTTCTCAGGGCTACATCCAAGGGCTCGACGGGTCAAGTGGCCACACCAGGGACCGACAGGGACCGCGACAGGGACGTCGCCACTGACCAGGGCTCGACAACAACAAGCTCATGTCGGCTGGCGGCGCTGGCGTTGCAGGCGGTCGAAGAGGCGTCGCCGCGCGCTCCTCAGACCCTCCAGGCTTCGGCGCCAGCTAGGTTTCGGTCGTCTTCAGCGTAACGCGCACAGAAAAAAACTCATCATATGCCGTTAGATGGCATCCTAAAGGTTACATCTGACCAACGGTCAGTTACCAGCCCCAGCAAAGTTCTCTCGTACTTCTCGTCATCTTCACAACCGTTCTCTCACCTAGCCTCCTCCCAACTTTACAGCAGCGCTGCAACAACAAACACCTCGTCTCAGTGTCTGATTCGACCCAATCTTCCAACGCATTCATTACTTCCCTCCCTTCCGCCCCGCTTCTCGTCTTCGACTCCTTGATCTCCTTGCGTCTCCTGCGACTCGCAGTCCTAGATCATTTCAGTCTTACATATTCTTACCACATCATCCTCTCCCCACCTTCCACTCCACTGCCTTGGTTCCTCCCGGTTCCTCTCGACCTTCCCGAACCACCAGAGGCGATGCCAACCATGGCCGCTACCCCGTCAACTTCCACTGCTCCCCGCCTCGCGCGCGGTCTTCATCACTCAAACCCCTCCCTTCCCCATCTTAACGCTTCTTCATCACTCAGTCCGACATCTTCATCTACACACACTGTCATCGAGGACCGCCTTGCCCCTCTACCCCCTTCCGCCAACTTCAGCAAGTCTTCTCGACGAGTGAGCTCGAACAACTACAGTCCTCTCGCGCCTCCTCGCCAACGCAAGGCCTTCTCGATTCAAGCTCTGCCTCCCAACGCGTTCGGCTTCAAGCACCCATCTGGTACTGCAAGCTCGATCAACCTCGGGCAGTTCAACAATAGCGCCGTTGACCTATCGTCCTCGGCACCCTCGGAGCCTCTGCTGGCTGGACCGTCAAACCTCAAGCGTACGCCCGCACGCATGGCCCCTCCTCCCAGCTCCTACTCGCCGCCCACGCACAGCTACTCTTCAAGAATGATGCGCCAAAAGCTGCCCAGCATGAGCTCTTCCTCTTCATCGTCCGCCTCAGCATCGGATGACGAGGTCCCTCAGACGCCCAATGTCAACTTCCTCCCACCAGGAGCGGCCATGCCGTCTGCGCCACAGTGGCCGAAGCCCATGCCTACTGGCAAGTCGGGTGGTCTTGGAATTACTGTTCCCGTCGCGGGAGTCGACCTCGCCAGTGGGCGGAGCTCGCCAGCGTTCGACGAGTTCGAGGACGCCCGTGAATTCCCCGACCCTGAAATGGCCTCTACTTATGGCTCTGCTTATGCGACACCCAGGACATTCACCCCCCAACCGTCATCCCAGACCCAGGTGAATGAATTGCATCAGCAGCCCGCTATTTCGACCGCTCCCATCGCTCCCACGCCCAATGGACAGCAGATGGTGCCGTCACTATCGTCGTCGTCCTCGACGGATGACGCCGGATCTCTCGCCGGCGAGTCGATGCGCACGGTTTCCTCGAACGGGTCGATCCCGACAACACCGACGCGACTCGAGTTCATCAACTCTAACTTTGAGAGCCTCTCGAACCCGACGACGCTGGATGAGCTTCGCAACCTCCGCCAGGTTGCGAAGGAGCTCGAGGTCGAGGCTCAGCGGCTACGAAGGCAGCGCGGCGGAAAGCCTCCCTCCCCGAAGATTCTTCCGCGCAAGGCCGTCCCCGTCGTCAGCGTGACAGAGTACAACGAGCTGCAACAGCAGCAGGTGACCAAGCCGCCCGTCCCCGCCGCGCGCAAGGCGGCCCGCATGTCGCTCATGAACCCCGTCACCGTGCCAACGTTCTCGCTTCAGGTCGACCCGCTGGTTTCGGACGAGGAGGACAGCTCGCCGCTCTTCGCCCCCCCGGCATCGCGCAAGGCGTTCTACGGCCTCGAGCGCAGCGCCATGAGCGTGCTCGAGTTCTCGTCGCGCAAGTCGACCCCTTCGCCCGAAGAGAACGTCCCGACTTTCAAGCCGATGCAGACGATGCAGGCGGCCGCGCCGCTGCACGTCGAAGAGCGTCCTGCACTTGGGCTTGGCCTTCCCCCGTCGCCTCCCGAGAAGTCTGAGGCAGAGCAGGCCAAGGCCAAGGCGCTCGCCAGCGTCCCGCCCTCAGCGACGGCGAACACGACGTCGGGATTCCGCAAGTTCTCTAGGTTCCTCAACAAGAAGAAGTCCATGTCTATCTCTGCCGCCGCCGCCGAGGTTGAGGCGAGCGCGTAATTCACCATTCGAACATTTGAACACGAAACACATTCAAAGCAAACCAAAAGCAAACAGCCTTCTGCGAAAGCTCTCATCACATCCCGTGCTGCGTGCGGTGCCAGTTAACGAACCCCCTTTGTTGTTATATTACTACGCTCTTCAGATGCATGTCACTATCAGTTCACTACCAGTACTGCGCCCCTCGCCACTGAGTTAGAGCTGTCCACCCGTTCTCACCGCAATCGTCCACGTCGAGTCGTCTCATGTGCGTCGCGATATGACATCACTAGCGCATACAACGTCAACGTCTGGACAAGGTTCGACCGAACGTTGAGCGATAGCGACCGAGGGAGTGGCCACGACCGGAACTTGGGAATTGCGCCTGCCGTACATGTCTGAGACAGTCATCATGGCGTGTTCCTGGGCCTTACAGAACTCTGTTGACATCTCGGCATCTACGCTGAGAACAGTGCGATCCTCGCTTCGCCATAGCTTGTAGTACGCAGTGGATCACGGGGACACGCTAGCCCAGGTCGAGGACTGCATGCATTGCGTCCCCGATGGCCCCGGCAGAACAATCCCCAGCGGGTAGACATGAATGCATTCGAATTCGACTGGCGCTGTCGTGATGGGAAGCAGACCACTTCCCGCATTGAGAAGCGCGGGAGCCCGCTTACGACATGGTCTGGGTGCTCGAGCAACCACCCAAGCCAAGTGCGGCGTATTTGGCTCCGAGCCAGTTCCCAGCATCGACTGACTCGGCATACCTGCGACTTTCTGCAGATAAAGCCCAGATGCATACCTTGCCCACCGGAGTGTCTCAGGTCTTTGCGCGCAGGCATGCAGGAGTAAGACGCTAGTCATGTGTGGATCTGTGGAGCCTGGAAAGCCTGAAGTCTAGCGAGGAGGCCGCGAGTGGTAGCTTCGGCTTGGCTACTATCGGGACGCATCTCGATCGCGATCTGAGTGGAGGCGAGGGCCTGGCCGGACACTCGCGCCTGGGAAGTGGAGCGAGCGAGCTGTCAACATTGCGGGCATGCAGTAGGAACAACGAGCGATCGGTACCCAGCAGGACACAGCAAACACCGCGCGCAGTTGTGTGCAGGTCAGGTGTCCTTCTCCACGGGGCAACGCGTGGTGTGCATAGCGTGCCGGTGTGGGGTATCATGCCAGAATCACGAGAGATATGCCCAAAACAAAGTTAAGCTTCCACCCAAGCAACAGATACAGCAGCGGGCATGCCTTCCCCGGTCGTCAGAGTCGGTTGGAGTCGTCAGAGGCAGTGGTGCTGGAACCGGGCTACCGTCACTGTTTAAACAGTCTTCCGTCATACCGTCATGTCTTTCCTCGTCGCAGCAGCAGCAGCACAGGACATGGAGTAGTCAGTCATTTGCGTAGCTCGGAAACGCAAAACCTTGAAGTCGTTGGATACCAACTTCTCACCACCTTTTGCACGTGAACGTGAGTCTCATAGCCCAGCATCGGTGCTGACGCGATAAGTGGAGGGTAGATCAAACATACATGGGCCATGTCTCACTCGTGACTATGAGCCCAGGCTTCACGTCATCCGCTGTGCCACTCCACTTGCAACCCTCGTTGGAACGCTGGAGATGCTGAAACGCGACATCCGATACACGAAACGCACCTCGTCGCTTTGGCACCGCTGGGCCACCTTCTACAGACCTTGGGGAAGGTTCTCAGAAAGAACGCGTAAGGCGTTTCAGCACAATGGCTGGGTAGCGGAGATGCTTGACACCGATCTCTACTGACCGGTTGCTGGCGATGCAGACCCACCGAGCGAGGCTCAAGCTTCGCCTACGCAAGCATCATGCTTGTCGACCGATCGCAGAGAACACCGACCGCTGACATAAAGAGGGACCGGACGTGACGGTTCAAAACCGTGGAGCCATGAAGCACATCGCGTCATGTTTATGCTTCTCAGCGACTCCCCATCTGCACCACCGACCGCGACGTTCCTTCCGGCACCTCCTTTTCGCACTTGGCGTACACATGACCCACCTCTAATGGGGATAAAGACAATGCTAAAGTGCGGCCAGACTCGCCTGGCGCCAACTCTGGCAGTGGTGGGGATGTGGAAGCGCAAGACATGCGGTCGGCGGGCAACGAAAGCATAGAGAGGAGCTGTGTTTGTGTTGAAACGCGAAACTCACATCCGTACCCCCGACGTCGCGAGGCGAACCTCGAGCTTCGAAGTGCCTTTCAACGGGGGTGCTCGTTATTGTGAGGATTGGCGTAGCTGTAGTGCTGGTCAAGGTGCTCCATGATTGAGCGTGGGAGAGGGGCCCAGGGCGTAAACCGGAGCTGAGCTCGAGGCACTCCAGCCACAATCTACTATTTGAAGGGTTCTGAAGACGCTGATGCATCAAAAGCCGGTGACACGGTCTCTGTACGGCAAATTGGAGTGACTCGGTGTCGATATCATGGGGAGAGCGCGGATATCAGGTTACAAACCGTCCTCACATCTGCTCAGAATGAGAGTATCCTGCAGACTGAAGAAAGAGGAAACTTGCTGCAATGGGAGACCAACGTAAGGTGTAACGGTGGCCAGTCGACCATCATGGGCAGCGATGGCTAGCAAACCATCATGGATTTCCGCGTCATGGTCGGGGAGGAGAGGTACTTGCATCTTGTCGTACACTGGTGGAAGCTCGCTGCCATGAGCTCCATCGAGATCGAGGTGCGAGGGGCAGGTCTCGAGAGCGGACCGCGACGGTCAGTCTGATCTAGGGGCATCATGAGGAGCATGGACCTCCCGCTAGCCCAGACACGGGGCTCCTCCGCTTCCGAACTCGACAGCATGCAAACGAACTGGATCCCGTCCTGCATCGCAAGCCATCGCACGCGGATCACTAGTCAGCCACCAAGAACGCCGAGCACCGGCCTTCAATCGGGTATCAGGTCAGGAACCCGAGATGCTGGCGGAAGCAATGACGTTGACGCCTCCAACTTACGCCGTCCTCTCCGTAAAGTGGAGCTGGTGTGCATCGCGAGCATCTCTCTCACTCTCACAGCGCGCAAAGCGGCAGGCGGATGTTGCGGCAGCGGATAAACACACCCGCTAGGCCGTCGGCCCGACCATGCCATCGGATAAACTAAGCGGAGCTGACTGATCACAGACATCGCAGGCGCTTGTCCCGAGGACACAGACCGCAGCAACTCTCCGAGCCGGCTTCTGCACATCGCGAGTCAAGACTCTTCACGAGCCTCCGCCTTGCCCGGTAGGATGTTGGAAGCAGAGTGCAGAGTAGAGAAGCCCCGAGACGGACACCTGGACCACTGCCAAGAGATGCGATACGCTGGGGCCGACGTTGCTAGTCTTTCGCACTTCTGACCCTGCTGATCAAGATTACAGCGACGAGTGCAATTTGGCGCTCCCATATGGCGTCTAGACCTAGATTAGCGCGTGCTCGCAGTCTAGTTCTGAGAAGATACTAAAGATAGCCGCAGCTGATCAATCCGCTAACAAACGCCCCCTTGCCCAACCGCCGTCTCCGCCGCTTTCACTCCGGGATGTGGTCAGATAGCGAGGAGGCCCCGGCGCCGGCCGAGGATATACCGGCCGACCGGCCTGCCAGGTCATGGCTTGTCTGCCAGTGGCCACGGCCTCTGCTCTAGCCCTCTAGCCCAGATGGCGAACATTTGCAACATGGGTAGGAGAATCCACAAAACAGCAGGAGCGAGCTGAGGCCTTTCGGATGGGATGCTCGGCGCGACTCGCACAGAGTCGCCTTGCGCTCGCGATGTCGGAATGCCTCTCCGCTGGCAGCTAGCACTTTCCACTGCATGCTCCGCTGCGAAGCACATCGCTATCGCTGTGTGCTAGGCATGTTCCGGTTCTGCAGGGATGTCAGTACTTAAGGCGTCCAGGAGTCGGGCGCTCTTTCCTGAACACACCTCGACATTACTCATCGCCGCCCAGCCAGGGATGCTCGACAACCTGAGGGTCAAGAGTCTTTTGTACTGCCCCTCCCAGCTCACTATACTCATCAAACTCACCAATCGGTACTTCTGATGAACGCCCTGAGGTCATAACATTCGATCACCTGTGAACTGACCTTCTTCGCCCCCCAGTTCAGTCCCGCTGTCGTAAGTGTTTGGCTGGAGGAGTTCGACTCCAAGTCTACGACGAGCTCAGAGGTATCCATGCTGGTCGATCTAGCTCCGCGATGCCAGAGCTGCATCAGATGTCTGCCGTCGCGTGTTCTGACACTCTGAACGGGACGCCCGATGCATGGCGTGCTTTGGGCATGGTGTGATAGGCAACACGAGGTAACCTGAGAGCAGCGCCGCGAACGCCGCTGGCGCCAGCGTGAGCGGCGTGAGAGGCTTGAGATGCCTCCGACCCAGTCTTGGCAGCGGTGTCCGCCGATACTCGCTCGGCAGCGCGGTAACATGTGTCCCACATGGTGCTTGGCCTTGTTTCCACTCCGGCTGCTCTCCGGCCTGTCCATCGAGGACAATGAACTGGTCTTATCTCCCCATGCTCTCAACGCCCCACGCCGTCTCCGGAGCCGTAGTGCCGGAGCCGTAGTGCGGAGAACGCCCGGATAACGACAACCGCCCCAGTTTCATTGTCTCCCGTCCGAGGAAGGGCGAGGTCGACGCCATGGCCGACGGAGCGCTGCATTGCCGAGCCTTCAGATTGCAGTGCGGCGCACTGATCTCGTCCTGCGCGAGATCGCAAGATCGCTGCATGGCGCACAGCGTGCTTCGCACGCGCCTGGGCCTTGCGGGGGGCGGCGCCCCCACCCAGGCCTTGTAAACCGACAGTCCGGTACGCTTGGGCCCAGTATAGAGTGGGGGAGTGTGGCGCTTTGGACTTTTCATGTCTGACTTTGATTTCGGGCTCGAGCTTGAGATCGGGCATGGGACCAGGCTCGAGCTGGGCTCTCCGCACAGACCGTCCACTCCCTACTTCCTCATGATGTTCATGTTCGGCACTGCCGAGCTCGCACCCGGACGCCCACAAGGCTCTTGCCACCGTGAACCTACGAAAGGCTCAGACATTTTGGACTTGCAGCCCAAGAGAGCAGCGTGTGTGGTATTTTTCTGAGAAAGTGCATCGTTTTCTACCTTCGAGACGGGACTATGAGTTTGGGGACTAGATTAATTTGACTTGAACTACTGACTTTCGTGGACATTCTCCAAACATGATTATGCGATAGAAATGGGGACTTGACTGATTCGTTGCTTTCTGATTCGTTGACTTTTGAGTTCGTGTGCGATTGCAATGATGTAAAAGGGGTCGAGCTGGTTGCTTAGATGGTGTAGACGAACCAGTCGACGTGGTCTCCGCGGTCCTGGAGCTCGAGCTTCTCCTCAGGAGTGTAGTCACGGCCACGCGCAGCGTTGCGGGCAGCACGCTGGCGGTTGGCGTACGAGCAGTAAACCCACATGACAGTGGCGGAGATGATGACAGCTCCCTGGTAAGCGAGACAGACGGCGTGACCCTTGATGAAGCGGGGGCCGTCCTCCTTGGGGTAGATGAAAGAGGAAACGATACCACCAAGGTTACCGACGGAGACGATGATAGCGGTGGCGACCGACTTCTTGAGAGAGCCGCCGCAGTTGTTGGCACCCCAGGCCATGATGAGGGGAACAAGGGGGTAAGCGCCCATGGCAGCGAGGAAGAGGCCGAAGTAAGAAGAGCCGTGGGACGCGTCGGCGAGAAGAAGAATGTAGCCGACGGCGCCGATGCAGGAGCAGCCGATGATGACGACACCACGCTTCTGGATCTTGTCAGAGAGGTAACCTGTGCCGAGCGTGACGAAGGCGGCGGCGACGTAAGGGGGAACGGACATGAGCTGGGCCATGGCAGCAGTGTAACCGAGGTTCTGGGTAAGGGTAGGGGCGAAGAGCGAGAAGGTGTAAACGGGGCAGAGGGAGCCGTGGAACATGATAGCCTGGCACCAGACCTTCCAGTCGGTGAAGGCGTCCCAGATGAACTTGGACTTGAACTCGTGCGAGCAACCGTCGTTGTCGAGGTGGAGGCGCTCGACAATCACCACACGCTCAGCGTCGGTGAGGAACTTGGCAGTGCCGGGGTAGTCGTACATGGTGAAGAAGGAAGCGAGAGCCACGACGACGGTGAGGATACCCTCGAGGATGAAGATCCAGCGCCAGCCCTCGTAGCCCTGGATGCCGTCCATGAGATTGATGAGACGGGCCAGGAGACCACCGAAGGCACCGGCGATGGTGGCGGCGGAGAAGAAGAGCGAGATACGCCAGGAGATCTCATACTTGCGGTACCACTGGGTCAGGAAGAAGGAGACACCAGGGAAGAGACCGGCCTCGGTAGCACCCAGGAAGACACGGGTGGCCATGAGACCGGCAAAGTTCTTAACGAAACCCATTCCAATCATGACAATACCCCAGGCAACCATAATGATCGGAAGCCACATGGAGGGGCGCCAGGCCTTCATGACCATGTTGGAGGGAACTGATTGTCGTCAGCTAGCTGTGCCATCATGAGGGTCCAAGGGCGGGCTACTCACCTTCGAACAGGACGTAGAAGGCGAAGAAAATAGCGAGACAGGCTCCATACTGAGTCGAGTTAATGTGAAGATGCTTCTCAAGGCCGAAGATCTTCGCATTTCCGATGTTGGAACGGTCGAGGAAAGACAGAAGGTAAAGGAGGGCAAGCCAAGGGACAAGGTGGAAGTCGCTGCAAGGTTAGCAAGGGGGAAAAGAGCTCATGTGCCACTCACATCTTGCGGATCAGTTTCTTAACGTCGACCTGCTGAGCCTCAAGCTCAGTCACGTCGGTAACGCCCTTGGAGTGCTCGATGGCGGTCTCCTCGATGTACTTCTCCTCGTACTTTTCGGGAGTCGAAGACATTGCTAAAGAATGTGGTCCGTTGTATACGGGTGTCGGGTAGTCGTAAAGTGGTAGTCGTGTGAGAAAGGGTCAGGTGAGCGGGTTGGGTTGTCGGTAATCCGCGGACGCGCGCTGAAGTATCGAGCGTGGGACTGGTTTTGACATCGATGTTGCAGCTTGACTCTTTATACTCGATGATCGGTGAGCGGTATCGATCACATCAAGGAGTGTGTGCCCCACGACGTGAACGAGCGCTTCGGCTGGGGTAGACGCTTGAGCAAGGACGTTCTGAGTTATGCCGCTCGTTCCCCCGCTCTTGCCCCGCTCACCGCCACCTCCTCACGCCACGAGCTTGGGTGCAAGGAACTGTGGGAGCGACGACTCTGTTCTTGGTTCCCCGGAGAGCCCTCGGGGGCCACCTGGGGCACCATCGCGAGACTTGTGATGTGATCGCCCCTGGACGAGGGCAGCGTCCGGTCAGCAACTCTGCTCCTACCCATTGCCTCTCCCTTCAGGGCTACCCTCGAACGCAGACCCCCAAGACCGGGCGCCCTGCACGATCTTTTTTCTTCTCTCGCACGACCTCGGCATCACTTTCACCTGTGCGATAAAACAAATCACTGGCGGAGAGGGACCCGCGCGAACGAGCAGGCGGCTTCAGGAGACGCCACACCAAGGTCAGTGCGGGGCCTCAAGCGTTCCCTAAGTGGGGGCCGATGACCGAGGGGTGGGGCGTGGAAGGAGAAGAAGACATCGTGTTCCAGATTGGCGAATCCCTCGTGCCGATACTGGCCGGTTCGATCCGGCACATGCATCAGGACGTGTCCAGCACCTGTACCGTACTCAGGAGCCAGTGTTTGAGCCCAAACTTGAAACGCTGGCTACTGTCCTCGAATCACAGCCCGGAGAGCCTGATCTTCATGCAGCCAGCAGGCCTAGTAGGCGTTTTCCTGTCAGGGGCTCGGGCCATTCTTGGAGGACTCATTTCATTCCGCACGGCAACGGAAATCTCAGAAAATGACGATAATTCGAAGTCTTCTACCAATCTGTTGCACTGCACCTCCACCACGGCGGTGACTGGACGCAAGCAGCCATGTCAATGCGAATGAACAGACCAGCAATGTCACTTCGGAAGACAGTTCAACTCGGCGTCAGTACCCAGGTGCTACCCTCACTCTGTTCTAGCCTTGCCGGACGGGCCGATCGCGATCCCTGGCAAGCTTCTGCGGAGCGTCGCCTCCGCGAAGCCGCACAGACACGGTGTCTCCGCAGCTGACGAATGTGTCCCCCGTTGTCGCCCCACAGTCTTCTTTCAGCTCCTCGATGGCTGACTCCAGCGATGCTCGCGATCGAGAGTGGGGGGAAAGGGGGAGCGAACAACCATCGTCCAACCAGCGCCGCTGTTTCGTAGCGCACTGACCACAGGGTGCCCATCGGTAACGAGGAAACCGAGGAATGCGGCGCAGTGCAGCGGCAAAGCGGCAAGAGGAGCTCATCTACAAATCATCAGCGTGCGACTCATCAGTACCTCAATAATGACTCAGGCCGTCTCTGGCCATCACATCTCGTGGCGACTGCATGACTCCTTGTCGTGGCGTTGGGCCACACAGACCTGGAATCTGATCAGCTTGGCAACGCTGACCCGTGGCAGTGTCCCGTCACAGGTGCAACAACCATGCACGAGCGTTCATCTATGCAGTGACCGTTGACTCTTCATACTCGAATCTCTCAATGAAGCAGTACTCTACCCCTGTTACATTACGAATGTGGGCGTTGTCACTGGCCGTCTAGTAGCTTAATGTGCATACCGCACCATCGCACTGTCACTTTGCACCGCATCGCAAACCACTTGGATTTCGGCTACCTCGTGTCGAGAGTGATGGCCACGGACATGACCGATTCGATATACATGCGGTGCGAGAGTGCTCCTAGGCACGCAACCAGTTCGCGAACGGTGCAGAGGCTTGAGTCTCTTGGCTGCAGGCATGACGAGTCTGTTTTTACATCACGGCGGAAGCCATCGCTGACGCCTCGTCAGCTGAAAGTGAAACCGGCGTTCTCGGCCCCACCGGCACCATTCCTCCAGAATGACAGTACCCCAGACCGGGCCCCGGTCTCGCGCATGTCACGTCACACCTTCAGATGCCAATACGGAACGCCAAGGTCCTTATCAAGTGTCGCAGATGGCCGAAGCCGGGGAAGCCGGGCACAGGTGTGTATCGGCATCACGGCATCGGACAAACTTCTGAGACAACCAGCTTATCTGGGTGGAGAGACCAGCCGACCTAATTGCGCGCGATCATGTTTGTGAATTGCCCGAGGAAGCTTGACACAATAACCAAGCTTCTGGGGCGAGTTTGCTGCGAGATCGAGATCGAGATCTCTCTCGCCCACTCTTACCGAGTCGGCTTGGAAGATATCAGGATTCTCTCCTCAACCCCCCAATACCTCAAAGGTGCCCCATGCAGTCATTCAGCACTGTTCTGCCTCGTTTCCCCTGTAACCTGACGCTGGATGGCGGTTTGTGGCGCCAACTCGTTGAAAGGACGGAGTACGCGTCATGTCCGCTGATGTCAGCCCACGTGGGCAGTAAATGGGAGATGGCCGGCGCGTCGCAAATGGTTCCGTCGACGCGTCTTGTGTCCATTTCGCGTCGCACCGTCTACTCCACCCCTGAACAACCAATATTATTCTCTCCCTCCTCCCACACAAACAACAACACCACGCTCGACTCTGCACGCCCGGACACACGCTGAAAGACGACCCTTAGTGTGACCCGACAGACGCCCAAGTCGACATGAGCTCTCCCATCCCCCCGAGCACGAACAGGACGAAGCGAAGACGGTCGGACGCTGATCTCGCCTCGACTCCTGGCGCTCGATCTTCCTCCCCGCCCCCTTCCTCTCTCCCTCCCTCGTCTCCCCCGGCGCCATTCTCCGACTTTGGAGACGACGAGGATGTTGGAGATGATGAGGAGGCTGAGATGCGCGCGCGCGGTCGACGAGACGCCGGCGACGAGGACACGGACGACGAGGGCGAAGATCTGTTCAACGACGACAACCTCCAGCGCGACTACGAGGTGAACCCGGAGCTTGACCGGTACTCGGATGCCGGACTCGATGACCGGAGCAGCGTACAGGAGATGTCGCGCGCCGACAGACTCGCGGCCGAGCGAGAGATGGCGAGGCGAGACCGCGGCCTGACCGGCGGACGAGCGGCGCGACGAGGACGTGTCCCGACCTTCCTGCAGAGTGACGACGATGACGATGGAGCCGTCGATGGCGGTCTTCTCAGCGGCATTAACACCCGACGAACGCGTCGTCAGTACGATGAGCGCATGGACGAGGACGACATTGAGGAGGACGAGATGTCGCTTGAGCATCTCGGAGACGTCAAGGCCTCCTCCATCAGCGAGTGGGTCTCGATCCCGCAGGTCCGAAGGGCTGTCCAGAAGCACTTCCGCAGCTTCCTCATGACCTACGTCGACGACAGCGGCCAGTCGGTCTACGGTCAGCGCATCAAGAACCTCGGTGAGATCAACTCCGAGTCGCTCGAGGTATCATACATGCACCTGGCCAGTTCGCGTCCCATTCTTGCGTACTTCCTCGCCAACTCGCCTCAGTCGATGCTCTCCCTCTTCGACGAGGTCGCCCTCGAGGCCATCCTGCTCTACTACCCCGCCTATGACCGTATCCACTCGGAGATCCACGTCCGCATCACCGACCTGCCCTCCAGCAAGAGCCTTCGCGACCTCCGCCAGAGCGATCTCAACTGTCTTGTTCGCATCAACGGTGTCGTCACCCGCCGTACCGGTGTCTTCCCGCAGCTCAAGTATGTCAAGTTCGACTGTGGCAAGTGTAAGGCGGTCCTCGGCCCCTTCTACCAGGACACCACGAAGGAGCTTAAGATCAGCTTCTGTTCACAGTGTGAGAGCCGCGGACCGTTCACGGTCAACTCGGAGCAGACGGTGTACCGCAACTACCAGAAGATGACGCTGCAGGAGGCGCCCGGCTCCGTTCCTGCCGGTCGTCTTCCCCGCCATCGCGAAGTCATCCTTCTCTGGGACCTCATCGACAGCGCCCGTCCCGGAGAGGAGATCGAGGTGACCGGTATCTACCGCAACAACTTTGACGCTTCCCTGAACTCGAAGAACGGCTTCCCCGTTTTCTCCACGGTCATCGAGGCGAACCAAATCACGAAGAAGGAAGACATGTACGCCTCGATTCACCTGACAGAGGAGGATGAGAAGATGATCCGCACGATGGCGAAGGACGACCGCATTGCGAAGCGCATCATCAAGTCCATCGCTCCCTCGATCTACGGCCACGACGACATCAAGACGGCCATTGCGCTGTCGCTCTTCGGTGGTCTCACGAAGGACATCAACCGCAAGCACCGCATCCGTGGTGACATCAACGTGCTGTTGCTCGGTGACCCCGGTACTGCCAAGTCGCAGTTCCTCAAATATGTTGAGAAGACGGCCAACCGTGCGGTCTTCACGACGGGTCAGGGAGCGAGTGCCGTCGGTCTTACGGCTTCTGTGCGCAAGGACCCTGTCACTCGCGAGTGGACGCTCGAAGGAGGAGCCCTTGTGCTCGCGGACAAGGGCCACTGCCTGATCGACGAGTTTGACAAGATGAACGACGCGGACCGAACGTCGATCCACGAGGCGATGGAGCAGCAGAGTATCTCGATCTCCAAGGCCGGTATCGTCACGACACTGCAGGCTCGTTGCGCCATTGTTGCTGCTGCAAACCCGATCGGTGGCCGGTACAACCCCACGATCCCGTTCCAGCAGAACGTCGAACTGACGGAGCCGATCCTGTCGCGTTTCGACGTGCTGTGTGTTGTCAAGGATGCGGTCGACCCTGTCAAGGACGAGCACCTCGCGCAGTTCGTCGTCGGCTCGCATCTCCGCTCGCACCCCGACTTTGACCCCGCCACAGACGAGGTCGCGGTCAACACGACGCAGGATGCGGACATCATCTCCCAGGAGGACCTGCGCAAGTACATCATGTACGCGAAGGACCACATCCAGCCGAAGCTGTACCAGCTGGACCAGGACAAGCTTGCGCGCCTGTACGCGGACCTGCGTCGCGAGTCACTCGCCACGGGCTCCTTCCCGATCACGGTTCGTCACCTCGAGTCCATGATCCGTATGGCCGAGGCGTCGGCCAAGATGCACCTGCGCGAATTTGTGCGCGCCGACGATATTGACCTCGCGATCCAGGTCATGGTCGGCTCGTTCGTGTCTGCGCAGAAGGCGTCGGTCAAGAAAACGCTGCAGCGCGGCTTCAGGAAGTATGTGCACCAAGCGACGGATTCGGACGAGCTGCTCGCGTTCCTCCTCGGCCAGATTGTCAAGGAGCGCGCGCAGGTGTACTGGCACCAGCGCGGACAGATGCCGGACAAGGTGACGGTGAGCGTGAAGCAGCTCGAGAGCCGCGCCAAGGAGGTCGAGATCTACGACATCAACCCGTTCCTCAAGAGCGCCCTCTTCAAGCGCAACGGGTACAGCGTGCACGACGGGCTGATCGAGAAGTCATTCGCGCCCGTAGAGGAGGAAGAGGAGTAATGCTTTGCTTTGCGTATTGTATGAAGAGAGTTTGTACAGGTTTACAGGTTATGCTATTGAGTCGCCGCCATCTATGAACCTAGCCCGCTAGCCCCGCCGCCGCGGCGCAGGCTTGAAGCCTTGTCCGAGGCCCTGCACGTCCTCCTGCTCACGATGCTCCGTGACGCCACTCTCCTCCATCCTTCGCTTCGTGTCCTCCATAGCGAGCCTGCGGAGCTCGTCGGCATCATCGTGCTGCGCCGCGTCCACCTTCTCGCGCGGCGGGGCGAGGTAGCTCTCCTGCCCCATAGCCTTGGACGCCTCCTGAACAGCGGAGGGGGGCAAATCGAACCCGCGCGCCTGCGCGACCGACGGCTTCTGGCTCGCGTAGCTGCTCGGCTTGCCAGCGCCGGCATAGCTGTACGCGCCCTTGGCGCCCTTGGGGCCGCCAATCTTGGGCTGCAGGTCCCGCGGCGCCTCCAGGCGGTCGGGGTCGATCTCGCTCCCGTCCGGGTTCAGGTATCCCTGCTCGATGCGCTCGAGTCTCTCCCTCTCCTCAATCTCGGCGACGCGCTGCCGGAGCCTTTCTTGGCGCACGTAGTCGCGCTTCAATTCGTCCATTGTCGGCGGGTTCGCGCGCGTGAAGCTCATCCACGCCGTCCACTGCACGGGCAGCTGCTGCGTACCCAAGCGATACTCGAGCCGGTTGCTGTAATTGCCACTGTTGATCATACGTTCCTTGGAGCCTTCGGTGCCCGGCTCGGCGTACTCGACAAAACGCTTCGGTCGGCCGAACGAGGTGGGGATCTCGTAGTACTTGTTTCCGAGGAGGTCGGTGCCGACGAGGCCCTGAACGTTAGCTCTGTCTCTGAAAACGAGCTGAGTGAAGGACAAGGAGAAAGGAGGCAAGGGGCACTCACGTTGGGCTTCTTGGCACGCGACGTCAGTCTGGCCCACAGCGAGCTCATTGTTGATAATTCGTAGGGTATCTGGACAACAACAACAGCAGACAGCTAGCTGCTCCTCATTGCGTCGGACATGGACGACGGTGGTGACGAATGGCGAAGTTTGGATTTGATCCCGCCCTCCACCACTGAGTGCTCCTCCAGTCCCTTACATCATGCCGGTCGTGCCTGATGCCGGATCACTGACCTCGTCTCGAAAGTCAGCCTTGGCACGGACTCTGCATCTGTCCACCTCTCCATCGCCCTCACACCTCTCCACCCTCCCCCTCCCTATCACCCCGACTCCGACTCCGACTCCGAATCGCACTCATCGCCCAACGGCTCCCGACACCATGGCGATGATCATCTTCCAGCTTTACGCCGTCGCGACCCTCATCGTCGGCTACCTCATCACCATCGGCTATTCCGAGCCATACACGGACTGGTACAGCCTGGGCGCGCACGGCCTGCCCCTCAACGTGGTAGGCTACGGGGTGGACAAGTTCCTTCAAAAGATACAGGTCGACAAGCGGGACGTCTCCGTCTTCGCCCCGGGCTCCGAGAAAGCCGAGCACTGGGCCAAGCGCACCGCTCCAGGCGGCAGCATCAGCTATCTCTCAGCCGCGAGCTTGAAGCCGCGCGACCACGCCGAGGTGCTGCCGTACGTCGTGCCGCAGCTCGAGGTCGAGGGCAACGAGGACATCGTGCCCGTGCTGAGGAGCTATGTCGAGGACATGGCGGACCGCGACGATCGCTTCACCATCAAGCCGTCCAACCTCGAGAGCGGGGATATCGGCTCGGTGTGGCTCAAGCGGAAGCACAAGTGGCAGATGGTCGGCGAGTTCGCCCACGTTCACCAGGACGGGAGCTCCCACTTCATCCTGAGTGTGCCCGACGCGCGCGAGGTGCTCGAGAAAGGCTGGGGAGAGAGGCACGGCATGGCCGGCCGCATGACGCCGCTCACGTACATGTTTGTGTATGCGCCGAGGGACGAGGAGGAGCTCAAGGAGTGGAAGAAGATTGCCAAAGCTAGCGCTGCGTTCATCACCGCCGAGTAGACGTGGGCACGATGGACATCGGCACAAGTACACAACGATAGCGACATCGGGCCGAACGAGGCGTCGAGGGGCTGAGCTGAAGGGCTTGCCTGGCAGAACGGAATTTTGGGATAACGGTAGAAATCATCATGAATTGCATAGACCTCTGGCTTGTGTCGCATCGCAAGGCGTGTTCTGCATATTCTCAAGTTCTCTTAACCAGCTGTCAGTACGCACTGCATGCATCTGCTATCATGCTCCGGATTCTGCGGGGCCACTCGTGCCGCATTTTGCCACCGAAAACAACGACCTCCACTTTTGCCACGCGGGCAACGTGTCGCCGAGTTCGGTATGACGAAGCCGTCTCAGCGAAGCTAACCCGTCGAGTAAGCGTCCAAATGTGTCTTGTAACTTTACTCCATCGGCCATGACAACATGAGGCGTCACCTCATTCACTTGATTGCGGCGCTTCTCCTGGTACTGCTCGTGTTCGCGGACGAGCGGGCACGGAACCAGGACGAAGGACGAAAAGCGACACTCGTCAAAGGACAGGTGGAAGAACAACAACAAGTGCTCGATGTCGACGTACCCCCGGAAATTGGGCCTGATGGTGAGTCGTTGACACTGCGGTGCAGACAAGTATCAAGCACGACCTTACGCGTCATGGTCTTGGAGTCTGGTCTCCACCGCTACAGTATCCCAGCTTGGCGGTCATTCAGTTCAGCTCACATCAGTGTGCGCGCCGTTGGTGGAGGCGCGCCAGATCCTGCGGCGGATGCAGCCGAGGCACGACGCTCATTTGGACAAGAAGCTCGGCGGGGTTGGGCCGACGACCTCGATTAGCGACAGTCTCGGCTGGTCGCGTGATGTAAGCTAGAGTGTCCCCATCTCAGCTGACAGCCAGGGCCCGATGTCGGCTACGTTGCGGTTACTCCCTCGCGTGCTGAACCTCGTGAACCCCTTCCAGATCGTGTCCCGACTACGCGGAACGAGCGAGAAGCTACGCGGCTCCCGGAGCAAAGTCGGAAGGGAGCGCCAGGCGAACGCAGAACGGGCGCTGGACCTGATCGATGACGCGGTCGAGAATGGCTGCCTTGAAGCACTCGCTCTGCGCGCAGAGGTCAACATGTTCCCGCCGCGGGGTATCGCACAGAACCTGACTGCAGCGTACGAAGACTACGAATCCTACCTCGATGGCTACACGAGCGATCCGAAGGCGCAGTTCATGCTCGGCTTCTTCTACGCGACGGGACTCGGCGGCGCGCCCCGCGATCAGGCCCGCGCACTGCTGTACTACACCTTCTCGGCGCTGCAGGGGTACAAGGCCGCGCAGATGGCGATGGGGTACCGATACTGGTCCGGGATTGCGGTGAAGGAGGACTGCGACCTCGCGCTGGACTACTACGAGTCCGCGGCGCGGAACGCATTCTATGCGTTCAACTCTGGACCGCCAGGCGGAAAGACGCTCCTCCTTTCGCCATCGCGCCTCAGTGATCGGTACGGCGGCATCTTTGGCCCGCACGCGAGCTGGGCGTCGACGGGTGTCATGGCACACCGCGCGGCCGTGAAGGCGAGCCAGGCCAAGGAGCGGGGCGAGAACGAGGCCGAGATCCTCGAGTTCTACCAGTACCGTTCTGACCGCGGCTCGCTGAGCTACACGTACCAGCTCGGCCTACTCTTCTACCTCGGCAGCGTGTACGGGCACGGTGTGGGCGTCAGTTCCGGCGCCGAGGTCGTCGGCGAAGTACCCCGTGACTACGCCAAAGCCCAGCGGTACCTGTACCACGTCGTGCGACAGCTGTGGCCGGCCGACTTTGATGCCGAGGGCAAGATCATGCCCAAGAAGAAGATGAGCAAGGAGTCCGAAGACGCGATCCGCAAGTACGCCATGAGCGCGGCGTCTCTCCTCGGCCGCATGGCCCTCCGCGGCGAGGGCATGCAGCAGGACTACCGCGCCGCGTACCTTTGGTACAAGCGGGCAGCTGAGCTCGGCGACCCCGAGGCACACAACGGCCTCGGTATCATCTACAGGGACGGGCTGGGCGTCAACGTGGACGCGAAGCAGGCGATGAAGTACTTCAAGAGCGCGGCGACGGCGCAGCTCCCCGAAGCGCAAGTGAATCTCGGCAAGTTGATGTCGGCATCGGGCCAGGACGCAATCAAGGTGTTCGAGGCGGGGATTCGATCGGGCTCGCCATTCGAAGCCCTCTACCACGTCGCTGAGCATCACGCAGCTCGCTCGCGCAAGATCGCAGACGAGGGAATCCAGGACCACCTCAGTGTCTGCGGCATTGCGACGATCTACTACAAGATCGTCTCCGAGGTCGGATCCTGGGGCGAGGACTTTGTCGGCGACGCGGACCGTGCCTGGGCCCGCGGGGAGACGAACAACGCCCTCGTCGGGTGGTGGCTTGCTGCCGAGGCAGGAAGCGAGATTGGGCAGAACAACGTCGCGTTCCTCCTCTCCCGCGGACTGGGGAAGGACGTGGATGCGCCCGCCGACTCGGAGCTGACGCTCTGGATGCGCTCGGCGGCCCAGGACAATGCCGACGCCATGGTGAAAGTGGGCGACTATTACTATGCCGGTCTGGGACCCAACGAGAACGCAACGGCCCCGGAACTCCCCACCGGCGAGCACGGGGAGCCCGACTACGCGAAGGCCCTCGCATACTACCAAACCGCCGCCGACAAGCAGAGCGCTATGGCGTACTGGAACCTAGGGTACATGTACGAGAACGGCCTCGGCGTGCCGCGCGACTGGCACATCGCCAAGCGGCAGTACGACCTGTCATACTCGCAGACGCCCGACGCCGCGTACCTCCCCTGGCTCCTGTCCATGTGCAAGTTGTACCTGCGCAGCTGGTGGGTGTCGTTCCGCACGGGCGGCGCCGTGCCCGGCCTGGGCCTCTATGACGAGGACCAAGCCCCCCAAAGTCTGTGGGAGGGGCTGAAGGGCCTAGTGTGGCCAAAGTACGACGGGTACGTGCCCGAGCAGGACGAGGAGGTCGAGGACTACTCGGGCGCGGGGTGGGCGCAGCAGCAGGGAGGGGGTCAGGCTGGGGACGACGAGGAGTTTGACGAGGTAGACGACATCATTGAGAGCCTGGTCATTATCGTGCTGACGGGGGTGATCATGGTCTTGTTCTGGATCAGGGGACGCATGGTGAATCGGAACAACCAATAGAGATAGAGATTTATGTATCTGTTAGTTCTGCACAATGGTCAAGATGCGGATAAATCAGCTATCCTTTTGCTGCGGCGCGTACTGAGACGTTCGTGCATATGACAGAGTGGCGCTAGGCCTTGGTGAACTATGAACAACATGGGGCACCCGGTGGGGCTGGATATGTGATGGTGTGGGCGGGGTTATGGATGATGCGAGTTCTTGTAGTGCAGACAACAGGAGTAGGGAATGATACAGTATATGAATGTGGTTGAAGTGTAGTGATGATGAGATGATGATGGCTTTGGATGTGATTACGCGACGTAAGTGACAGAGTGATTGATGTGGTGATAGATATGCTTGAACTAAACAAGCTTGGCGCGCTTGAAAGTAAGCTTGATCCTGGGCACGGGCGTAACAGGAGCCTTGCGCCTCCTGCCGCCCTTGGCCACCTCCTTCTCCTTCTCCTCCTTCTCCTTCTGCTCCTCCCTTCGCTCCCTCTTCCGAATCTGAATCCCCTCACTGCGAGTCGCCAAGCGCCAAGCACCCGGGAAGTTCTCATACCCCTCAACCTCAACATTCTTGCGCCAAACGGCCAGGTTGTGCGTGCGCCTCAAGCGCGCGCGGACGAAGGCGGGGTCGACGGCCTCGAGTCGCTCGCGCAGATCGATGGCGTTCGCGTGTGCGTCAAAGGGCAGCTTCGGGGAGCGGGGCCGGGGCAGGTGGTCGAACCAGACCTTGTCCTGCGTGTCCTGCTTGTCCACCTTGCCATCCTTCTTGTCCTCGAGGTCATTGGCGGGCTGCGTGCCGAGGTCCAGAAGCCCCTGCGCGCCATGTGGGACCTGGAGGGTGAGGAGCTGCTCAGCCGCCTTCTCGGCCTGGAGCGCGTCGCGCGCACGAATCCGCGCCGAACGCCGCCGGGCCACAATGCCTTTGTGCATGATGGCCGCCGCGAGTTCGGTGTCGCTCGGCATCTCGGTAAACTTGGGCAGATCCGCGAGGGTCGCGAGCAGCTGCGCCTCCATCCCCAGCGTGAAGGGGGTGCGCTTCATGACTGCGTCCACCACTGCATCGTTCAGGGCCTCGGCCTTTTGGTCGTCGCTCTCGTCCTCTCTCGCATCGGCGGGGGCGGTGGTGGTCGTAGTGACGGAGATAGAAGCGGAAGTCGCGGCGCTGAGGAAGTGAGGCGCCGAGCGAGCAACGGGACGGCAAGTTTGAGACTGCGCGTCCAGCCAGAGCTGGTAGCGGTACTTGAGTGGTTCGGGGGCGTTGTCCGGCAGGGGGTGCGCGTTCATGAGCGCGAGGTACTTCTCCCGGGGATGGAGAGGCTTGGGCTTGGTCCTGGGCTCCTCCTCAGTCTCACTCTCGAGGTCGGGGCCGGAACAGGACTCAGACTTGGTCCTTGGGAGGAGATAGTCGGACAGCTCAGAGACCGTGTTGGTGTCGGAGGCAGCCTTGGTGGCGGCGGAGGACTTGGGCTCATCAGAGGCGGGGATGGCCGCAGGAGACGTGGGGGACGACATAGGAGCAGGTTCGGCTTTCACGGTGTCGTTGTTACCACCCGCGCTGCCGCCGCTGTCGTAGTCAGAGTGACCGTCCTCGCTCGAGGTGTAGGAGTGCCTGCCCCATCCAAAGTTTCCAGAGTTACCCGAGTTTCCACCGCCACTGCCACCGGTCGCACCACCAGTAGCACCCCCAGAGCTGGGACCAGCGCCAGGCGGCGGGTCGTTGTCGTTGTCGTCGTGGTCGTGGTCGTCGCCCTCATCTTCGCTCATCTCCGTGTCCGACTCAGACTCCGACGCAAGCTCGTCCTCCTCGACCTCGACAATCTCGACCTCCACAATCTCCATTCCGGGGGGTACGGCCGACTCAGTCACGGACGCAGTCGAGGGAGGAGTGGAGACCCAAGACGGTCCCGCGCGCATCGGGGGCAGAGGCTGATACGGAGGCGGAGGCGGGGGCGGGATATTGGTAATCTGGCCACGGCGCTCAATCATGTGCATCGGGGACGCGAGACCGGTGAACCCCTGTCCCTGCCTCTCGTTGAGCTGGGGCTGCACGCCCGGAGCGGCGGCGTATCCGTCGCCGAACCCGCCGAACCCACCCCCACCAGGAGGCGCCATGATGCCGCCAAAGGGCGCGCCAAAGTCGTCCGCGAAGCGGCGCTGGAGAGGTGCATGATGGTGATGACCGTGGCCAATGGCGGCAGGGCCGGTGTGCATGTTGGGCGGGAAAGCGGGTGGCGGAGGGCCAGGGGGGCGAGAGGGGTCAGCGAAGGCAGAGGGGCCAGTAGGACCAGCGAAAGTCTGAGTGGAGCCATGACCAGTAGCGAAGCGAGCAACATTACGAGCCGTGCTAGGTCCGGGACCAGCAGCGCCCAGCCCCGGCGGGCCGGCATGCAGATTGTACCGATCATGAGCGTACTCGTGCGGATAGCCCGGTCCATGCGTCCAGAACTGGTTCACGCGGCGGTTGCCCTCATACCGCTCGTGTTCGTACGGACGCGGCGTGGCGCGGGGGCGGAACTCGAACCCGTTCCGAGAGTTCGGGTGGGGCGGGGCAGGCGGGGCCGTGGCAGACCCGGAGGTCCGGCGGGAATAGGCGAGGGCAGCCTGCGGTGCCAGTAGACGCTGGCGTCGTCCTTGTCCTCGGTGTCCTCGGCGTTGTTGGTGTTGCTGGAGTGACGACGGCGCTCACGACGGCGGCTGGTGCGCGTCAAGCTGCTGGGCTCACCATTGCTGGGTCCAGGGTCGGCGCCGATGTTGAAGCCAGCCCCAGGCTCGGGATTGAGCAAGTTGGCGAGTGCGTGCCGGCCGTTCTCGGGGGGAGGCGTGGTGATGAACGGATCCTCAGTGCCGGGGGTGAGGATGCCGCGGAGACGCTCCGGGACGCGGGGCCAGTGGTCCTCATCCCTGATCTCGTCGTTCTCGTCGATCTCGTCGGAGTCGGCCAGGTCGATCACTTCCTGCGCGGCAGTCGAGGGACCTGCCTCCGAGGGCAAAGGGCGCGAGGGGCCGAAGAGGACGTGCGCGTCCGAGGGACCGCGCGTGGTCCGGGCCTTCTTGTTCCTCTTGGGAGTCTTGGTAGGCGTGGCGGTTTTGCTGCCGGTCTTGTCCTCGGCGGCGGCGGAAGAGTCGGTCGCGCGACGCGTGGCGCGCCTCGCTGAGGACGAGGTGGGCTCCTGCTGGCTAAAGGCAGAGGCAGTAGCGCGGCGCTTGCGGGTACGCGTCCCACCAGCCTGCGAGGGGGTCGAGGACGCGTCGGGCGCGTCCTGCGTGGCAGAGGGGGAGGTGTCTTGAGCAGTGCTAGCGCTCAGCGTTGCGCTGAGCTCTCCATCATTCGAGGTGCTGCCAGTCGTGGCTGCGGTCGAGTCGGCAACGATGGCACTGATGGAGGCGTTGGCGTCGCCACTCGACCCCGACCCAGACGCGTCGCCACCCTCACCACCGGGCGACTGGTTCGTGGAGCGGATGTCGGACATTGAGACGTCACCATCACCGATGCTGCGCGAGCCGGTGGCCGTCGAGCTCGCCTTGGTGCTCGCCTTGTTCTTGGCCTTGGGAGAAGCCTTGGGAGCCCTGGGAGTGCTTTTACGAGGCGACTCGGGCTTGGCTCTCGCCTTGCCCTTTCCGCGGGCCATGTTTGTTCTCACCCGAAGTTAAGTACAGGGAGAGAGGGAGGGGGGAATGGGGAATTGGGTGATGAGGGATGAGAAGGAAGATGGAAATGCAGTGATGATGAGGAGCAGGGGTGAGAAGAAGAGAGGAGGAGAGGGTGTGTGTACCCCCCTCGCACGCGTGACGGGTTGAGGGGGACGGGTGGACTGGGTCGTGAGTGCGAGTGCGCACTGGGGCTGGACGGACAAGGACAAGGCAAGCGGCCAGAGTCGGGGGACTTAGGACCGATACCTGCCCCGAGTCCAGTTTCCAGCTGCCCGGAGCCCGCCTGTGAACCGCAATGAGAAGTCCAGAGACGAGGCGAGGAGGGCGGACTGGGGAGCAGTGCGTGCGAGTGTGCAATATGTGTTGAGTGAAGGGAGGCTGTGGGTTGCGACTCTCGCGTGTCCAGTATACTTCTTATACCTTCACTCCAATCCATGATCATGCCTACTCGCACGCTCGCCTCGTCATCGTAAGTGTTCATCAGTAAGTTGTGACTTCGCCAGGTCCACAGTTCGCTTCAGCAATCGATCAAACTCGTGTCGAGGAAGATTTGAGGACGACAGGTTCGGTCGTTGTGCCAGCGGCGAGGCGACGTAGTGTGTCCTGTGTTAGTTGGAATGTCCTCAGTGTCTATTGTTCACATCCTCGCTATGCCGCTTCAACATCGCTTCAAACTCATGTCGACGAGCACCAACGTCAGCGACACGTTTTCGCAGTGAGCAGTGGGTGATGAGTGACGAGTGATGCGCAGTGGCATCAGTGACACCTGTGGCGCAAGCCGGAGCGGTGCATCAATCGATGAACAAGGATGGAAATGTTCGCCGATCTCCAACTCATTGTCTCGCCCCGCTCAGCACCACCCGCCATACACCGCGATCGAACAACGACCGCTGATGGAAGAGTATTGTCCATCAATCGGCCTGCTCGCATCAGTATTTGTGTCTCTTGCCACAACGTCAGTGGGGCATCAGTGAAGAGCACCAAGGAGGAGGTTACTGTTACATGCAACTACACTTACGCTCTACGTTCTAGCCGCTACCCAAGCCAGGATCAATCGCGCTCCGCCTCTCGCGCGGCTGTCGTCGCGCTCGCGGCCTCGCTACCCTGCATGCAGATGCAGCGCCTCAATGAACCCCTTCAAGTCCTCCTTGCCTACCTCGACAACGCTCGTGTCAAACATCTCCATCTTACTCTCGACCCCACTCTCCTCGCTGGCTTGCTGGAACGCGAGGCCAAACTTGTTCTTCCGCACATCGCCATACTCGACCGCCCCCGTGACGCCTACGACCATGTAGGCGTCCTTCTCCTCGTCCAGACAGGCGATGACAAAGGGCAGCGAGGTGACGTTGCGCCCGCTGCGCTCCTCGCGCTCGGCCCAGCGGTCGCGTGTCGCGTCCACGAGCCACAGCGCTAGACGGGACAGGGTTGACGGGTGGGAAAACAGTTTTAGGTCGGGACCCTCCTTGATGGCTGCGAAACGGAAGGAACGCAGCGGGCGGATGATGCCCTTGTCGAGGATGGCGCTGCCTTGCCGGATGATGGCGCGGTGCAGCGTCTTGGCGAGCGGCAGGCTGCGGCGGAGGAGCCTGATGCTGTTTCTGTCAGCTTGAGAAAGTGGGACTCTAATGACTCACTTGTCGCACGCATCGTAGGCGATCCAAAAGTTCTGCACGTGCCAGGGCTGGCTCTTGCTCTCCGTCTCTGGCTTTTCGACCGGTTCGTCGTCCACGCTCCACACCTTGAGGGAGCCGAACCACTCGCCACCGCCCCGGCCGCCGTCCTGCTCCACCTCGAGCTTGATCCCCTTCGCGGCCTCGAGCAGCGCCTCGAGGCCCTCGCACGCGTCCGCCGCCGAGAGCGCGGCCATCTCGAACCCATACGCCCTCACAAAGCTGGGATACTCGAGCTCGACGAGGCCATACTCTGGCGCGATCGCGTCCAGCTTCCCCCTCAGGTCGCGCTTCAGGCTTACGTCCATGTGCGCATAGGCTTGGGTGCACTGGGCCAGCGAGAAGCCCATTTTGGCCAGCAGGCCCTGGAGTTTCTTCCGTCCGCGGTCTTTCCAGATCCCCATTCGGCCCGCGACGTAGCCACTGTGCAGCATCGAGTCGTACAGGTTCCAGTGCCGGAAGAGGACGAAGCGGAACTCGTCGCTCCGGGATATGCTCCTGTTGTCTGGGTCTGGAGGGCCGGTGGTCTCGGGGTTCAACCGCACCACTTCGTCCAGGAGCAGCTCGTGCTCCCCCTCATACCGTGATCGGTCAATTTCGGCCGCCACGTACTGGTGCGTCACGGCTAGGATTGACAGCCACAGCAGGTCGTTGTCGGCCCGCTCGAGCACGGTTGCCAGTAGGTACACTGTCAGCGCGATCGACATGCCGTACGACGTTCCGGCGTGGTAGTACCGGTTCACGCGCTCGATGTGGGCGTCTCGGATTGCGCGGGGCATCTTTCTTGGCTGGGCGTCAGCTGATGCGAGATAGTCAGCTCACCTTGTCGTCTTTTCTCCGTTTGGACGGACGCGCCGAGTCAGATCGGCTCCGCTTCCCGTCACCATTCACGTCGTCCCCGTCTTCCTCCTCGTCCTCGTCCTCCTCCGTGTCCTCGCCTTCGTCCTCGCTCTCGTCGTCCGATTCCGAGTCTGACGGCTCAAACTGACGTCAGCGGGAGTGACCGATGTGAGACCCACCTCCAGAGCCTCCCAGGACTTCTTGACATTGTCGAGCTTGACCTCGTCGCCGTCGCCCCAGACCCAGATGCGGTCGCCCTCGCCGTCGACTTCTAGGCCGAAGAGGTTGTCCAGGTTCCACGGACGGTGAGCGTCGATGATGTGCAGATGCACCCCCTCGGGGAGGTGGAAGTACTCGGCGAGATTCAACAATGAGCCGAGCGAGAGCAGGATCAGCGTGTGTAGCTAAGTGTCAGCAATGTTCGACTGGTAGGGAGCTGGGGCTGGTTCCGTATGCAGCTTCATGACGCAACATCGGAGTCCAGCATGGCAGCACAAGGCCCAGCTTCAAACTGGGCATCAAGCACACCGCCAGATAAGGATTCAAGCCCCCACGAACAGTTCTGCTGAGCCGCTCGCCCGATCCGCTCATCGACCCACCTCCTCTGAAGCGAGAGCCTCATCTCTCCGCGCCTCGAGCTCCGAGTATCCCCCAATGGGCACGATGCGGTATGCGACGTCGTCCTGCTGGAACAGAGCTGCAAGGATGCGTGTAGCGAGGAGTCCATCCTGAGTTCCGAGTCAGCCACAATGTCTAGAGTTTCTCGCTGTGTGTGTCCACACAACTGCACACTCACGACATCAACCGAGACGAATACGACTACGCCGCCCGATCCTGCGCCTCCGCGGCGGCGGACGCGGGACACGATCGAGTTGTATCCGTCGACATATGTCTTCTGGGATGGCCGGAGGTTGGGTGCCGGCGGGACGAGGACGGGCATATGGGTCTCGAGTGGTGGTAGTAGGAATGTTGACTTGAGGTGGTTGTTGACTCTGGGACCTCCACCCCTCGCTCAACATTGGCCTGACCAAAGGAACGCGTCGCGTCCCAGTTGACTTCGCGTCCCAAGAAGATGGGCATGCATGGGAGTCACGTGGCTGCACAATTGAAAGGAAAATTGCCGGGAATGCTTCCGGGTAAATAAGCGCCCCTCTGTTACGTCATGGCTGTGTGCAGTGCAGTGCATGCGACGGCGGCGGCTGCGGCGATCAAAGAGGACGGGGGCGCGGAGGATGGACGCCGGCGGGGGACGGCGGCGGCGGCGCCGGAGCAAGGGGCGCAAGGGCAGTCGCAGCCAGTCACGGGCAGCAGCAGCACGGGGGCCGGTTGTCGACGCGACGAGCTTTGCCGACGGAACCGATCGATCGCACCCAGTCACGCGGCCTTTGCTTCTTCTGGGAACAGGACCTTGGCACCGGGCACTGAACTAAACTTGGCCTCAATCCTGAGTAAATAACTTGCTGGCGCCGGGCAGAGTAGTGCAACACACTCACACACACAGCCATCTACCTCTCACTCCTCTTTGCTTCCTCCTCATCTCTCATCACCCAGTCACTTGTCACTGCTGTCACCGGTTACTCTTGGACAGCATGAGCGTCCCCGTCCCCAAGTCCTCCGACCCATCCGCGTTCCAGGACGACGACTCGTCCATCGCACCCTCCACCAGCACAGAGACCGGCACATCCCCCACCTACAACAAGAAGGATGTCCCCCAGCCTAGCAGAGTCAGCAGGTTCATGGGCAAGGTCGACCGCATTACTTCGGGTGTGAGCCGTCTCGGCACCGCTGTCGCGACCACCTGGAACCCGAACCACAGGCACGACGAGGAATGGGAGAAGGAGATTGACCGCAAAATCGAGGACATTCGCAACGGACACCGCTTCCGCTCCTTTGCGCCTGAACGAGAGGGAAACATGGTCAAGTGGCAGATTGACGGGCACGGTGGGTTCAGAAGCTCTGGCGTAGCGTTGAGCTGACACTGCAGACTACTTTTGGGCGCTGTCCGAGATGATCGACAGGGCAGAGAGCGTACGTACCCACGGGTCCATGACGCAGGGTCGGATCTAACCCCCAGACCATCATGATTCTCGACTGGTGGCTGTCCCCCGAGCTGCAGCTGCGTCGCCCGGCGGCCAAGTATCCCGAATGGCGTCTCGATCGTCTGCTGCAGCGCAAGGCGGCCGAGGGCGTTCGCATCTACGTCCAGGTGTACAAGGAGGTGAGCTAGAAATCCCGCTTGCGTAGCTGACAGCAGGTGACCGCGTCGATGTCTCTCGGCTCGAAACACACCAAGGTGCGACATTAGCAGTTCTATTTCTGACATCAGCACGCCCTCGAGGACCTGCACGAGAACATTGCGTGCCAGCGCCATCCGGACCACTCTGGCGGCGAGCTCGTGTACTACTTCTCGCACCACGACAAGCTCTGCATCGTGGACAACAAGTATGCGGCGCTCGGCGGACTCGACGCCTGCTTCGGACGATGGGACACGCACGACCACCCGCTCGCCGACGTGCACCCTACCAAGTTTGGCAACTCGTTGTTCCCTGGCCAGGACTACAACAACTCGCGCGTCATGGACTTCCAGACCGTGGACAAGTTTACCTCCAACGAGCTTGCGATCCAGGACACGACCCGAATGCGTAAGCTATCCAACTTCTTCTCAGCTAATGACAGCGTGGCACGACACGTCGATCACGATGGTGGGCCCGGCAGTGGTTGACCTCGTGCAGCACTTTTGCGAGAGGTGGAACTTTGTCAAGGAGTTCAAGTACAAGCACGAGAAGCGGATGGACTGGCTGCAGCTCCCGTCGCCGTGGGCGGACGTCTATAGCGAGACGGACGCAGGCAAGGCGGCCGAGGACAAAAAGTTCCGCGAGGAGCACCCGCACCTGTCCAGGTGGAAGGAGAAGGGACGCCAGCTGTACCACCCCTTCCACTTCCCGCCCTCGGAGGAGCCGCGGGCGCACGAGGAGGTGCCCAGCGGCACTGCGCGCGTGCAGGTCGTGCGCTCGATCTCGGACTGGAGCCACGGCTACCTGACCGAGGACAGTGTGCAGCAGGCGTACATCGGCCTGATCCGGGAGGCGAACCACTTCATCTACATTGAGAACCAGTTCTTCATCACGGCGATCGACGACACGACGCCGGTGAAAAACCAGATCGGCGCCGCGCTCGTCGAGCGCGTCGTGTCTGCCGCCAAGGCCGGGCGGCCGTTCAAGATTTTTGTTCTGATCCCGGAAGTGCCCGCGTTCCCGGGCGACATCCAGGCCGAGTCTGGACTGAAGGCGATCATGGAGGCTCAGTACCGCTCGATCAACCGTGGGGGCAAGAGCATCTTTGAGAAGATCCGCGCCGAGGGCTTCGACCCGAACGAGTACATCAGTTTCTGGAATCTGCGCAGTTACGACCGGATCAACGCGGCCGAGTCGGTCATCAAGGCGCAGGAGGAGGCGTCGGGCGTCAAGTTCCACGAGGCGCAGGTCGCCATGGCCCGCCTCTACGTCGGGGAGGCCGGGGACCAAGTCGACGAGGACGAGTACGTGTACATCGAGAAGCCACACGATCAGGCGACGGCAGCAGCCGAGACGAACAAGAAGAAGACTGCGCGCGAGGCGGTGAAGATCCCGCGCACCATGGCCGAGGCGCGGGACATCATCGACCGCTTCGAGGCCGCGGGCGCGCCACAGGGCAAGCCGACCGAGGACAATATCTGCCAGCACGCGCTGCGGACGGAGGGGCAGACGCTCCTCGACGAGCCCTGGAACGGGACGGAGCAGGAGGAGCGCGACGCGCTCGTCTCGGAGCTATGCTACATCCACTCGAAGCTCATGATCGTGGACGACCGGCGCGTGATCGTCGGGTCTGCGAACATCAACGACCGCTCCCAGAACGGCGATCACGATAGCGAGATCGCAGTCGTGATCGAGGACACGGAGCTGGTCGAGATGTCAATGGGCGGGAGGAAGTACATGGGCTCGAAACTGGCCACGTCGTGGCGCCGCGCGCTCATGCGCGAGCATCTCGGCCTAGCGCCCTGCCAGGTCGTGGGCAGGGAGACGGCACAGATGCACCCCGTGCCCGTCCCGAACGAGTATGACTGGGGCTCGCCCGACGATCTGCTCGTCGAGGATCCCCTCGGCGTCGACTTTAGCAGGCTCTGGCGCGAAACGGCAAAGGAGAACAGGCGCATCTTTGATCGTATCTTCAAGACTGTGCCCAACTCGATGGTCAGGAACTGGGGGCAGTACAAGGACTTTGTGGAGAGGAATAAGGGCATCAAGGTAAGCGAAGCGAAGGCGCGCAGCGGTAGTCGAGCGAAGCGAGACTTGTTCTCTGTAAAGCAAGACCAAGTTCCGGCGAAGCGAGACCTTGTTCTTTGCAAAGCGAGACCAAGTTCCAGCGAAGCGAGACCAAGTTCTAGCAAAGCAAAGACTGGTCTCTGCACAAGCACAGTTGGCTGGTCTTTGTGAAGGCACGGGCTGGCCATTGCCTGCCAGCCATGGAGCAGGGCCAGCGAGACATATCTCCACGACTGAGACGGAACTACACCCCGCAGCTAGCCCAAAGCGGTTCAGAGCTGACAACAGGTCGGCCACGTCATGAACTCGGACATGACGCTGCCCGAGATCCGGATGGAGCTGACCAAGGTGCGCGGACACCTCGTGCCGATGCCTATCGACTTCCTCATTGTAAGTGATTTAGGAGCCCGAAGGGCTCCGCGAAGTGCTCCGTGGGCTCCGTGGGCTCCGTCCTTTGGACCCCGTCCTCCGCCGAATCTCCACCGAGACGAAGGACGGAGAGTCGGCGATGGAGAGTGGAGCGATGGGAGAAGTATGGAGACACGAGCTAACGTGCAGGAGGAAAAGTGGATCACGGGCGGAGACTGGATCGCGGTGAACCCCATCACGCTGGCCATCTACATCTAAGCTGGCCCTCTCACTTCAGATGACAGATGACGCGGAGCAGCGCATGAAACGCGCATGAAACGCGCATGAACGCGCCGACGACTCACGCAAGATTCGGCACTCTCACCCACCCACTTTACCCACTTGTATCAATCTTTCAGCCCCTATGTCCAGCAGCAAGTATGATGGGAGCAGCTTGATGCATTCGATTATACGGTGAAGAAAACTATACATTGGTACAAATGTCCTCTCTATGCAGAGTCTATGCAGATCTGCAGAGGGCTGGAGCGTGAATGCTTTTGGCATGGCGCAGTAGAGTGCACGAGGGAACGAACGGTATGGCGATACGAAATGCGCAAAGTACGAAGACGAAGGGTACGGTAGGGTAAGGGTAAGGGTGCGAAAAGCTGGTTATACTGTAGGGATAGATAAGATCGTGAAGTTTGTCGTGGGATCGTTGATTGTCTGTCTCGGGGTCCGTCTCGGGGCAACGCTCGGGTCAACGCTCGGCATGAGCGGCAGGGGCGTCCTCCATCTCCAAAGCATCGAGACGGGGGGACTCAGTACATGGACCGCGGACTGTCCGCGCGCTGCAGCTGCGCCAGCTGCGCCAGCTGCGCCGGCGACCGCTAATCGCTCAGCACGTCCATGCTCCCCCTCGACCCGCCGCCGGGCACCGGTTTCCGCCTCGTGTAGTTGCTCCTCGGGCTCGTCGGGGACAGCGTGCCGTCGCTGGGCGTGCCCCGTCGCAACTGCAGAGGGGGCGGGGGCGCGTCCCTCGACGGTTTCCGCGCGTGCGGGATGCCCGCGAGACCCGTCATGGCGCCCGTGAGGCCGACACCTTGGCCGCTGAATCCGCCGGCGGACGAGGCGAGGGCGTGCCCGCCGCCAGACCCGCCGCCAGATCCGCCGCCGGCGCTCCCGTTCGTGAGGCCCAGGCCAGAGTTGGCGGGCGCAGTGCCGGGGAGGACACTGTTGAAGCTCCCGTACTGCTGCTGCTGGCTCGGTTGCCGCGAGTGCGACAGTTGGGTGGGCGGCGCCGTGCCCACCGGACTGGATAAATGCACAATCGTCATGCGCCGCGTCTCGTCAATAGAGGGCTTCTTCCCGAACAACCTGCTGATGCGCGACGAGCCGAATTCCGACTCGCGCCGCGTCCGACGCTGAGAGCCTTGCGCGTTCACATCGTTGTATTGCCCATACACTGTCGTTTGGCGGCCAGCCGCGCGCCCGACAGACGCTGTGTCGCGCGGCGTGAAGCCAAAGTCGGCTCCGGACTCGGGGCGCATGGATAATTGCCGTTTCAGGCCTTTGAGAGACATAGACGCGGGACGGGGGACGGGAGATACGGGAGACTTGATGTGGTCCACATATTGCGCGGGCAGGACGTGTTCGACCAAGTCCGGGGTGCTAAGGTCGGGCGTAGGCGGACGGGCTGGTCGGGGCGGAGGACCCGTTGATCGCACGCGCGGCTGCCCGTTCAGTGTCGCGATGGAGGATCGGTCGCCGCCCTCGTCGCTCGCGCGCCGGGGAGATGGAAGGGGCGACGCCGAGTCCGTGGACGCTGACAGACTGCTCCGGTTCTCGGGCTGGAGGTAGGGCAACCTGCTGCTACCCCGGGGCGGGAGACTGCCAAACTCGTTACTGAACGTCGAGGTTGGGCGGAGGCCCTCACCGCCCTCAGCCGAAGCTGGCGAGAGCGCGGGTGACAGCGCCGGGGAGAGAGACGCCGCAGATCCAGGACTCCGCGGCATCTCTGGGCGGGGTGAGCCTGGCGTCACGGTGAAGCGCAGGTCCTGTGGCGAGAGCGTCTTCATCATCTTCTCGAGGTGGTTGAGCTGGTGCGCCATGACCATGCAAGATGTCCGGTCTGCGTCGAACGGCTCGATGCTTATGGGTCCTAAGAGCTTGAGTTCCTCCGTCTCCTCGGCTTCTCGCGGCTCGGGGAGCTCCTCCAGGATCGGCTCGGGTTCCGCACTGTGGCCAGAGGATGACTCGGGCGCCTCAATCGTCGACGGGGGCCGCGCACTGCTCCTAGCAGGACGAGGCGGGGTCGGCGCCGGGCTTCGGAGGGACAACCTTGTCGGCGGTCCGGTCGAGTCCTGTGACATGGTCCGCGTCCGTTGTCGTTCGAGCTCCGAGGCGCGACGCACACGCTGCTCCTTCACGACCGTCTCGCGCTGTGCCGCACTTAATCGTGCCGCTTCTAAAGCAGCAGCCTGGGCAGCAAGACTTGCTGCCCGCGCGCGCTCCCGCTCGTCCGCCATGTCCTTTAAGAACTTCGGCCGGCTATCGTTCAGTCGCTGCACCAACGTCAAATCGCGTATTCCTCCCGCCGCCTCGGTTGCCCGCTTGCCCGCTCGATAGTCGGCTAACCACGGTGCGTCGGGTGCAACATCAAACTCGATCGTGCCGAATGACGGGAGCGAAACGGACGCCGGTGTCCGTGGTGAGTTGTACGACGAGGACGACGAGAGGCTACTCCGCGCCATGTCGGGCTGCGAGCTGACAGACTTATCGCGCACATGACCGTCCTCGTCCACCCGTGTTAATGGCGATGTCGACGCACGAGGAAACCGCTTGATGCTCCCTGACCGTGGAGAGTCCGCGACGCCCATACCGACGGCACCAGCGCCGAAGAGTGTCGCCCAGCTGTCCTGCGTAATGAGCGGGCCGCCGTCATCCGCGGCAGACACCGACTCGGCGTATCCTCCCGCCGGGCCGAGGTAGACACTGAGTCCTGTTGTCGAGGGCAGACCAAACTCCCGCGCGATCACGACGAGCATGCTTCCCAACGTCGGCTGAAGGGGTAGCAGCCGTCCGCGGCGCCACTTCTTCGCGCGCTCCTTGTCCCCCTCGTCCGGCGGCATTAGTGACGTCGGCGGGACCACAGCGACGACCTGCTGCGAAAGCGAGGGCGCGGGCGTGTGTCTCGTAGTGTGCCCCATCGATCCCACGGAATATGTCGACTGCTGTGTCGGCGATCTTGTGTGTGCCCTCGTCGATGAGGCTGACGGCAGCGTCGGTGTGACGATACCAAAGGACTGCGCTATGCGGCCGAGATGCTGCGGGCTCAGCGGCTTGTTCGGGGGTGGGTACGCTGGTCGGCTGCTCGCCTTCGTCGGCGACATGAGCGCAATCTCATCCTCCTCTGCCCATGATGTGCCCAGCCGTGTCGGGGACTTTGGCGTCGTCGGCGGCGGCTTGCTGTTCGCATATCCCGTCAAGGGCGACGCGCCGGGAAACGTCGCCGAGGGCACAGAGCCTGCTGAAGACGATGATGGCGGAGAGTTGAGCGGATTGATAAGCGACAATCGCGTCTGACGGAGCACACCAGACCCACCGAAGCGGGCGATGGAGGGTGGAGGAGGCCAGGCGACGAGATCATCCACGATGACTGGGGCATTGGAGCCCGAGGCTATGCTGCTTGCCATGCCTGGGCTGGATGGAGTTGATATAATGGTGGAGGCGGCACGGCGCGGTGGCGCGCGCTCAGAGCCGGCCTGTCGGGATTGGCGAAAGGAGGGTGCGGGTGAGTAGTGATCAGAGTTTCAAGGTGAGAAAAGGGAGGGTGTGCGGGGTGGTCGGAGATGTTGTGTCGGAGGTGATCGAGGGTGGATGTACAGTTGAGTGATGGGAGGAAGGACAAGTCCGAGGATAAAGCGCGGAGAAGGGAAGGGGGGGATGGATGTCGGATGGTCGAGTTCAATCAATGCCGGGTGTGCTGGGGCGCCATGGATGTTGGGATGTTGGGTTGAGAGGGAGTCTGTGCGTTGTGGGTGTTGTGGGTGTGGGAGAGAGAGTCAAAGATGTGGTGAGAGGATGAGACGGCGGCGGCGGCGGCGGCGGCGGCGTAGTCTCGAGGGCCGAATGGGGGCTTCAGTCCCAGGGAAAGTCGCAAAGGGACGCGTCTCTGTTACGACTTTACGCCAGGGCCACCCACCCACCGCTTGGACACTGCAACCGAACAAGGCACTCATGCACTCAGTCCCTCTCTCCATGCTCCCTGGATCATTACTCTGGCTCTTTCATCGCTGCTAGCTTGCTGGAGACTACGTACTTGACGCGTCGAGGAGCAATCTCATCTCATCTTTCAGGTGATCGCCGATCAACCTTAGAGTGATCCGGGTTATCCTAAGACATTTGTTCGGCATGCTCATCCATTCCCGGCCTTGTTCTCTCCTCATCTAATCTGACACAGATCCCTCCTGTACTCCTGTCTCCACCATGAAAAGAAAAGCTACGCGCGCAGAGCAATGCCAGACTGTAGTGACTGGCGAAACTGTCACCATGGATGCCATCAAGTCCTTTTAAGGTTTGCAGCGCACCCCAGCATATCCAGGCTCACCAAGCCGTAAACCTGCTCCCGGCCTGCACCACCAATCTCCCAACTACAGACATACCTCAGTCTTGTCGATATGCTTCAGCCCATCTGCGGGTGATTGCTCAGCGAGGCACTGTACCTGTGAGGCACCCCCGTTGCTAGTTACCACCCGGGGTTCCGTGGCTCACGTTTCCTTGCTCTTCGCCGTGGCTAACTTCTACACTGCCCAGGCTACAGGGTGGTACACCAGAGAGCTACGGCCTCCCGAAGAAACCGCAATGATTCTCGGAAGCGTGTGTGGTAGCTTCTTCCCGGGCATCTGGGACTGCTTCTCTCATCTCCCACATGCACCGCTGACCGTGCGCGGCCTGCGTGGGCAACAGACGTCCAACGTGCGAGGTGCATGTGCGCGGTAATTCCCAAGCTAGGACTGTTGAGGCATAGTCTGTGAACGGGCCGTAGTTAGGCCGTAGGCTAGGTCATAGATCTTAGAGGCTAGGTCGCGGCGTTGCGGCACTCGTTACTGCTCGATGGCAGCAGATTAACGCGAGACGCCCCCCGGGCCCCGTTGATGGGCTTATGGTCGCTTGCTAATCGCTCATCCTTGGAAGGTAATGCGAGATCACGCTAGATTACAAAATCGGGAAGCAAACCACGTGGCCATACTCTCTCCCCGCTTGAAACCGACGATCCGAGCTGCGATGTCCGCCGAGCACCGTCGTCATGGCGATCTACTGCTGCTATTCTGATCTTCACACTTCACACTACCGCTTCGACAGTTCGCAATTGTTCATTATCCACCACACTCATTCAATCTTCATCGGTTCTGAGCGATAACGACCACTTCGTGACTAGTGCACCCGCCTGAATCGTCGTTCGCCACCCACTCCAAACCTCCACCCGCGCGGCTCGCACAGCCTCTCCCAGTCTTACCTCAACCCGTGCCAAGGAGTCAGCCCACCATGTTCAGCGTTCCAAGAGTCGCCCGACTCTTCCTAATCCTGACTGCCCTCCTCGCCATTCCCTCACTGTACCTCTTCTACCCCGGCCCGCGACCAGCCGCCTTGCAAAAGTTCGGTTGGGACGTAGGCGGCATCGACGGCGAGCACTTCCGCACGCCGGCCGAGATCCTCGAGGCGAATTCCAATCAGCAAGATCATCAAGTGACGCCCGAGCAAGCTGCCGTCGAGATCGAGGACGAGGAGCAGCGCGCCCTCATCGATGGCGAGAGCGTGAACCATGGCTCTGGGGGCGCGGCGCCCGAGCACGTTGGCGAGTCAGGGGGGGATGTGAGGAAGGGATCAGGAGGCGGGGGCGGGCCGGCAGACGACAGCTTCGACCACGAGAAGCACCGCGAGGTCTCGGGCGGGAAGGAGGAGCAGCACGCCATGGGTGCGCACGGCGGCGAGGAGATCGGCAAGGTCATCATGCCGCATCTCGGCAATGCGACCGCGAAGTGAGTCACGAGTCCCCTGTCCTCCAAGTAACCCACCAGCACTCCCCGCTTCCTAAATCTCGAGATATCTAGATATCTCAGCTAACGCACAGGGCCGAGCTGGGCCGCGGCTCCTGGCGTCTCCTCCACCTCATGACACTCCGGTATCCGGACCATCCGACGCCCGACGACCGTGCCGCGCTCAAGTCCTTCTTCCACCTCTTCAGCAGGCTGTATCCCTGTGGCGAGTGCGCCGAGCATTTCCAAGGCATGCTGAAAGAATACCCCGTCCAGACGGGGAGCAGGAAGAGTGCGAGTCTGTGGCTGTGCAATCTGCACAATATCGTGAATGCACGCCTGCACAAGCCCGAATTCGACTGTCTCACGCTCGACGAGACGTATGACTGTGGGTGTGGGAATGAGACGGCGCCGGCTGGGGCGGAGGGGAAGGAAGGGGGCAAGGGGAAGAGGGAGTACACGGCCGTGATTGAGGCGTAGATGGCCAGCGCGGCCGGCGCGGCGAGCAGAGTTCGAACAGCCGACTCGGGAGAGTATCGGAAGGAGACATGAGATAGGAGAGAGGAACAGCAGAAACCATAGACTTCCTGGCGCACCCCCGCGCACCCCCGCGTGCCACAGCCAAATCAATAGTTCAATACAAGTGGACGGGACGGACACTCAGCAGCCGAAATGAAAAATGTAACTTCTCGCATATCTCATCTAACTAGAGCCAGGCGTCGTCTAAGCAGAGACAGCAGGCACGGCTCCACCCGCGGGGATCTCCTCCTTGGACAGGATCTCCTTGCCCGTCTTTGCAATCTTCTCGGTCACGGTCTCGAACGGGGGCAGGGAGGGGCCGTACACGACCACGCGCTGGGTGGGGAGGGAGACGAGGTAGGCGTTGGCTGGGCGTCAGCTTTGCACGCGAGCGAAGCGAGCGGGGAAAGCGGAAGGAGCGGGGCGGAGCGATCGAGAGGGGAAAGCGGAAGGAGGGGAGGGGAGCGGAGTGGAGTGAGCGAGCGCGGAGGTGGAGCGCGAACAGGGAGAGAGACGGCGGGTCATGAACAAGGAGAGAGCAGGGAGGGGAGAGAAGACGGGAGAGAGAAGGGAGAGCTGGCCGTGACGAGTAGGAGGGAGGAGGGGGAAGGAGACAAGGGCTGGAGCACCGGCCTAGCGGCCGGCGCTCTCGTACTCACGCGCCTCAATGTTCTTCTTGAGCACACGCTCAATGGCGCCCGAACAGCCGCCGCACGTCATCTTCACGGTGTAGTTGTAGGCGGGACCGGTGGCCTGGCGTTAGCACTGCGAGCGGTAGCGAGCGATAGCGAGCGGAGAGCAGCGAGCAGCGAGCAGCGAGCAGCGAGCAGCGAGCAGCGAGCAGCGAGCAGCGAGCAGCGAGCAGCGAGCAGCGAGCAGCGAGCAGCGAGCAGCGAGCAGCGAGCAGCGAGCAGCGAGCAGCGAGCAGCGAGCAGCGAGCAGCGAGCAGCGAGCAGCGAGCAGCGAGCAGCGAGCAGCGAGCAGCGAGCAGCGAGCAGCGAGCAGCGAGCAGCGAGCAGCGAGCAGCGAGCAGCGAGCAGCGAGCAGCGAGCAGCGAGCAGCGAGCAGCGAGCAGCGAGCAGCGAGCAGCGAGCAGCGAGCAGCGAGCAGCGAGCAGCGAGCAGCGAGCAGCGAGCAGCGAGCAGCGAGCAGCGAGCAGCGAGCAGCGAGCAGCGAGCAGCGAGCAGCGAGCAGCGAGCAGCGAGCAGCGAGCAGCGAGCAGCGAGCAGCGAGCAGCGAGCAGCGAGCAGCGAGCAGCGAGCAGCGAGCAGCGAGCAGCGAGCAGGAGTGGGAAAAAAGAAGCGATAACGAGCTGCGAGTAGGAGGAAAAAAAAAGCAATGGCGAGCGACAGAAGGGCGACCGCGAGGCAGCAGCGCGAACAACAACGCAAGGTTGAGGGCGAGGGCAGGAGCAGGCAGGAGCAGGCAGGAGCAGGCAGGAGCAGGCAGGAGCAGGCAGGAGCAGGCAGGAGCAGGCAGGAGCAGGCAGGAGCAGGCAGGAGCAGGCAGGAGCAGGCAGGAGCAGGCAGGAGCAGGCAGGAGCAGGCAGGAGCAGGCAGGAGCAGGCAGGAGCAGGCAGGAGCAGGCAGGAGCAGGCAGGAGCAGGCAGGAGCAGGCAGGAGCAGGCAGGAGCAGGCAGGAGCAGGCAGGAGCAGGCAGGAGCAGGCAGGAGCAGGCAGGAGCAGGCAGGAGCAGGCAGGAGCAGGCAGGAGCAGGCAGGAGCAGGCAGGAGCAGGCAGGAGCAGGCAGGAGCAGGCAGGAGCAGGCAGGAGCAGGCAGGAGCAGGCAGGAGCAGGCAGGAGCAGGCAGGAGCAGGCAGGAGCAGGCAGGAGCAGGCAGGAGCAGGCAGGAGCAGGCAGGAGCAGGCAGGAGCAGGCAGGAGCAGGCAGGAGCAGGCAGGAGCAGGCAGGAGCCAAGCCGAGGAGTGCAGAGTGGCATGACCAGCTAGCGGATCAAGGCTGGCTGCAACAGCTGTACTCGACGAGTCGACAAGAGGAGCGCAGGCGCGCAGGCGCGGAATGGACTAAACCGCACCACGACAACATGGTCGACCGCCTTGCCATTTTGATCCCTATTGACCCTCGCAGCCATGGTCATTCCTGCACTCGTTGCAATGCCTGCATGGTGAGAGCATGGAGGAAGAACTCACAGGAGCAGACATGGTTATAACCTGAATGATAAGAGTTGGAGGAAGCAAGAGTTGTTGTTGGCAAGTCGTTTATTTCAATGTCAGCAAAGAGCAGGGCTAGCAGGGCCTGGATGGCGTCACCGATCTGAGTGGCTGGAGTGATCAGAAGGCACGGACACGGCCGAAACCGTTCTTCCACCCTGTGGTTCTGCTTACACACAACCCCGTCTATATTTTTGCTCTGCATGTGCATTCCCGCTCCCCCTCTCACTTTCCCAGCGGAGAGCAGAATACGTGGAGCGTCTATGGCGTAGGTTGGGATAAGCTCTAGACATGCTCGACATGCTTCGGGCAGCTCAATTCGCGCACCCGCACCTCCCGAGATCGGGAGCGGACATGGACCCAGTGTCCCGCACACTGCCCGCGGATCTCGCGCATCGGCCATCATCTCGCCGAGGGCTGTGCGCACCGCCTGCTTGTGTCGTTGCTATCAAGTACACATTGCATGGTCTATTGCTGTCATTACGCTGTTCTACTGCTCCACTGCGTGCTCTAGCGCTCGCTCTGGGCGCTCGTTGCTCCCCGCTTGAGCTGGCCAGACACTCGGTTGCAACGACTGAGAGTTCTCGCCGCTCCGCTCTAGCATGAGCTGCTCTCATGCATCGCACCCCGCTCACACCTCGCTTCGCTCGGTGGTCGCTCGGTGCTCGTCTCCGTCTACTCCCTCTTCGGGATGGCCACCTCGCCCTGCGCCGTCGCGGCGACTCCGCTCGTGAGCAGCCCGACGTACGGCATCACGTTATAATGCAAGGTCAGGTTGGCGAGGTGCACGTTGCTGTCGTCAGCTGAATGCTCGGGAAAAAGCTTAGAAGGCGACCAAGGGGAACCGGCCGTCGGACTGGCTCCTGACCGCGCCTCGCCTACACGCCTGCGGCGCTCCGGCTCCGGCTGAGGCCCGACACTCACTCAAACTTGCCATCCGGCTGATGCCAAAAGTACACGTTCCTCGCGCCCTCGAGCCGGATCTTGGCGTTTTTGTACGTCTTGGTCTTCCTATGCTTCTGCCTTCCGTCATGGAACGCGTCGACGGACCTGAAGTCGCCCGAGGCGCGGGTCACGATGCGGTCCCAGAGCACGACCTGGTGCGCCTCCTTTGAGACCTCGTCGACGTAGTCGGCCAGCAGGTACAGGAAGACCTGTTTCGTGTTGTACGAGCGCAGCACGGGGGTCAGGTCTGCTTTTACGTCGAACTTGAGCTTGAGCACGTCCTCCTCGGGCGCGCGCCAGCGGGAGGGATTACGGCCACGGGTGCTGAGGTTAGCTCAATGCGGGCAGGGTAGCTAGAGGATCGGAGGTGGGAGAGATGAGCGGGATGTGGAGGGGAGGGAAGACAGGACGCCGGGCCTGACGGTCCGACGCACACTCACATCATCAACGACTTGACGTCAATCTTGCCCGGAGCAGGGGTCGGCTGGTGGTACCAGCTGGCCAGCGAGATGAGGCCGAGCAGGACCATGACGGCCGTCGTCGCCAGCGAGGAGAGCTGGTTTAACCGCTGAAACGTCGAGTACATTGCGGCGGCGGGGTGTTGTTGTGACGTTGTGTCGGTGTCATCGATCACTGCTGAGCGGTCCGCGACGGCGTGGAGGCGTCGATCTGGAGGTGGAGGTCATTAGCGGAGGTAAATTGATCGATTAGGATGTGCTCGTGATCAGTGGATTAGGAAAGTTGTAGTGGTCTCAGCTAGATCACGTGCCTGTCCGTTATGGTTGAGGTCATCGAGGATATCGAGGCAGGAGTGCCTCTATCTAGTGATGGATGTATTCCAGTACTTCGGGTCTGACGAGATCGAGGAACGAAGACGAGGACTTGCCGCGCGATGTCCAGGTGGAGTCTTGGGGAGGTGAACAATGGCCGTGCCGTCTCATTGTCCGACGGCGTCCCAACCCTAATGATCGGAACGCCGAGCATGTTCTGGCATCATATGGCAGTGGTGGCGATACACATTGCGGTGTTGACGGGTGGCGAGGCGATTCCAGTGTTGCAATGTTCCTCGCCACGTCGATGAGTCAGCTCGTGACCGTGCCTTCGGAGGTGCTGACGAGGCGGGCGGGCATCGACAGTGGTGACGAGGCACCTTGCAGCGATGAGGACACGTCAGCTGCCAGCGCCGTTTAGACGGCCGGCCGAGACACGAAACGCTCGGTGCAGCATGACGTGTCTTGTTTCTTTTGTGATCGGTCCGAAGTGTTCGGGCAAGTCGGGGAGGTCGGGGATTTTTGATGCATAGGCGACAAGCTAGACAAGGGCTACATGAGCGCGATATGAGCGGTCTACGCTCGGGCCAATGGCCCTCTGTGGCGACGACTGACGATCACGGGTGCGGATGGCAGTCACCTGTGCCTCGATGTACAATGGACAAGAGTAAGAAGCAGCACCCTTGACACCCGATGCAGCGACCGAATGACCGGGACTCTGAGTGCGGGAAGGAAAGGGTTCGCCACGCAAGGGGATGTCAGCAGCAGAGTGGATGCCGCGGTCGGCGGTGATGAGTGCGGCTTTGCTGCATTTGCTGGCTGACGCGGCGGCGGTTGGGCCGAAAATGGTAGAAACGCCTAGCACTACTCAGCTCAGGATCACGACGTGCGGACGGGCGGGCGGCAAATGCGGACGGAGACAAGCAGGCGGTGCGGGAGCAATTCATCATCCCCTCGTAGACGCGCCGGAGTTGCCCCGCTGGCACTGGAGCCCATCCCGACGCCACGTCACACAGGTGCCACGTTGCACTGACCCACCCACAAGCGAGTAGTAGCCAGACGCGACGACAACCACCAGAGATAGATATTAATTACCACCACCAACCACATCCTTTTCCCTTTTCTTTTTTCCTTCGTCCACCCCAACAACACCTTCCACACTCCTTCAGCCAAAATGGCATACCCTCGTGCCACTATCAGGCCGAAGCGCTCACGAGCCGCAAAGGCCCAGCGCTCCATCCTCGCAAACGTCGGCCTCATCGCCCTCGTCCTCCTCTGCTGCCTCTGCTTCCTCCCCGCCGGCAACCTCGTTCGTGCCGCCGAGACCGAGGAGAAGAACTACGGAAATGTCATCGGTATCGACCTTGGGTGAGTACAATCTAGCTCTCTCATTGCGTTGAGCTCCAGCTAACAGTGCAGAACTACTTACTCGTGTGTCGCCGTCCAGAAGGGCGGAAAGGTTGAGATTATTGCGAACGACCAGGGCAACCGTATCACTCCCTCTTGGGTCGGTTTCACCGACGAGGAGCGTCTGATTGGTGACGCCGCCAAGAACCAGGCTCCCCAGAACCCGTCCAACACTGTCTTCGATGCCAAGCGTCTCGTCGGCCGCAAGTACTCGGACCCCGAGGTGCAGCGCGACAAGAAGCACTGGCCCTTCGCCGTTGTCTCCAAGGCCGGTAAGCCCATGATCCAGGTTACCGCCAAGGGCAACAAGAAGGACTTCTCCGCCGAGGAGATCTCCGCCATGGTCCTCTCCAAGATGAAGGAGACCGCCGAGGCCTACCTCGGTGAGCCCGTCACCCACGCCGTCGTCACCGTCCCCGCCTACTTCGACGACGCCCAGCGCAAGGCCACCATTGACGCCGGAACCATTGCCGGCCTCAACGTCCTCCGTCTTGTCAACGAGCCCACCGCCGCCGCCATCGCCTACGGCCTTGACCGTGTCAAGGACAAGGAGGAGCGTCAGATCATTGTCTACGACCTCGGTGGCGGTACTTTCGATGTCTCGCTTCTCTCGATTGAGGACGGCGTCTTCGAGGTTCTCGCCACTGCCGGTGACACCCACCTCGGTGGTGAGGACTTTGACAACCGTGTCATGGACTACATCATCAAGAAGTACAAGAAGGACACTGGCGTCGACGTCTCTGGCAACAAGAAGGCCATGGGCAAGCTCCGTCGCGAGGTTGAGAAGGCCAAGCGCACTCTCTCTTCGCAGATGTCCACCAAGATTGAGATTGAGTCCTTTGAGGGCGGCAACGACCTCTCCGAGACCCTTACCCGCGCCAAGTTTGAGGAGCTCAACGTTGACCTTTTCCGCAAGACCATGAAGCCCGTTGAGCAGGTTCTCAAGGACGCCGGTGTCAAGAAGTCCGAGGTTGACGACATTGTCCTCGTCGGTGGCTCTACCCGTATCCCCAAGGTCCAGGCTCTCCTCAAGGAGTACTTCAACGGCAAGGAGCCCTCCAAGGGTATCAACCCCGACGAGGCTGTCGCCTACGGTGCCGCCGTCCAGGGTGGTGTCCTCTCTGGCGACGACGGCGCCAACGGTGTCCTCCTCATCGACGTCTGCCCCCTTACTCTCGGTATCGAGACCACTGGCGGTGTCATGACCAAGCTCATTGGCCGCAACTCGGTTGTCCCCACCAAGAAGGCCCAGATCTTCTCCACCGCCGTCGACAACCAGCCCACCGTCCAGATCCAGGTCTACGAGGGTGAGCGTTCGATGACCAAGGACAACAACAAGCTTGGCCAGTTCGACCTCACCAACATTCCTCCCGCTCCTCGCGGTGTTCCTCAGATTGAGGTCACTTTCGAGATTGACGCCAACGGTATCCTCAAGGTCTCTGCCCTTGACAAGGGTACCGGCAAGTCTGAGTCGATCACCATCACCAACGACGACCGCCGCCTGTCCCAGGAGGACATTGACCGCATGGTCCAGGAGGCCGAGGAGTTTGCCGACGAGGACGCTGCCATCAAGAAGCGCATCGAGGCCAAGAACTCGCTCGAGAACATGGTTTACTCGCTCAAGGGCCAGATCAACGACAAGGATGGCCTCGGTGGCAAGCTCGACTCTGACGACAAGGAGACGATTGAGGAGGCCATCAAGGAGAAGCAGAAGTGGCTCGACTCGAACCCGTCTGCCGACGCCGAGGACTACGAGGAGCAGCTGTCTGAGCTCCAGTCGACTGTTGCCCCGATCACCGCCAAGCTGTACCAGGGAGGTTCGGCTGGCGACGACGAGGTCCCCTTCAACCACGATGAGCTCTAAGAGAAGGAACGAGCTTGTAATACTGTAGCATTGCATAACCACCCCACCCCCCCACACCTTACACCCACTCGACGATGGGTAAACAAGAAGAATATGGATTCGTATTAGACTCAAACAGTGTTTAATGCACTTGATACCGCATAGATGTGTTTGTGTGTGTTTGTGTGTTGTTTGCGAGGGCGGAAGAGCAGACAGTCCGCCGGATGGGTTACTGGAAGAGGGAAGACGAACATGACCTGCCAGGGTTTAGAGTGGAGGCGTGACGCGGTTGATTTCTTGTGGGCCGTGATCTCGCAGTTGTGATCCGCACATACTAATGAGGTGCTAATGGGAGTTAATGCGACGCGTGATGAGACATTAGAGAATATGTGCTTCCGTTAATGGCGAGTGGCTTGCAATCCTGCAGGTGGATGCCTTTGTACGGCACGTGGTTTGACGCACAACACGCTTGCGCTCAGGATCCATGTTGGATTCAGCCTCAGCCTCTCGCCCCGTCCTCTGTATCACCTTCTCGTTCACGTCTCCTTCCTCGACCTCTCTCGGTTTCTTCTCTCTTTCTCTCTCCTCCCTCTCCTCTCCAGTCTGCCTGTCCTTCTCCCTCTCCCCTGCTGTCTTCCCTCTACCCCTGCTGCTCACCCTCTACCCGACAGCGGACGAGAGAGAAGGACAGGCCAATGTCCAAAGTCATCACCCAGCGATCATCCCACCTCGACCACTCCACCAATGCGTCCTCGCTCCAGTCCACCGCCATGATGCGCGACATCTCCAACAATAACCCGTCACAGCCCTCAAAAGCAGTCCCCGGCGTAAACGGCGTCGCTCTGCCCAACGGCACACCCTCCTTGTCGTCCAAGCATGACCCGCTCAAGAGAACCGTGCTGGGACGCGTCAATGTTAACATTGCGCACAATGCAACCGCAGCCGCTCAGAAGCAGCAGCAGCATCGGACCACGCGGTCTCAGCTGGCCAAAGCTGTTCCGCAGCCGGCACCGGCGCACGACGTGTTCGAGTACGACGCGGGCAAGACGACAACGACGTCCCTCGGCAAGCGCCTCCGGCTGGACCAGCAGCATGCACGCGATCAGACGCTCTCAAAGCGCGCCCGCGCTGAGGCGTCCCAGCAGGCAGCGCGTCATCTCGAGGAGCAGGACAAGTGGATCGGCAAGTGGCGCAAAGCTTTCCCCTCCCTCGTCTTCCACTTTGAGCTCGGCGTGGAGGAGGGTGTCGGACGCGGACTCCGGCAGCGCGTGCTAGGCATGGGAGCTGTGAGTTGGGGTACTGTTCATGTCTAACTCTGCTCAGAAAGTCGACCAGTTCTTCTCGCAGCGCGTATCGCATCTCGTGGTGAAGGGGGTCGCGGCGTCGCCGCAGAAGAAGGCGCCGTCACGGCGGCGCGAGGGCCAGAGTGACAATCCCTTCCTCGATTCTACGGGAGCAACGGATCTCGTGACAAAGGCGGAGAAGCTGGGCATCAAGGTGTGGACGGTGAAGAGTGAGTTTGCGTGCTGTTCGAGTTAACTGACCTGCAGAGCTCACAGACATGCTGAACAAGCTCGCGCCGGTGGACAATGAGAAGCACGACTCGCTGTCAAACCTGCTCGCGGACGAGAAGCTGAACGGAACGCGCGAGCGTGATCTCTCTGCCCCGAGACCAGACTACTACTACTTCCGACCGGGGAGCAAGTACCTGCTCGTCGAGGACGCGACTGCGCGACACCGACCGGTCATGATTAAGGAGTACACGAAAGAGCTCGAATGGCCAATCATCCACGACCAGTTCCTGCGGTTAACGACGTCGTCGCAGCTGCCACCGAGCGTGGAGCACTCGAAGAACTTGGTGCGCGACCTGCGTGAACGCGCATGGTCATTGTACGTCGAGAACACGCCGTTCCGGGGCGAGGAGCCGCCAGTGCCGACGCTGAAGCGATCCAACTCGCTCCGCGAAATGCCCGTGACGCCGCTGCCCGAGGAGCTCCCGTACCACGACAAGGCTTCTGGCAACAGTGTCGTCATTACGTCCAACATTGCGTCAACGTCGACGGCCAACATGACCCCCAACGCGTTTGCTCCTGGGGGTGCTCTGGCGCTCGGTGCTAACAAGGACCGCGCCATCATGCAAATGAGCAAGCGCGTGCAGGTGCTGAAGGGCAATGCGCGCATGGCCGCGAGTGTGAGTGCAAGCAAGCATGAGCGAGAGGCGGAGCGTGAGCGCGTGTCCCGCCGACGGTCGACGGGCATGGAGACACCCGCGCCAGCAGCCACGAAGGAGTTCCTGTCGCAGACGCAGGTCGTGAATATGCTCCGGCAGCTGCGCGCGCCGACAACGCAGACGAAACCGTCCTACGAGGAGCGCGTGCGGAATCGCGAGCACGTTGACGCCGGCTACAAGCGCAAGGACCAGGACACGGCGAGCGGCTACTGCGAGAACTGCCGGGTACGCTACAACGACCTATCGGTGCACATTGCCTCGGGCAAGCACCGCCGGTTTGCGAACAATCCGAAGAATTTCGCCGACCTCGACGACATGCTGCAGTGTCTCCAGCGGCCGCCGAATCCGCTCATGTGCGTGCCGACGCGGGTGTGTCGCCCCTGCTGGGCGAAGCACGACAAGGACGCGCGCTGCGGCAAATGTCTCGACGACGAGGCGCTCTTTTCGTCCCCGAAGAGCACGCCGGGGAGTACGAGGAAGAGGCATTACGCTTTCGCAGAGGGGTACGCGACGTCAGAGGGCAGCCCGAGCCGGGCGTGAGAGCCGAGTGTAGTCCGTAGTTCATTCAGTCGGTGCGACCAGAAGTGGTCGCGAGTATAACATTAGATAGCATTTTTCTTCTTCACGCTGCACAGTCGTGTCTGTTGATAGCATTGTAATGCATGGCATAGTAACTACGAGCGCCGGCGCCGAAGGCGCTGGTGCGAGGGAGTTGGGGTTGGGAGTGAGCGTGAGCGGGAGAAAAAAGAGGTACATAGTGTCTCTTTCTACGACATCTACTGATTGGGATCATGCTTCCATCCCAGCATCCTCTCAGCCTTGGCCGAAGTCCAAGCGGCGGCCCGAGGATTCTTCTCAAAGTAGGCCATGTCCAACTCTCCATCGGGCCAATACTTTGTCAGCAACTCAACCGTGCCCGCCCTCTCTCCAGCCCCTTCGCCCTTCTTCCGCTGTACCTCGACACTGCCCTCCCAGCAAGTCTCGGGCGCGACAATGTTGAACACCTCGTGACCCCTCCATTCCCCCTTTTCCAGCGCCAGCAAACAAGCCCTAGCGCAGCTCTCATAGCTGACCCAGGAGAAGATGTCACGGGCAGTGCAATCGGGCCAGGCATGGTCGTAGCTCTCGCGCACCATGTGGAAGCGCAAGCTGGCTACACGCGTCCCGGGCGCCCACCTACAAATAGCAGTGGCCTGGAGTTCGCACTCAGCCTTGCTTATAGCGTATGCGTCCTCGGGCCTCTTCTCGACTTGTTCTGTGATAGGAAAACGGTCAAAATGGGCATGTCCAGGGGGGGAGTAGGAGAGGCCGTGCGCATTAACGGAGGATGCTTGGACTAGACGCTTAATCCCGTGGTCGGTGCTGGTTCGGAGAATGTTGTACGAACTGCACGTGTTGATCATGTGCAGCTTCCTGTCGTCTAGATCGTCGCGCGGGTTCGGGATCGCGCCCAGGTGAATCACGCCGTCGAACTCAAACTTGTTCGCATACAGCGTGTCGACAAAGGAGAGATCGGTCAGGTCGCCTTTCAGGAATGACAGCTTGGGATGCGGCAAGCAGGGCGTGTACCCTGCCGCAGTCGTCGGGAGGGACGAGGGCAGGTCCATCACGTCTGTCGCCAGGACTGTATGCCCGGACTCCAGGAGATGGGAGAGCGTGTGTGTCCCGATTCGGCCGCAGGCACCTGTTAGGAGGATGTGCACTGGCTGTCAACTTTCGGCCCGGCTTTAGACTCTCTAGACTCTCTAGACTGTCCAGGTCATCAGACGACTCACTCGTGATGGGATGGAGCTTAGTCTGAGCGTAAATTAGATACAAGGCAGACGACGCGGACGACGCGGACGGAGCAGACGGAGCAGACGAGGTGATCGATGGCGGATGAGGAGGATAGAGAGATGTGACCGAATTCGGAGACTCTCGTTGACGTCGACCGGGTCGAGAGGAGAGTGTTGAGAGTGCTGCGAGCACCGAGAAGTGAAGTCAGTGGCTTGACTGTTGTCAGACACAACAAATGTCGGTGGGCAATGACATCAATACCTTACCGGCGAGAGCCGGGCCGACCTTCCGGCTTGCACTGTACCGATATCTCGGCCACTTGTTGGCCTCACTGCCTCTGTCGTACTCTCATCAACTTTCACTCCACCTTCCTCGCTAACACTCGTGCGACACGCTCACCTCGCTTCGCTCGGCTTCGCTCCGTGACGCTCTGCCAGAAAACCCATGTTGCATATTCTATTATGTGTATGTTGTCTACACTCTTATAACACCTCTCAGACAGAGGAGAAACACCACGCTGCGCTCTGCCGCCGCTCACTGTGTTCGCGGCTAGTATAGCCAGTTGGCCACCCACAGCCCCAGCAGCACCAGGCCCAGCTTCACAGACAGATGCGCCTGCGCCAGTGACCTGATGTTGCTCACCACCGACAACACAGTGTGCTGGCTCCAGCGGACCGGCGCGTCGTAGCCCGTGACAGCGGCCCCATTGTCGCGGAAGTACCCGCTGTTGTCGAGCGTCGTGTTCGGCGACGCCGGCGTCTCGAGCGCCGGCTCTCCCGACCCACTGCCCGAGCCAGAGCCCGAGGGGGCACTCTCGCTGTCCTTGTCGCCCTGATTGCGATCGAGCAGCGGGATCTCGTCCGTCGTCTGGGCCGGCTGCGCCGTCGTCGCAGGCGCCGGTAAGCGCTCCTTGCCCTTGCCCTTGCCGATGATCCAGGTCGTGATCTCTCCCGTGGCGCCGGACACGAGCCAGGACAGATGGATAAAGCAGACAGTCGAGATGGCGAGGTTGACGGGGCGGTACTCTGGCGGCAGGACCAGCAGAATCGCCTTAGTGTCCGCCGCGAGCCAGCCGTGGAACTGCAGAATGAACGTCTCCAGGGAGATCTGGCCGACCCAGCAGAACAGCAGCGACGAGTGCTGCCTCAGCCTCGAAGACGCATTGCGCAGCACAACGTAGCCTAAAATCGGCACGATCGAGACATACGCGTGGTACTTGTTGTAGACAAACTTGCTCTCCAAGTGCAGCTCGTACCAGAAGTACCACACCAGCGCGGCAACCGAAGCGACGCACGCGCCGCCACGCAGCTGGTTGAAGTACGGCTGCTCCGTGAGCCGGTGCTCCTTCGCCTTGATGTACGCGTACGCCGTGAGCATGCCGCCCCACACGATGTACAGGTCGAGCGTGACGCGGAAGGTCCACTCGCGCGCCGTCCACTGGATCTTGAACACCGTGTTCAGGAACGCAAACAGGTACTCCATCAGGAAGGAGTAGTGCATGAATGCGGCAATGGCGACAGCCGAAAGCACCAGCTTGGGCAGCAGGAACGCCGCGCGGTCGTTGTACTGCGACCCTAAAGCCATGACGCCGTAGATGATGAGGTACCACCAGCTCACGAGCGGAGCAAAGTAGTAGAACACATAGTTGGTGTTCATCGTGTAGGGCAGGACCACCGACAGCAGGTTCAGGCGCACGAGCACCGTCGCGACACGCTGTAAACCGAAGTCCGCCTTCTTGTAGTAGAAGAAGAAGTGCCCGTAGCCCGTCATGAACAGGTACGCCGCGACCAGGACGCGGATCGGGTTGTAGATGCCCGAGATCTTGGACGCGCCGACAAAGTGGTAGATCAGGATCGCGACTGCTATTAGCTCTCACCTTGATCACCGCACCAGCTGCACTCACTCTGCATCCATCCCTTCCACTCATCGGTCAGGTCGCGGTTCAGGAAACCTAAATCCTTGCCGCGGTTCCTCACAGTCGCAAGGCCCGCAACCAGAGACACAACGCTGAGGATCGTGAAGACCTTCGGGTCCCAGTCCTTGTTCTCCTTGAGGAACATCGTCGTGCGGTCCGTGAACCATAAGTACGTGACGGAGAGGCCAAACGTGCTGACCGCGAGCGCAGCTTTGGTACCGGGCACAAAGCGCTGAATCGGCGAGTGCGCCGGAAGCTTGTGGCCAAAGTACGCGACGAGGGGAGACCACACAGCCAAAAACACCAGGAGCAAACCCTGCAGCGGGCGCACATAGCTGTAGCGTCGGCAGCAGGTGGAGGGCTGACCCAGGCCGTCCTGGCGAAGTGCGTCCGCGCAGCGCCACGACAGCAGAATCTCGGCCTGCTTGTTCATGATCTTGTCGCTGAAGTGGAGTCCATCGTCGCTCTCCGAGTCCACGATGAGGTCGTTCAGCACCGTCGGGAGGACCACAGGCGGCGGGTTCTCGTGCTGCAGGCGCGCAGACAGGTCAGCGTTCATCGCCTCGACGTCCGAGTGCAGGATCGTTGCGGCGCGCTCGGGCGAGAGCTTCTCGTCGACCGGGTCGGGAACGGGGAGGAAGACAACCGTGTCGGCGAGTGCAAAGTTGTTCTCAGCGTTCGGCTTATCCTTAGAGCGCGCCGGTGCCGACGAGGGCAGTAAGCCAGGCATACGGAACTGAAGGCTCTGGTCCATCGTGTCCCACGGCGTCTGCAGCGGCGCATCCGGCTGTCCCTGGTGTTCGCGCAGCAGATCGAACGTCGAGTGGATCGCCATCGTCCACGCCGCGAGACCACCCGAAGACGGATTGCGCAGGTACCACAGGCCCGAGCCCATGACCAGCATGCTGAGGGGTTCTTTCGGCGTCGACTTGAGGAAGGCGATCGTCTCCGTCGAGTTCAGGTAGGGATCCCACCAAAAGTCGAGGTTTAGGCGGTGGCCGTCCTTGGACTTGACGACAGCGCCGCGGTTCGTGTGCTTGTCGCCGTCCTTCTCCCATTTCGGCGTATAGTTCTTACCCCCGTCGATGGCGCGGACCGCCGCAAAGTACAGCTGTCGGACGTTCGAGTCACCGATGAAGACTGCCCGCCGATCATGCCGTCCCTTCAGTCCCCGCGTGTTGCTCGTCGTGCCGGTCAGACACTGCGAGATCTCGGTCCCCTTCAGCGCCTGCTGGTAGCAGCCTGAATGTCAACGGTTAGCCCGTGTTAGAACTCACCCTCTGGCTGCCAGACCTTGTACGTCCCCGGGTCGAGCCACCGGCCGATCGTCAGAAGCGCGCCGCAGTAGTACGGGTCAGGGTAGTCGAGGAAGCTCCATCGCATGAGATTGCCGAGGATGACGGCGGCGAGAACGGTGATGCACGCGTAGCTGTACCATATCGGGTTGAGGCGGGCTTGGCTTGCGCTCTGGCGAGCCTGACCGCTTTGGGGCGGCATACCGGTACTTGGTCGCGGTGCGCGAAAATAAAGCTACCACCCCCAGGCCGGCGCGTGTAGGTGAGAGATCGAGCGGAGGAAAGAGGTGTTAGTGGATGGTCGCCTTGTGCCGTGCAAGCGACGGAGGCGGTGGAGGGCGGCGAGGGACGACTCGGAGTTGGGATGTCGCTGTTGTGCCCTGCCGAGTGATGATTGAGTGATGTGTAGATGGACAAAGGGAGAGGGAAGGGAAGATGGTTACTGAAATGTTGGAATGGTGACGGCTACAAGCGACGTTTCACGCGGGGTGGACGGGCTCTTTAAGATTATTCAGGGCAAGTCGTGTCCATGTGCAGTGGGCCAGGCTGAACTCGGGCATCCTTACACCTGCGATCTGCGGTCCCTTACGGCATCCAACCTCTCCGTTTTTCGTTCACGCAACCAACTCGCGTGGACAGTCCACCACCCGCGTCCGAAGCATCACTGCGTACTTCGCAGACCTCATCACATCCGGTGCTACGCATTGTCCGCAAACACACTGCAATCGTGCTAGTGTTCGCAATTCACTGAGCCGAATTAACTTCCAGTGACCTCGGCACCCACACTCCCGTCTATCGCTTGGTGATGCGATGATGCGACTGACAAGCTCTCAACTTTAACCGTTATGCTTGCTTTACGTATGGCATAGAAATAACAATGGTGTATGTATGACTACAAGGTACGCTGAGCAACATGGTGCTTGGACAAGCTATCAAGACCAAAGAACGAGGCGTCACTGCCGCGACGGTCTAACCACAAGTCAGTCAGCCCATCAGCCGTTCAGAAGATACTTCACCACACTGCTGACCTGCTCGCCAATCTTCACCATCCCATCCATAACGCCGACGCGACGCTCAAGCTCGAGACGCTTCTTCTCCTGCTCCTCCTTGCCGCGGTTCAGGTACTCGAGCACAGTGCCAGCAGCCGCCATGGCGTCGCGAGTCTGCGCAGGGTATCCTTTGAGCAGGGCAGTCAACTCGGCTTGCAGAGCGGAGGCATCGCCGTCATCGCCCTTCGCCTTCTGGGCACCTCCGCTCTCGAGTTCGTCTGCCGAAGCGATCCCGTCCAGGACCTTCAACGTCTTGATCACGAACGCATCGATCCTCTGAAGACTGAAACCCCTGGACGTTAAGGTTCCTTCCAGCTCGCGACTGGTGATGACAGCCTCGTCCGTGGCGTACAGGTCAGCTTGCAGCTGTCGCCGCACTTGGTCAAGATCGGTAGCAATCAGACAAGTGTGAGCAATCCAGTTCTCCCTCCCGTGCTTGACGAAGACATTCTTGACGAGATCGATCTGCGCACGAAGAGTAGTGGGACCAGGGATAGCCGGAACCGCCGCGCCGTTGGAGACAGCATCCTTGGCAGCTGCATCTGCGCGTGCGCGCTTGCTGGAAGGTGAGTCCTCAGGAACGCCTGAGGGGCTAGTCAACTGTCAGTAAAGGTTACGGCTGTGAGTACCCAGTCATTCACGTACGTCATATCTTGAGCGTCTCGCTCTCGCTTGCGGGTAAGATCACTTCCTGGCGATGTCGCTTGAGTCTCCACAGCGTAAGCGGGCAGGTCAGGGAAGTCTTGAGCAATGCTTTTCGGAATGAGCTGGTCAGAAGTCGATTCAACAACTGTAAGCGTTCCGGGCCACCCCTTCCAGATCGTGAGGTCTTCGGCGTTCTTCTTGGCGAAGGGTGTGTCAAGCTTAATCGGTTGACGGTGAAGGGTCTTCACAGCATCCGCGTTCGACGGCTTGGGTTTGGCGAACGCCACAAAGGCGAAACGGGGGTGGACTGGGGGTATGGAGAAGATGTCGACAGAGACACTGCCTGTTAGTTCACTTGTGGGTGGTTGGTGTCTTACATCTCGCCAAATTGCGCGAACAGGATGCCAAGATCCTTTGCTGAGGCGCTGTCCGGGAAACTGAGGTCAGCACGTCCTTTCTTTCGATCTTCGACATACTTCGTGACACATAGAGCGTCTGCGCGAGGCCTGATGCCCTCATCTTCCGGTTCAGCCTGCTGCTCCGCGTCGTGATCGTGATCAACAGACGGCATCGGGGAGGAAACAGCAGGCGACGGGCGTGTCGGTGGTGGCGACGGCTCACGAGGGGGCGGCGGCTGCGGGCGCTCGAAAGGCAGCTTGCGGAAACTGGGGTCGGCGTCTCCGTGCTGCCAGGGACCGGGAATGGTACTTGAACCCGGTAGGGGGTCGCCACCGCCGGGACGATTGTAGATGTCCTCCAAAGAGCGCTCCTTCTTGCGCTTTGTATACGAGTTGGTCGCAGCAACGGTGGCGATCTTCTCGGCAAGAACCCAACCTTCGACAGCGTTACTGCGAGGAAGCCACACAACAGTCAGCTGCGCCTTGAGGAACTCGGTGCAGATCTCCCGCCACAGCTTGCAGAACTTGATGCTTTCAGGGCGACTTGATGTGTCCAGACTGACAATAGCGCATGGTGATGAAGTGAAGAGGATGAACTCTTGGTTAATCGGTTTTTGGTTGCGGATGCTTTGCTGAAGCTGTTCGCGGAAGCCCTCCACAGCCTTGAGCATCGCGCCCAGCTCGGTTCCCAGAGCATCTGTGTGACCGACAAATCCGCGCATCTTGGATCGACTCATGCCCTCGTCCAAAATCCACTCAACCGCAGCTGCCCAGCCCTCTCCAGCCCTATTCGAGCCTTCCGCGTACCATAAACTCTCAGACTTGCCTGCCTGGCAGATCGCACGATGCAGGACGATCGCGTCGTCCGGATTGACAGTAATGTACTTCGTGATCGGGAGCTCGCTCGGGGGCAAGTCGTAAACGCTCGTCGTGATATCGCCAATAGTCACTTGCTTAGTGCCAGTCAGTATCGGCTGATCAGACATATCTCCGCCGCGGTTCTTGGGCGGGAGAAATGAAGCGGGAGATGACGCGTAGCTGGTACTCGGGGTCGGCATGCGGGTGTTGAGACCGGAGGGAGCTGAAGGATCGTACGGCGCAACATTACTCGGCTGGTATGGGTCGTACACGTCGTCGTACTTTCGACTTCCATCGTAGGATGGCGTGGATGTGAGAGGAGATCCCGAAGCCGCAGGGTTGTACTCATCGTACGGCGAACGGTAGCTCGGAGTACCGGCCGGCGGAAGCGTGGGAGGCGGCATTCCAGGGGCTAGAGTCGGGCGTGGCGGGGGCGCACCGTAGCCTGTACGAGGAGGGAAGGGCGGCAAAGGCGGACGGGGGGCAGGCGGGCGTCCCAGCCCGAAGGGCGCCGAGGGATTGTAACCCCCTGACGACGATGAGGGGTTGTACCCTCCGCCGTTGTTGTAGCTCATCCGGATACTGTCCGAGTTAGTGTCGAGGTGGTGGTCATTATCTTACGTGTTCCTGGAGAGGTGAGGAAAAGTAACGGAGGTAAGGATAGATTAGAACGTCAGCAGAGCTTGAAGCCTGTTCGAAGTTAGACGGTGAGGTGTCAGGTAGTAGGAAAGCGGGGTGAATGGGATTCCCTGGCGTTGCGGAATAGGCGATACGAGTAGACGTGTTAGAGGGTGATGTTGTGATAGCAACCCGGCCACTGGGTGACCCTTCGAATGTCACCTCGACGGATGACGGGCCGGACATCGGCCTTTGTTTAGTCCCGCCCTTTACAAAAGTCAGCGGTTCGGCTACCCAGGACCGTTGTTCATGGCGACCTCCTCATATCTCTCGCACCGATATCGTCAACAATGGCGCCTCTGAAAGGTGATGCTGCCCGTCTGAGGGTGAGTGCTTGAGGTACATATCTGGACTAAATGCTGACGGTAAGACGATTATTGTCTCCTTCCCCCTCCTGGTCGTGACCAGCGCCATTCTGTACCGTCGAGGTGAGTGTCTGGGGTGTTGCACTTTGCTGATCTGTCAGAGTACATGGGTGAGGAGCAGCGCAAGATCCCGCGGCCCGACTCGAAGGACCGTATTCTCCAAACTGGAGGTGTGCCGTGGGAGGCTCAGGGACAACAACAACAACAGGAGTCCACGGAGACGAAGTCATTCTAGACGTCCCTGTTCTCCGGGTTTCAACTTCGGCCACCCAGGTCCCATTACCCCTCATATCATCGCAAAACGCACTCCCTCCCCATCCTCATGAATCACAGCATTGTACGAGCGCCGCACCTCACGTCCGTAGATCTAGCATAGCGTCACTCTAGAGAATAATCTCATTTTGGTATCTACTGCTTGGTCTCCGTAACAACAACCTTGGTGCCTGGGAGGACGTAGGGGTTGAGGCGGAAGTTGCACTGGGACGTCAGCTTGGCATTCAACAGATGGGGAGCTGCAGAGGCGTGACACCTGCCATGCGCGGTAGCTTTGGGGCGGTCTCCGCCCAAGGGACACTCACGTTCGAGTAAGCAACACCGGCACCGAAACCAGTGCCGAGGGCGATGGGCCAGGCGCGGCGACGGAACAGGATGACGGAGGCGATAACACCAGCTCCGAATCCGATACCAGCGTCAACGATGAGGTCGGCAAGCTGAGGTTAGCTCATGAACACTTAACAAAGCTTCCGCCTGTGCGTGTCGAATCACGAAGGACCCCTTGACCATCTGCGCTATCCTCGTCTCTGCACAGCACCGTTCGCAACCCTTTGAGTCCCAAGTTTCCAAGCAGACGTGCAGGAGACCACAGGGAAGACGTGCTGGAAACTGAAGACGCAAATGCCCCGGTCCAGAGCTCTGCCAGCCGACGGTGCGGACACATACAGACAGCTCTTCCACCATTCTGAGATCTCTCCAGATTCGGCCCTCCAGGCAGACTCTTGTCACTTCCATCCTCGGAGTACTCTCCATAGTCTCTCCGAAGACTCATAGGGATCGCGAACGGTCGACATGCCGCGCCATGACGCGAATGACGTTTTTGATACTCACGCAGGTGTCGAACTGCGGCTGTCAGCTTTCATATCAACGTATCCTAGCTCACCTTGCGGGCGACAGCGTCCTCGCTGGGGACGGGGGCTGAGACAATGACCTCCTGGTTAGACATGATGGGGATGGGTAGTGGTGGCTAGGGTGCTGATGATGTTGAATGCTTGCTCGATCGCGGCCACTGGCCGTCGAGGAGCGCTCGCCCGCTCGCCGTACGCGCGGCGGAGGAAATCGGCCTTTCCGTGTGCCGGACGCGTGGCGTGGCGGGGTCCCCGCATTCTCAGCTCGACGTCTTGGTGGACTATTCTCTTGACACCCCCTCACATGCATTGCTCCAATCGCTCAGCTTTCTTGCTCGGCGTGGTATGCAGCATGCGGCGGGCATCTTGACCTGCGGAGCCACGAAGACACCTTCGAACTCACATTGCGACACGAGGAGGGATTGGCAGAGCTTGGCCTTGACCAGCGCCTTCTTGATCGCTCGACGTTAATCACTTACTGCGGTAGAGAATGGGCTTTCGTTGCGCAATTCTCTTTCGCAACAACAAGGAGAGGAGATCACAGACCTCTTCTTAGACCCGGTCTGACGACTGATGCACTTTTCTCTTCTCACGACTCTCAGCACGCATAACCACCGGACTTCCTCCAGCACCTCCGCGAAATGATTGGCATGTGTCATTGATCTGGTCTGTGCTTCGTCCGTGCTCAGACCGCTCGTCACCTAGCAGCCCTGTAGCAGACGTAAACAAACAATGGTGAGGGTTGTCGAGTTGTAGACAACTTTGCAAGTACACCCACCTCCTCTGCCGTCCTCTACTGTTAACAGCCTCATCCCCTCGTGTCTCCTAGAGCAATGGTTGCCGTGGACTCAAGCTGGATACCGACGCCCGACCTGGACGACGCCGTTCATTTGGTACGAAGAGCTTTTCCTCATCCCAACACTTGGCGTGAGTCTTGCTTTCGCCGGGTTCACCCCAAACACAATCACGATAACAGCTGTCCAGGGACACTTGTGAGCTGACGACAGACCGAGACACCATCATCGGTGCAGTGTGCTGCATCGCCGGCAGCGCCGTCCTGTGGGCGGTGCCATGGATCCGAGAGCTGGCTGCGGCGCCCAAGGTGAGCAGTGGACTGGCTGATTGGCGAAACGCTACTGACATGGAACGTCTTCTTCCGTTCTCCGTCGTCCATGCACTGCCTTCCCACTTATCCTTCACCAGATGCTCGTGATCGCCTGCCACGAGATCTGGCACGTCCTCACTGGCCTTGCGCTCGGAGGGCAGCTGACCATGTTCTGCATCGATCCCAATATGGGTGGTTTCACGAACTTCATGGGTCCGATCCTGAACCAGGAGCAGAGCGAACACAGCGGCTACGTGCCAACCGAAGGCGTCATGTCGGCCGACGGACCTGGCATGTCCTCGATGCTCCTCATGGGGTACTTCGGGAGCGCGGTGATCGGCTTCTTCCTTGTGGTGAGTCACCTCCTTCTGTGGAATGGGCGGCTGTGCTAACTGTGCCTCACAGGTGTGCTCATGTAAGATGCTTCGAAGTGTGCTTGAATGCGAAGCTGACACTCAGTCTCAGTCAGCGCTTCGAAGGTCGTGGGCATCTTCATCGCCATCGGCCTGCTGCTCTGCATGCTGAGGGCGTGGCGGAAAACGTAAGCTGTCGATCAAGCTCTCGAGCTGAGTAGCAGACCGTTCTTCAGCTGCGCGTTCTGGGTCGCGCTCCTCATCGGCCTCTACTTCGCGGCACATGGCAGCGCCTTGCGCTTCTATGGTGAGTTGACCGCTGAGCCCGTTCCACAAGCTGACGCATAGTCTGCCTTTTCGGTAGCTACTCATTTGCTACAGGAGCTGACGACAGGGACCATGAACCTCTTCTACGCCGTGTGGGACTTCAGCGAGCGCCGGCTTTTCCCTCGCGAGCATCCGAGTTGCGCCGAGCACTTGGCCATGAGCATGGGTCTGACCCCAGGAGGTGAGCTAGGTGAATCGGACCACGCAGCTGAACGCAGTGTGGGCGACGATCTGGATCATCATCGAGAGCGGCTTGTTCGTTGCGTCGCTCTTCGTCGGCATGCGGTTGTTCCCGGTACGTACGCCGCATTGACGGATTGCTGACTAGCCCAGCAATCGGCGGATGAGCAAATGAGGCAAGCGTAAGTTCTCGGAGGGATCGGCGGCGCGTGACGTGTGGAGCGTGGAACGCTGCGACCGGTGCCTCGGAGCCAAGGCTTTGGATCGCCCGGAAGCGAGCTTCGGTGGTCGTATCGAGGCATATCGAAGAGTGTGTGGACGACATGTCGTGGTCATCTGATCCGGCGCGAGTATGTTCGGCGCACGACGCGCATCACGCGGCGCGTTGAACGCGAAGATCTGTATCAGATAAGAGCACCGAGCTGACGACATTTCCGGGCGTTATTTGGGCTCGGAATTCGGTCTGCGCACCCAGCCAACACTTCATGCCGACCAAATGAGCAGCAAAGCCAAGCATGGTCGGAGATGCATCGGATTTGACGAAGCGTACATGCAGCAAACAGGGGGCGCGTCTCTTATCACACTGAATGCAGTGCTACATGTGCGGAAAATGTGGAGCCCTATGAGCTCCACGATATGCCCACCGAATGTTCTGAGCGTCTAGGTCGGCTGGGCCGATTCGATGTTCCCCTTTTGGCGCCCGTACGCGGCGATTTTTGGGTGGACCTGGGTGGATGCGCTGTATGACGCGATCGGTGACAAGATTTCATGATCAGTAAGCCGGCTGGCGCGCGGCCATGGCCGGACAACGAAGCGTCCGCTCAACTTTTGATTTCGTCCATCATCGTCTCCTGTCCCGACTCCCTTCCCTCTCTCCCTTTCCCTCCCTCTTGCAAACGCCCCGAGTGGCGACGATACCCCCTCTCGCTACCGCTGCGCCCGCCTGCTGCGCATTCGAAGTCCGAAAATCGGCGCGGAAAGCGGAAAAACGAAACAAACAATTTGGATCGTCTTATCGATTTGTCTCGGCCCGACACCACAAAATTCACACACGCACGCACGCACGTCGATCGTCGAGACGCACGCCAAGCTTAAACTGGTCGTGACCTCCACCCTTCCGCTCCGCCTCCGCCCCCGCCGACCGATCACAATGGCGTCGACCTCGGGTCCGACACCGAACACGACGGCGTTCCCCGTGTCGCAATCCTCGGTGCCGGCGACGTTGACGACTGACCTTGAGAAGATCGACACGGACCTGCTCGAGCGCAACCTGGAGGCCCTGATCGAGCCGCCGGCAAATGCCTTCTTCACGAACTGGGCGCGCACGTTCGAGTGCCGTCCCGAGCGAGTATACGCCCCGCGAACGCCGGAACAGTGTCGCCAGATTGTCGAGCTCGCCCGAAGACTAGGCAAGAGCCTGCACCCCGTCGGCGTGGGACACTCCCCGTCCGACCTGGGATGCACGAACGGGTGGCTCGTGCGCATGGAGGGCGTGAATGGCGCGCTACAGGTGAGCACCTTCGCCCCTAGATATGGCGTGTTGGAGTGGCGACAGGGGGCTGACGGCAGATTTCCGCCAAGAACGAGACGGCAAACTTCCGTGCCGGCACGACGCTGCATGCCGTGCATGCGGCGCTGATGAAGAACGACCCGCCGCTCGCGCTGCGCAACCTCGGCTCGATCTCTGACCAGACGATTGCCGGCCTGATCTCGACGGCGTCGCACGGTTCCGGCGTCCAGTATCCCGTCGTGAGCGAGGACGTCGTCTCGCTCCTGCTCGTCCTGCCGCTACCTGGTGCGCCTGTTGTGCGCGTGTCTCGCTCTCAAGACCCTGAGCTGTTCCGCGCTTCGCAGTGCGGTTTAGGTGCGACTGGCCTCATCCTCGAGGTCGAAATGCGCGTTGAGCCGTCATACCGGCTCAAGGAGGTCAAGGAGGGCCGGCCGGTGGACGAGGTGCTGGACAACCTCGACACGATCAAGGGTTCAGCCCAGCATGTCCGTGTCTGGTGGTACCCCGAGGGCGGCATGGTTGTCGCCCGCGCGAACCGAACGTACGAGCCCGCCCAGCCCGTCAAGAGCTGGTGGGGCGAGTTCCTCGGCTTCCACGTCACGCAGTTCCTCCTCTTCGTCAGCCGCTACGTACGGAGTTTCACGCCGTACGTCGGCAAGTGGGCTTGGAACCTCGCCAAGGCGGGCGGTACGACTATCGACGAGGGATATCGTGTCTTCAACTTTGACTGCCTCGTGAGTTTACCGCATCTGTCCGCAGCTTCAACGGTCCTTTCGCAAGCAAAAGCTGACAGCCAGTTCCCTCAGTACACGTCTGAGTACGCTCTGCCTTCGTCCGCCGCCGTGCCCGTCCTCAAGGCGCTGCGCGAGTACCTTGCCGACATGCGCAGGGACGGACTGTACCCGCACTTCCCTGTCGAGATCCGCTGGTCCGGCCCCGACGACATTCCCATGTCGCCCTCGTACGGGCGCGAGACGTGCTGGATCGGTATCGTCCAATACAGGCCGTACGGCCTCGCGGTGCCGTATCGCAAGTTCCAGGCGGGCTTCGCCAAGATCTGCGCCGAGCACGGCGGACGGCCGCATTGGGCCAAGGAGCACGATCTTGGTCCCAAGGAGATCGAGGCCATGTACGAGAAGTCGGGACAGTGGAAGGATGTTGTGAAGCGCGTCGACCCCGAGGGCGTCCTCCGCAACGAGTACATCCGGAGACATTTCGAGGGGGACGCCATTCCCGCCAGGTTGTTCAAGAAGCGTCAGTAGACAGAGCTGTACGGTGACACATAGATCTAGACTTAGTGCTTTACTCTTTATTACTCTTTCTCATTAGTTTTACACAGGGTGCCATGTACGCAGTACACAGCTGGCGGCGGCGGCGCGGAACGATATCACAGTGATACATACACAGGGGCTTGTGCTACAAATAAGGTGGACACTCTAGTCGTCCATGTCCTCCTCGTCCACCAACTGCTTGACTCGCTCGCGGCCACGGTTTTCCTTTTTCTCACGCTCCAACTTCTCCAGTCTCTTCTTCCACGGGTCTTCCTCTAACTCAGGCTCCAGCTTGATGCCCTGTGTGGCTCGCTTGGGAAGCCTCGGCCGGTGCTTGGCTGCGTCGTTCGCCTTGATCGACTTGGCCAGTTCTGGGTTCATTGCAAGGATTTGCAGGCCGATCTCGAAAATCTTCTTCTCCTCGGGTGAGTCCTTGAATGCATCGTCGTGACGCATATCTGTGAGTCAGATACCAAATATCATCAGCGTGGCGTACGGGTTATACCAAGCTCTTCCAGGAGGCGCTCCTCGGGATCCGTTGTTGGATCGCCGTCCGATGCAAGCTCGCTGAGCAGGGCACTGTCGTCCCTTGCTTGTATCATCATACGCTTGGCCTCCTTGTCGCGCCTCTGCTTCCGGAGACTTGAGCCCTCGCCCTGATGTCAGGTCATACCACCGACGCGGCGTACCTCTTCGTCATCGTCGGACTCTTCCTCATGCTCTGCAGCAAGAAGATCGGCGCGCACCTGTTCTTCGGTGAGGCGCACACGCTCAAGCTGCATGCATCAGCTTTGCAGATCAGAGAATCACCAACGTTTTGAACAACGAATCCTTCGGGGCGATAGCGAAAGATGTTCTTGAGTCCGAACAGCTCTCCCTTCTCTAGAGGAGACCCTTCAACTCCGGTGTACATACGAGCCTCAAAGGTGCCATAGTTCAGCTGACGGGCTCGCTGTTGCTTGTAAACTGGGATCAGAACTCAGTCAACCGTGCGACTTACTTTGACGCGCGTACATCAACTCCTCCACGGTACCCTTGCCGAACAATCGGTACACATCCCTTCAATTAGACGAAGGGCCTTACTTCGTACTCACACAGGGCGCTTCTGACCAATTCGGAATGCGCGGTCCATTGCTTGCATGTCATTGGCCGGGTCTGCTGTTAATCACTTCTTCATATATTGCCTCGGCCACCTACTCCAGCTCGGATCGAAGATAACAACCTTGTTCGCCTTGGCGTCAGTTGGTTTGAATGTTGATAGGACCCTCACAGCTGTGAGATTCAAGCCTACACCTCCAGCCAGGGTGCTGACGAGCATGATGAAGAGGTCCTGTTCTGGGTCTTGGAATTTGTCGACCATTTCTGTGCGGTCGTCTTGGTCCAGCTCGCCGGAGAAGAGCCCATGTGTATATCCAGGCACTGGGGTTTAGTCGGATGACTGGAACACACTCACGGTTGACCTCGATGAACTTCCTGATCATTTTCAGCAAGCGAACAGAGGTGGAGAAGATGAGTACTTTGTTCCTCTCTTCTCGATCGGAGTGCCATTCTTCAAGCAGGTTGACAAGAACCTGAGAATCAATCCTGCCCATCCTCGCTTCGCTAGCTTACTGTCCACTTGCCACAGTTGGCGGGGTCACTGCTGTTAGTCTTTCGTAACACGATCACCTACTAGATCGCTTCCTCGCTTTTATCCTTCTCTGGATCGTAGATGTCACCAGTCTAACGTCAACGGCATCTCAAGATTCCTCCCTACAGTAAATCGGAAGAAATCGGCGGCTTTGGCACGCTGGGGTCAGTTCCCGACAAAGAAAATCCACCCACCGCTTCAACTGAGTCGTCATCGCCTCCGGTTAGCTCTCCGCATTCCCCTCTATCGCTTTACCTTGGTACAGCAGTGCTAGGTGCTTCACGTTAGCGCGGCCCCCAGGAGTCGGGTCAACGTACGTTGCTTATTCGACCGAAAGCGTGGAAGCTGATTCGTAAGTTCGGTGCGCGGTATCGTTCTCACAGTCTAAGCTGTGCTGACCTGGGATCAGGTCCAAGCACCGAGTCGAAATGCTTGTCACGGGCGTCGTGATTGATGAGATACTGCACCTCTGCGTTGTAAGCGTGGCAACTACTGATCTTACCATTTGAATCCACAACTCTCTGGTACAGCTCTGCCTGTCGGGATCCGAGAGGACAGAGTAGGGGCATGTCTCTCTTGCTCGGCATCTCGTGAGCTATGAGCCGTTTGTCCCTGCGCAGGTAAAAGTGAGGGAGGATTTTCTGACTCAGCTCGCCCACGCGTTTCTGAACGTGAGCACTATGTCTTCAGATCCACTCACTACCGCGTTGACCATGTCTTTCAGGCTGCCGTCAAACTTATGGCCGTAATTGATAGGGTTCACGGCATAATCCTTCCATTCCTGCTGCGTACCCGCCCATCCCCTTCGCACGAAGTCCAGAACACTCCAGAGCTCCTCGATCCTGTTCTGCACAAGAGTACCTGTGAGTGCGAAGCATGCGCGAGCACTTATACTTTTGGCCGCAAACGCAAGCCTAGAGTCAGGACGCTTCATCTTGTGCGCCTCGTCAACGATCACGGTCCTACACATTCAGCGAGCGCACTTTCACGATCGCACTCACGAGAACGGAAGACCCCTCAGTTGTCCAACGAGAGCATGGGAGACCAGAACTAACGTCATCAGCTCATCTCACCACGAAAACCTTACCGATATCTAGATATCCTTGCTCCATCTGCTTCCAGATTTCTCGGCCTGAACTGGATGACCAGACAGCGTACTCAAAGTAGCCCCACTGTGGTTAGGAGAGGAGTCTATCGACGACTCACCGTGTCCAGCTCGCGCGCCCACTGTATCATCAGCTTTGCCAAACGCTGTGCCACTCACATTGAAAAGAAGGGATTTGGGGCATACGATTAGAGCCGTGGGCCACTGTTGAGGGGGTATGCCGTTCCCCGAACCGTGGCGGATTGCGATTTTTCGTCGCCAGTAGTCCGTCGACGTTCCAGTCTTGCGCATGATGGCAGACAACTGTGTATCGGTCAATTGTGGAGAGCGATACTATACTTACGAAGGAGATGACCTGTATCGTCTTCCCCAGACCCATGTCGTCACCAAGAACTCCACCGTGACCTTGCTTGTACTTCCTGTACAAGAACGCGGCACCGACGCGCTGGTAATCGCGGAGGAAGCGGTTGATGCTCTTCGGGATCACGATGCCGGGATCTTCTGGATCAAGTTTGAAAGGGCCAATGGCCGCCTGAGCCTCCGAGTACTCGAACGCGGGTCGCTCCAGATCGCCGTCAGCCAAATATGTCCGGGCATACGGCCGCTGAAGAGAATGTGTCTGTCCCAAGGGCTCATCGGAGGCTAAGACGTCAGCCGGATTTCCACGATTGCGATGCACCTTGAATCCAGTCCTCCTCTTCATACTCCTCTTCCTCATCGGTATCCTCCGCTTGCATGGCCTCGACTTCTTGCTTGACGATGAGCGGCCCAGAGAGACTAAGTCCAGATCGCGGCGCCATGACAAAGTCGTCATCATCGTATTCCTCTTCACCTTCTTCCTCGTCCGCCGAGTCTTCTTTGACATTCCGAAGTTCGGCAGCTGTTGGCTTCATGTCCTTGTAGGCACTAACATGAGGCTTAGTGTCGGCAGAAATCGAATACGTTGGCACCAATCCATCATCCTCATAGCTGTCCTCTTCTCCCTCGTCTTCTCCAGTCTCAGCATGAGCAAGGGACGTCTCCTCAGTCATTCGCGGCTTCATGTCTACCGGAATTCGAGGCTTCGTGTCCTGAGGCATCTGAGGTTTGATATCTTCCGAAACGCGCGGCTTGACGTCCTCAGGAAAGACCCGTTTGACGTCTGCAAGTAGCCCGGGTTTCACGTCCTCGAGATGTGGTGGATGATGCGCGACATCGGGAGGAGTGGCGGTCTCGTCTTTCAAAGGAGGACAGGGCTGGGCTTTGACTTTGTGATCAAATCTACTCGTTTCCGACATTGAGCTTTGCACGGACACATTGCCGTTATGACTTATCGTAAGCACGAATTATAGTTTCGATCACGGGCACCACGTTGCCACCCGGGGAACTCACCCAAGGACAATGGTCTCCACAGAGAACACTTCGTGGGGTTTTGCTGCAAAGTCAGGTTCATATTCCACAGTTCACCTGTTGCCGTTCTTACCTGCCAAGATGGGTAGTGGGTTGAAGCCCAGCACACCTGGCACTGTGATGATCAGCCAAGTTGTCGCGGGGAGGAAGGGGCCAACGTCACTCACATTCCCCTCCTTCCGAGTCTGAATCATGCGATTGCGGCTTCGGAGGCTTCCTCAGAGCATCGCGTGCGCGTCGCAGCTTCTTCCGGGATGGAACTGTCGGCAGAGGAAGTGGGTCCTCGCCTCGTTTTCTTCTCCGCGCGTTCTCGGCCTTCACCTTATCCCTTTCCTCCTTGCGCTCACGCCATTTCCGCTCGTCATCGCGATCGCCCACGTAGTACTGGGCATCTGCTTCGGCTTCCTCGTCGAAGTCGTCTTTTGGTGCTAACGGTCAGCGGCGGATATCTCCGTCACGCTTACGCGGTGACCTCTCGGATTTCAACTTCGGTTTGTCCGCTGTAGAAGCATCAGCGACGTTCTAGTTCTAGAGGGTGCCGGTGGTAAGCTCACGTCTAACGATCTTCCCTTCTGCGTTGACCTTTACCTTGGCCTTGGATGGCCGTCGCTGGGCCTTCCTCATGTTGGGCGGCGTGTTGACGACGTAACAATAGGAGGTGACCTCATCTCCAGTCATTCACCCCTGGTTGATAGGAACCAAATATACTCACGTGATGTCTAGTGTCAGCTATCCCACGGTCGACGACAAAAGTCGGGATCGACCTCCACTTTCGGGTCGTGATTTCGAGTTGCGGAGGACAATCCGAGATTACTACCCGAATCCACCGATCTCTTGTGCACACAACTCGACAGCAGCATGAGCAGGCTCTTAACCCTTACCGGGGGAAGAGCGCCTGTGCTTTCTCGATACCCTAGCCTTCGCCTCGTTGGCGGCTTCCGACTCGCCTCGACGGCTCCGGCCAACGATGACAAGAAGAAGTACTCGGCTACTCTCCTCCTCCCGAAAACGCCCATGCAGCTGCGGGCGAAGAGTCCGTTGAAGATCGAGGACAGGCTGAGGGATCGTACCACCCATGAGCTCTATCAAGAGCAGGTACGTTGCTACTAGGCAATTGCGAGCTGACAGTTAGTACAAAAGCAACGAAGGCGATATCTTCATTCTACATGACGGACCACCGTACGCGAACGGCAACCTTCACATGGGTGAGTCAGGCGACACTCACTGGATACTGACCGACAGGTCATGCACTCAACAAGATCCTGAAGGACATGATCAACCGGTACAACGTCATTCGCGGGCGGAAGGTTCACTACGTACCGGGCTGGGACTGTCACGGCTTGCCGATTGAGCACAAGGCTCTCGCAGCTCTCGGAGTGAGTCGACGCGGTACGAAGAAGCTGACTGAAGAAATCGCACACGGCCTTGGATCCGGTTAGCGTGCGGCAAGAGGCGAGGAAGTTCGCCCTCGAGGCGATCGATGTGCAGAAGGCGGAAATGAAGCTGCTCGGCGTGATGGCGGACTGGGACGCCGAAGGCGGCGTGTACCGGACACTTGGTGAGTCACTGCTGCTTGTGGGAAGCTCACGGCAGACCACGGTTTCGAGATTCGACAGCTGCGCCTGTTCCAGCAGATGGTGAAGAAGGGGTTCATCACACACCGCCACCGACCGACCTACTACTCGCCGTCATCGCGGACTGCGCTCGCCGAGGCAGAGCTCGAGTATGCCGATTTGAAGAGCACGAGTGTGTATGTCGCCTTCCCCGTCGAGGACGGTGACGCTAGTCCGCGTCTTGAGCAGGCGCTGGCGAAGGGACGGGAAACCGCGCCCGACGCCAAGCTTCACCTCGCCATCTGGACGACAACACCGTGGAGTCTTCCTGGTAACATGGTGAGGCTTTTCATCGTAGCCGAAGCTGACCACAGGGCGTAACAGTTGGGGATGAGATCCAGTACGCGGTGGTGTTGAATGAGAAGGGGCAACTGCTTGTCGTCGCCGAGGAGCGTATCGAGGAGCTGAAGAAGCACCTTGGTGAGCTCACCATCGTCGACCGCCTGACCGGGGCCGATCTCGTCGGCACCAATTACACCCACGTCTTCCATCCCGCCAGCGCTGAGGGACCGCGGCCAACGGTCTTCTCGGCCCCGTATGTCACCGCCGACTCGGGAACGGGATTGGTGCACTCGGCTCCGGCGCACGGACACGATGACTACGACGCCTTCCTGGCTGCTGGTTTGTCGCTGGAGGAGCTGCGTTGCCCTATTGATGACGACGGAAAGTTCACGACCGAGCTGCTGGGATGGGCGGGCCCGGATGCGGAGTCCCTCGTCGGCCAGGTTGTGGTCGGCAAGAAGTCGCGAGGTTCGCGCGCCATGGTCGAATTCATCGCTGGACGGGGTGCGCTGCTCGCTACCGAGAAGATCACGCATCGATACCCGTGTGACTGGCGAACGAAGGAGCCGATTATGGTGCGCGCGACGCCGCAATGGTTTGCGGACGTCGAGAGCCTGAAGGGGGATGCCGAGGCTGCGATCGAGAACATTGGCTTCGTGCCGCCGATTGGACGTAACCGTCTCAGCGCTATGGTCCAGAGTCGTTCAGAATGGTGCATCTCGCGACAGCGTTCGTGGGGTGTGCCGATCCTGGCGCTTTTCACTGCCGAGGGTGCTCCCGTGCTCACTGAGGAGTCGCTCGCACACATCATCTCCGTGCTGTCCGAGAAGGGCGTCGATTACTGGTGGGCCGGGCCGGTAGAGGATTTCGTGCCCCCGTCGATGAAGGGCCAGCAGCTGAGCAAGGGCTTCGACACGCTTGACGTTTGGTTTGACAGTGGCACGTCGTGGTCGCTTCTGAAGGACGCCAAGCTGCGCGACCCCAGCGAGCCTCTCGCTGATGTTTACCTCGAGGGCTCCGACCAGCACCGTGGATGGTTCCAGAGCAGTATCCTCACGCGTCTTGCCGACCTGCAGGGCGAGGGAAAACCGGCAGCGCCGTACCGCACGTTGATCACGCACGGCTTCACTACTGACGAGGCGGGCAACAAGATGAGCAAGAGCCTGGGCAACGGTATCAGCCCGATGGACATTGTGAAGGGCTCGCAGGGCAAGCCCACTTACGGATCTGACACGCTGCGCGTTTGGGCGGCCGGTGTTGACTACACGCGCGACTGCAGTATCGGTCCGAACAGTATCAGCATGGCGTCCGAGCTCCTTCGTAAGCTGCGCTCAGCTCTTCGCTTCATGGTCGGCAACGTCGCAAACACGGAGACGAAGGAGACGCCTCTCCCTCTCGACCAGGTGACGCTGTCGCCCATGGATGAGTACGTGCTCGCTGAGCTTGAGCAGCTCGAGCGTACGGCGCGCGAGGCGTACGACGAGTACACGTTCAACAAGGGTGAGTCCTTCTTGCGGGTGAACCAAGCTGACCAGTGGCAGTGCTTCAAGCTGCGTCCACGTTCGCGTCCAGCACGCTGTCGTCGCTCTACTTCGACGTCGTCAAGGACACGCTCTACTGCGATGCGCCCTCTAGCCCCCAGAGGCAGGCAATTATTGCCACAATGCAGCATGTGAGTACCCCTTTCCCGCCTTTCATCTTGGCCCTTTCGGATTTTGTGTCCCCTTCGGACCATGAGAACTACTCCAAGCGACCCGCGTGGTCCGTTCTCGGCGGTCTGAGCTTGCTAAGCATGTTACTCACGGTCTTGCGTTAATGCTGTGCATGCCGTGTTTATTCTTGTTGGCGAGCTTGCCGGACTGACTTTCCCCAGGTGCTGAATGTGCTCGTCAAGGTGGTCGCTCCAATCACGCCACACCTCGCGGAAGAGGTGTGGGAGGCGCTCGGGCGCACGGGTTCCGTCTTCATGTCCCACTGGGAGGTAAGTTGAGATTGAGTTGCCGAAGCAGGGCCACACTGTAGGGCAGAGAAAGCACCCCTAGTTTGCGCCCTGGTGAAGAAGGGTGCATCGGAGCGAGCGCAGGGCCGTTTCACGCAGGTGTTCATCTGTGTGGATCTGTAGGTGCCTAAGCGAGAACGGCATCGGGTCAGCCTACGGACCAGTGTCAATCGCTAGCCTCGCTCTTCTGCCCGCTCGCCCACAGTGCCCTTACCTGGCCCTGTGATGTCCGGAGCCCGATGTACGGAGATGACTAGTCGGATGCTGATCTTCCTCTAGTCTGGAAGCGCGGAGCGCTCTCCTCAGTACAGCGGGGAGGCGATGAAGCCTCTTCTTGCACTGCGTAGTGAGATCTTGACGCTGCTCGAGGCTGCGCGTCGCGACAAGTGAGTACTTTGAGTTTGAGGCTCTGCCAGTAACTGACCCGTGTGCCCAGGCTCATTGCGAAACCGACTGAGACCGCCGTCGTCCTGAACACGACAGATAAGGCTATCCAGCAGCATCGTAAGTTTACACGAGGGATGAGGGAACGAGGGCCCGCATGCGGGCCTGAGTGGTCTGGGGGTGGCCCTCTGACATTACGTCCTAGATCGCTCCTGCAGGCACTGACATCACAGATGCCCTTCTCCCTGCACTCTTCGGCGTGAGTGAGGTGCGATTGGGCGAAAGCGGCGACGACGCCGCCCAGCCCGCTTGGCGCCTGGGCGCGAACGCGGCGATCGGTGAGTAAGCTCTGGTTTCTTGTTTGTGTTTCGCAACAGCATACCCGTGTGATGGTGGTGTTCATATGGCTCTTGTACGGTGCTGCGCAGCCGCGAAGTTTGAGAGGAACGTCGGTCCGGACCCTCCGAAAGCATGCATGCGGCAACAGGGCCGCGCCACATCGGACCGTCCAGAAAAAGCATGGAGGGCTTCCGGGCCGGCGGGCATGGGCATGCTTTCATGACGGGCATTTAGCGGTGAGGGGCAGTGAGGCACATGCTGTCCTGTCCTGTCTTTTTTCCAGGGGTTGTGGGTGCTCTGAAAATGGGATGAAATCCTCCGCAGTCGGGCACCGGGCCCCAGCGCGTGCTCTGAGTGGCTAGCGGTCCGATGCTTATCTTTGCAACGCCATTCTGTGACGTCGGCACGTCGGCACGTCGGCGTCTGCTCGCGTAGCTCGAGGCTCAATGCTCAAAGTGTGGAAAACACGGTCCGGTGTCCGGTGCCGTGTTTGCTATACTTGCACATTGCGGCCAAATGCGGCGAGTGCGTGGGATGCGGGCCACATTGCTCCACCAGTCGCGACGGACTACATCGGGCCACATCTGGTCTTGCTGGTCACAAGTTGGGCACAACGGGTCACGGCACGTCTCAGAAGTGGGCCACATTGGGTCCCCCTCGAGTCATTTTCGGCTCGCTAGCCATTTGGGCTGCTCCTCGCCTGTCTCGGTAGTTGCAGGACGACAGGGGCGATGTTGGCGACGGGCTGTGCATGATGAATGACGAATGGTGAATGGGCAGCTAACCCACTCGCAGGCTCTGACGCGATCGGCACACCCGGCGCGCAGTCAGTAACCGGAAACCACGGCGCCGAGCGCGTCGAGATCTCGCTTGTGCCTGCTACTCGGGCGCAGTGCCCTCGCTGCTGGCTGCAGACGGCAGAGGAGGAAGGCCACCTGTGCCAGCGCTGTGCGGACGCGTTGGGCCAGTAGGAAGCACGCAAGCACGCAAGATCACAAGTACACCAGAATACAGCATGCAGCACGTCCACTGTTCACACTACTTCCATTTGCTGGCGCTGTTCGCCCGATCCGAAGACGGGATAACCAAGATGTCGAGTTCAGAGCCAGACGTGACTCATGAGCCGCGCGCCGGCCAATGGTTGCGCGCCCTGCCCAAGTGACAATACCCGAAACCGGTGGACCCACCTTGTTCCCAACTAGCTCTCTCGGGGGCTAGAGGCCTCGGAGCGAGGGAGCGAAGAGCGAAGCGATGACACGCTCCGCAGCAGCAGGTGACGAGGTGACACTTCGTGAAGCGGTACATACCCCGCGATGAAGCACATGCTGGGGCACATGCGTCCACCAGCATAAGCGATAAGCGACAGCGGCTGGCGGGGGCATCGGTCACCTGGTCATTTCAGTGACCACAAGACTACCCGACTGGGACAGCTTGGGGTATTTGCGTTCTCGTTGGGGTTGGAGCCATTCGTGAAAAGTGCACGACAATGTCGTACAGTCGTATGCTGTCGCATACTCGTTTTCCGCTGCGCCTGACGCCCGACATGACCGCAGACCGCATGCTAAGAGCTGGCGGAGACGCGGGGATGGCGAAGGGGGGATTTTGTTTGTGCCAAGGCACCGAGATTGCTCATCTACGGCCCTGAGCCCTGGCCCTCTCGGCCTCCCTGCCTTGTCTCTCCGGTTCCCTATGCTGATCCCTGCGTGCCGTGTCTCGCGTGGATCGCCCAGCAATCTGAGTGATCTAATGAGTGATCTTGTCAGCGCGCCCCGGGCTCATTGTGCGGAGCATAGACGACTCCTAGCTACCTCGATTCGCTTATGATGAGAGTGACCTTTGCATTGTGTAAAGCGGGCACCGGGCAAGTGACTGTCGTACAATGAGGCTGAGAGCCTGGCCGGTACCGTTCTGTGCCTCTTCGGCGGGCTGCGCGGCAGCATCGCTGCGATCTGTATATCCACCAGGTGAGTCAGCGTGACTAGACTATCGTGTCAGGAGCTTGGTGCCTCTTAGCAACTCCGGTCTGGGCGCCGCAGCCCACATGGTAAGGAACGTTGCGCAGACAGGCAGAAGGAAACAGGAGAAAATATCGGAGTCAACCCAAGTCGGCCAGGAATTAGAGTGCAGTGCCTGAAACTTATTGCTCTTTTTTTCGTGTGAGCTGAAGGGCTGAAAAGAGATGAGCGGGGTGTGCAACGGCGGACCGCGAGTGCAAGCGTGGTGCTCGGATTACGGACTAGCAGACGGAGGTGTATTCCGTCAGCGTGTATGCTCCGCTGCGGTTGAAGGTTGGCAGCCAAAGGACCGTAGGGTGACGGTCGATGAGGCCGATATGTCGGCGCCGCACTGGAATGCCTCGCGAGGACGGCTGACGGACCGACCTCGCTCGGAGCTCTTTAGGCTTAAGAACTTGCTTGCGACAGCACGAGTACGCACCAAGCGTACGTCGTGCTACGTCTCGCTTACGCCCGCCAGTTGGCAGAGTTGGCTGCTGCGCACAAATTCCACATTGGTCAGGTGCACGACGGCGTGCGTACAGCGTGTCGGCGGCGTGTGCCCAGCGTGGTCAGGTTGCGTTTATTGCATCCTGAGGAGCCCTCAGGTGGGGGGGAATGGGGTTTCGCGCACGTCGAGAGGGCAAGACCGAGGCGACGATCTCTTGTCGACCTGGCCCTGCAGGCTCCAGTGACTTTCGGGACTTCGACTTCCTTCCTCTTGCTCCTCCGGGGCGGGCCTGAACGATGCGTAGCCTGCTTAATTTCCCACTCTTTCGAAACAAGACGGCGTCTGCACCTTGTCCCCTGCAACCATTTGCTGCGCAGACACTCGCGGTATCCGGAATTCGGGTGCATGCATAAGGTCTTGTTGTGGAGCTGACGGGATCACTAGGGCTGTGTACGGAGAAAGTCCGGAGGAAAGTGAGACACTGCACCGCCGCATGCAGATCCGCTGGAAACGGAATAGGTGACTAGTGAAGATCCGCGGATCCCACGAAGCTGCAATGGCCTCGAAACGGTGTCAAGGACGTAGGCGACTAGGCCGGATGACTGTACAGTTGGGGGGAGTCCGGAGTAACGATAGCATGAGTCATGTGGTTGCCGTGCAGTACGGCAACTTATGAAGGTACTAGGAACGACAGAGGAACGTAGAGGAACAACGAAATGCATGGAGGCATGTCGATCACAATTCTTGCGTTCAAAGTCCACGGTGAATGGCCGGCGAGCTCCGTCGGCGCGGCCTCTTGGACGAGCTCGGCTCGGCTTCTCACGAAAAAAAAACGGAGACCAGACAGCCGGGTGACGACACGAGGTACGGAGCAGGAACCGCGGAGGATGTATTGGGGGCGCAAGGCTGTTGGCCGGCGACGATAACGACAGGTCCGACAGGCACGGCACTAGCGGATGTCAAACTTCCCCGAAATCGCATCTGTGACCAGCGATGTTGGCATTGTTGGCACGCACCAGGGGTCGACAACAATCCAATTTTTTTTTTCTCCGTCGGTTTGAGCCGCTCGGTGAGTGTCACCTGGCAGATGTCGGAGGACTTTCATTCCCCAGCAGACGGACCCGTGCATCGTCCAAGCTCTCGACCCACTTGCCCACTCCTCCTTAATCACGGAACGTGCGGCCCAAGCTCCGCTACTTTGGAAGACTCCAGCAGTGGAGCTCAGAGCATTATCTCGATCGCGCATTGAAGGTTGAAGTGCGCCCCGCGCGCCCACATGCACACTCTGAAATTGGCGCAGTGGGCCCGGAAGGGCTCCGAGCTCGCTCCGAGCTCGCAGACGAGGAGGATGTCAAGGCCGAGAAGACCGAGGAGGCTGAAAGGCAGAACCCAATATGAACGGCATGGGATCTCATCTTGATCGCGGCCGGCGGGAGGTGGGGTCGCGATCTCTGGCCGACATACGACGTCGAATGGACTAGACTCGACTCTGAGTCACTTTCTTAATGACTTGACACCTGAACTCAGGACCCGGTATGCAGGCAGTCCCCAGCTTGTTCAGGTTTGGGCACGGGAAGTGAGACAGAGGCGCATTGATGCGTCGGCTGTCGGATAGCCAAAGGGCAGGGAAGGCGATTGATGATGAGTGGGCGGCTGATGGATGATGACTCATGAATCAGCGCCATATGGCATGCATAACGGGGACAGGTGCCCGCCACGGCGCCTTTGTCGCAGGTAGAGGGCCGGGTTGATTGGCGTGCACAGGTAATAGGGAAGGTGAGTCAGGAGTCGCGGCCTTCATCAAGTCTTGCGTGCATGCTGCTGCACGGGAGTGATTCGGCTCCAGTCAGCTTGCAGAATGCGCACTGCGACGGGGGGACGGTATGGGCCGCGGACCGTGGCCTGGCGTCGGTGTTCAATGGACTGGGGCGCTGGGGCACGGGATCGGAGCACGGGCGGAGGGTTCGGAGCGCCGGAGCTGGGCACGGATAGGGTACAGTGATGATCGACGTCAGGCGCACCTGCATGGGTATGAGACAGGTGCTGATCCCGGGTACACCGGATGCAATGCCGAAGCCGAGTGCCCGTTGTTTTCCACAATCCATGATCGCCGTCATCCGTCGCCGTAACGGTGTCCTGTACCTTGGAGCACGCATGCAGAACTCGGTGAGCTCTTGGCCGTCCGGACATCCGGCATCAGGGGCGCGGAGCAGTTTTGTTGCCGTGGACATCAGGTCCGACCTTCCTCTGAGCTGCCCGCATGCCATCCCTAGCAAGCTCAGGATCACTCAGGAGGTCAGGAGAACGCCCATTGCGCCCTCAGTGCGCCCCGTAAAGGCCTGGCGCGGATCAGTCAAGCCTCAGGCTTGAGCGCTCGAGCGATTTGCCTTGACACCCCTGATCAAGCGCCGTGCTACTCGGATGCAGGATGGAGTGCATTTGTCGACGTTGCCTTGTGTTGTTGAAGCTCTCTTCAATGCCATGCTCATGCAAGCAGGAGATAAGCAGGATTGAATCAGCCAGATTGCAGATTTACTCGGCTACTCGGCCTGCTCGGCTTGA